GTCACTATTTAGATCGCTCTCATAAAACAGCTCTCATATGTCTGTCGCACGGGGCCCACGGGCTATTTCTTGCAGGATAGAGAACGCGAAATACTGTTCTCACATATAATAATAAGAAATTCAGAGTGAGAGCATGTTTTTCACCGAGAAATTGGAAGGAAAGTAAAACGAAATTCCAACCTAAAAATCAAGACCAGACCGTGAGCCGGTAGTACGCAGGCGTGTACCGTCCAAACACCACCTGGAGGATCAGAAGCGCAAACGTGAAGCGGACGACCGACGAAGCTGTACACGATCCGTGCTGCCATCAAGTGGCATCGAGTGAGTTAGATGTGGACCTCGATCGGTATCAAAGGTATCAAAGGTAACATACGATAAAATAACAAACTGCGATAGAAGGCAATAACACACGCCTGAGTAACAGATGAATATGGAGGACTGGATATGTTTCTCCTGGAAAAAGGAGATTCACACAAAGGTGATAAAATGCATACCCTGCATGAAAAGTTTTCATCCACGATGTGACATTAAACATACAATATGGACTGGAGATAATCGGATTGAAAAATGCAAAGAGAGAACAGAACATATAAGGCGTGATAAGGGGAAGGAAAAAATAATAAAGTAGGAACTAGCACAACAAAAAGGAGTGAAGAACAGGAAGGAGAAGAAGAAGAAAAGCAAAAAGAAGAACAAGAACAAAAACAACTAGCTGACACAAAAAGTGGAAAAATGGAAGAGAATATCGAGAAGATTCTGAAAATAGTACGAGGAATAAAAGATGACAGTATAGGTAGCAGGCAATATTAGAAATAAACAAAGCCTATAGCAGCAAACCGAGAAGTGAACCAAAAAGTTATGTGGAAGCAACAAAAGAAAAAAAGACAGAAAATGTCCTGATAATAAAGCCGAAAGGACAACAAGAAAGCCAAACAACTAAAAATGCAGTACTCGAAAAAGCTAAGATAAACACGTTACCGATAGGAGTGACCAGAGTGTCCAAAGGAAATAAAGGAACAGTCATTATAGGCTGTGGGAGTGAAAAAGAGATAAAGAGATTAAAAACATCTGTTGAAACAACATTGGGAAAAGATTTCGAAACAATAATATCGAGGAAAAAAGAACCAAAGCTAAAAATAATCGGAATAGACCAAGAGAAATTGGAATTGAATGATGAATCGTTAATAGAAACGAACAGTGCAAAACGAGCTAACGGAAGGAGGCGAAGGAGTGTATCTGAAGATACTACACAGAGGAAAAACAGGAAAGAAGAATGAGAGCGAAGGGAGAAGAGAAGTAGGAAACATTATAGTAGAAACGGATGCCGTAACACACAAGAAAATGTTAAGTAAAGGGAAAGTAAATTTGGGATGGAGAAAATGTAGGGTCTATGATTTTGTAACAGTACTAAGGTGTTATAAATGTTGGGGATTTAACGACATGGCAAAACACTGTAGAAAAGAAGAAACATGCGAGCACTGTGCAGGAAATCATAGAGGAAATGACTGCAACACGAATAAGAAAAAATGTATAAACTGTATAGAGAGAATAAGAAGGTATGACAATAACAACATAAATGACGATCATGAAGCGACAGATAAAGAGTGCCCTACGTATTTGAGGAAAAAGGAAGAAGAAAAAAGGAGAACACAAGAAGTGGATGAATAGCATCTAATCCAAAAAGAGAATAATCTTGTAATGTGTTCAAACGCGAGAAGCTTAGTGAAACATAAGGATGAAATGGAAGTTCAAATATTTAAGAAATTAGGACCACTGGTAGTAGCACTAACAGAAACAAGACTAACTGAAGACATAGAAGATTGTGAAATTAACATAGAAGGATATAGCATAGTAAGATGCGATAGCGAAACGAAAACAACTGGAGGTTTAGTTATATATATGAAAGAGAATATCAAATATAAGAGGTTATTCAAAAGAAGGATAGCAGGAAACTGTTGGTGTGTAGCAGTATCGATAAGTGAGAAAAGAATTTACACGGGGGCAATCGCGGTTGTTTATCATTCACCGAGCAAGTTGGACGCGATCTTTGTAGAATTTATAGAAGACCTAAGTGAAGAACTGAACATAATGAGAGAGTTTATAATATTAGGAGATTATAATTTAGACATGACAGCAGATGAAATCTATGCAAAAAAGCTAGAAAAAGAACTTTTGGCCACAGGTGTAAAACAATATGTAAAACAGGCTACGAGAAGTGTAGAGAGAAGCCCAACAATCATAGACCTAGCCTTTTCAAATAACACACAGAGAGTGTGCGTGAAACAAGCACCGATGATAACGGACCATGCATGGGTACTCATATTGCTCAAGAAATATAATAATAATAATAATAATAATAATAGACAGAAGGAATTTATGGCGAGAGACAGAAGAAACCTAACAGGGGAGAATTTCAAACGGGTATGGGATAGAATAAAAAAAGAAAATAGACACTATGAAACAGTAGATGAAAAAGCAAACGGGTTAATTGAAGATATAGTGAAAACACTAGATGTAATTGCGCCAAAAAAGAGATTTAAGATATCAAATAAGTAGATCGACAAAAAATGGTACACAGTCGAGATTAAGAAAATAACGAGAAAAAGAGACATAGCATATGAAAGAGCAACACAAACAAATGACAGAATAGACTGGGAACAATACAAAAGGTGCAGGAATCTTGTAGTGACCACAATTAGACGCAAAAAGAAACAATACTATGAAGAAATGATAGATAATAACAAGTACAATCCTATAGAAATGTGGAAGACAATGAAAGAAGTACTAAATGGAAGACCTGAAAGAAACATTAAATATGAAGAAATCAGATTTCAAAATGGAAAAGAGGAAAGTGGCAACGTAGACGTGGTGAATAAATTCAATAGATATTTTATTGAAAGTATTACAGAAATAGTTCACAGCATTGACAATAACGACCAAAATAGTACTAATGACACTGGACGGGAAGAAAGCATAAATGATGACGATGGAAGAAACAAATGGGAGGAATTTGAGTTAGTGACAGAAAAGGAGTTAGCACAAAGAATACAAGGGATGTCTACAAAAACAGGGACAGAAGAGGGGATATCCACAGCAGTATTGAAAGAAACCTATGTGATTCTGCGTGAAGATCTGTTGGACGTAATCAACTCCACTTCGAGGGAAGGAATATGTCCAAATGAGTGGAAAGTACCGACGGTTACTCCCATACCAAAAGTGCCAAATACATTGAAAGCAAGCGAATACAGACCGATTAATGTACTTCCAACATATGAAAAAGTACTGGAGTTAATAGTAAAAAAAAACTAGAAAAGTTTATCAAAGATAATAAGATACTCATAGAACATCAGTCTGGGTTTAGAAAAGACCACTCATGCGAAACAGCAATCCAAACGGTACTAGACCAATGGAAAATAACAATTAGTAATAATCAAATGATAGGAGTAATATTCATGGATCTCAAAAGAGCATTTGAAACGATTGATAGGGAAAAACTCATAAAGAAGATGGCAAATTATGGCATGAGGGAAAAAGTACTAAGTTGGTTTAGGTCATATGTACATAGGAGATATCAACAACTGAAATTAGGAGAAAAAATATCAGAAAAAATGCTAACGGAATATGGAGTGCCTCAGGGATCAGTATTGGGCCCCCTACTTTTTATATTATATATAAAGGATATTGTGCAATGAATACAGAACAGTCTACAGTAAAATTATTCGCGGATGATACAATGATATATGTGATAGGAGAAAGTACAGAAGAAATAGAAACAAACTTGCAAACAGGGATGAACAAACTAGAGGGATACCTAAGAGAGAATAAATTAAAAATGAATACGAACAAAACAAAATATATGATAATAAGGAGTATTAGGAAGGAATTAGGTAGGGAAACTAAACTAACAACGAAATTAGGCAGCGAAATTGAAAGAGTGACAACAATGAAATATCTAGGAGTAGTTTTGGATGACCGCCTGAAATTCAAAAAACACTGTGATTATATACTAAACAAAATCGGGAAGAAAACAAGCTTCCTCAATAGAATAGGAAATTATATATCAGCATATACGCGATGCCTAGTATACAAAACGATTATTGCACCTCACTTCGAGTATTGTGCAACACTAATGATTAATATGAGAAAAACGGAAATAGAAATAGTACATTACGATACAAGTGCGCAGAGTAGGTGATTCCCGCAAGAGTCGGCTTTGTCGCCCGAGCGTAGCGAGGGTGACAACAAACGAGTGCGGGAGACACCTATGCGCACGTGTATCGTAATGTTATTTTCCTATCAAGCTGCGTAAAATTCGATTTTGCACACGCGTTTGACATTGCGGGAATGAGGCACTTTGCGCACGCAAACCCGTGCGCAAAATTCGATTTTGCGCACGCTGTTAGGAAAAATTACAGAAAGCACAAAACCGTGCCATGCGAACAATATTACAAGTGAATAGATACACCAAAATTAGAGATATGCTAGAAGCATTAAGTTTTATGTCAATAAAGGAAAGATTAGAGTTAATGAAAATGTTTTTATGTATAAGATGGTGAACAATATGATGCCAGAAGAACTGTGTAACAGAATTCTATTAGTAGGGGACAGAAGAGGTATGACAACAAGACAAGCACAGAAGATACAGATACATATAAGGAATACAACAAGTACCCAACAAAGCATAATGTATGCCGGGGCAAAAATATACAATGACCTACCGAAAGAAGTGAAAGAAACCACGGATCTCAATAGATTTAAGAAATGTGTAAAAGAACATATATTAGGAAGAAGATAACATAATGTATAGAACTTAAATATGTGTTGTGACGTATTTTTACGCGATCGACCTCACCGGAAAATGCAAGACCGACCGGCGCACAACTTTACGCGATTCCTACGCGTTCCAGGCAACCCAGTGGCTAAAAAATTTTTACTATCGAAATACCTAAGATATTGTTGGGCGCCAGGTTCCAAAACGGGAACCACGTATCAGTTCCTACGTATTAATTATCATCTCAAATCGTCCAGTATTTCTGACAGCTGGAAGAATGATAAACTTGTCTTACAACAGTTTTTTTCAAGTAAGCATGAAAAACAATGTTATGATATTTTGATTTTCTATGACATAATGTTAATATATTCTGGTTACTCCCCGATTACGTTTCAATCAATAATTTAAATAATAAAATTAGCGATTCGATATTCCAGGTGATAAAAGCATCTGTAGCGTATCTCAATATTCTTCGTAAAGTAACGATGTAAGGTATTGCGAATTTTCAAAGGAAAAGCATGTAGTTCGTGTTTCTCATTCTACACTAGTCAACTAAGTAATCCAATAGTGTTATTTTTATTTTAACCCTTAACGCTCTGACTGTTAATTGTGACTATCGACCGGCAACTCCAACTTGTTTTCATTATACTTCGACTTGCAAGTTTTTAAGTGTCAGATTTTAAACGCTGCAATGACGTGTAGTTAATAACATTCTTTCCTGATCTCTTGTAACTGACTGAGGAGTATTATTTTTTATTTATAAACAATTACCGATAACGACCCGAAAATACATTTGGCGTAAAGTGCCGCACATCGGTGGTGCCTGAGAGGCACCCTTGGAGCGTTAAGGGTTAAAAGGCAACGGACCTTACCATTATACTGGAAACCAAGATCAACCGGGTGAGGACTCTATAGCTCTGCGAAATCTAATTGAGTCAAAGAAAGTTCTACAAATAGCAAAATGCTCAAGTGACCAAAAATGAAGCCATGATGGTACAAGTATCAATGACAAATTATCACAGAGCTATAGATGCAATTTTATTTCAATATATGCTGATGTGCGTGATATAACATTTGAATGCCTCCTGCATAGTTCAAGCAGTCGTATATCGTGGTAATTTGTTTATTATTATACTAATTTTCACATTAAATTCCAGTATTATTTCAAACGGAATAAATGTTGTTGTGAAGTAAACTGTTTTTCCAATAATACCTACGAATTAATTGACCCACGGCGAACATGGAAAGTTGTATGCACAGGCTGTCTCACCGAAAGTGCACACCTGGATTATTTACGTTATTAATGAAGATACGGGAAAAAGTTTCAGACAAAATTTGTGTGGTTTCAAGGGGGTCGATTTTTCATCCAAATGACTCTTTTTATATTCATTTGATTTCGAGATACAGCACTTAACATGTTTTTTTCTTTAATGGAACATCATTTTCTGTTATTAGAAAATGTACCTTTTTTTTTCTTAGTATTTTGAGACCTTGCAGACTAAAATCCATCCAGCTATTTCAAAGTTATTAGGAAGTGAATTTATTGAGGAATCTTCGGTTGCGAAATTAATCGCGAGAACCGTAAATGCTCTAGCAGTGCTGCAACCGAAGACTGTTCAATAAATTCACTTCTTATCAAATCTCGAAATAAAATGAATGTGAAAAGAGTCATTTGGATGAAAAATTGACTCCCTTGAAACCATACAGTTTTTGCCTGAAACTTTTTTTCCGTATCATCAATAAAAACGGAAATAATCGAGGTGTGCACTTTCGGTGAGATACCTTGTATATACATATAGATATAGAGGGACACAATAGCTAAATAAATAAGGGAGGGCAATATATATATATAAAAAAGTTAATAAATATCTAAATATTTATCTGTAAAAGATTATCAACGCTGCAACATGTTTCTTTCGCACAATATACGATATTACATTGGTTTATATTAATATTTCAAAGAACATAGACATTTGAAATACTCTTAGAACGAATCAGTGTGCCGATTGCAAATTGTTAACGGAAATTTTTAATATTCTCGCAGTCTCTATCCAATTGAAAAGTGAATGGAAAACATGGTACTTAACTAAAATTAAATTATATAGAATTAATAAAGATTTAGTCTCATTATTGTAGATCAAGAACCTTAAAGTGGATATATGTTGTGATAATTAATAGTCTAATAATAAATGATGATTTCCTCTATTATTGGTACCAAGACAGCCGCATTTCGAAACTGTGAATATACTAAAATGGTGGACATCAATACTTACTGCGGTTTAGTGCTTTACTTCATTTTTAATATATTTCTTTCCATTGCTGTAGATCATTTCTCATTTGACATGTAAATTTGGAATTATCACGTGAATCTCGTTGTGATTGTCATCTGAAAGAAAACGCTTGATTGACATTTATGCAGTAGCACAATAAATAACATGAGCCTAAAATCAATAAAAAAGTTTAATATTGTTAAGAATTATTTTAAACATTCGTTTAAGGGGATAGCCTACTGTAACCAGCGTCTAAACAGGTTAATTTTTGGAAATTTATTTCGGATAAACTACAAATGCAATATTTTTAATTTTTTAATATGTTTTTATGTATAACTTAAGGAGTGTGTGTACAAATTTTCATCGAAAAATATTGAAATTTCCCCACGTTATTCTTCTTTGCGTCGGCTGATATTTTCCGTGCGCGATCGGTCGGTGTACACGATTTCGCAAATATAGTTGGTTTGAATCAAAAATAAAAAATATCCTCATTAACTGAACTTTTCGTGAACTTCTTTTGCAATTATCGGACTTATGATGCGTGTTATTATTATTAATAAATATTGCAAAAAAACGTATTGACAAAATCGTCCGTCATGCCTAAAATTGTATTCCTTTGAACATGTGTATCAAATTTCAAGTGAATTCATCAATCACAGCCCGCGATATCATGTACACCGTTTTGAAAAACATAATTTCGAGAAAAACGTGTTTAAAGTTTGAGCACTAGTCATCTAAATGCGCGTCAAATTCTTCCTTCGCTACAAACGCTATAATTAAAAGATATTTCGAATATCTACATGGAACCTATTGCATATTATTCTAAATACTTCAAATTATTTTTTAAAGGTGACATAAATTTCGAAAATTCGAAAATTTCACAGTAGTCTAATCCCTTAAGATGTTTAACAAAGCTAATAGAAATAGAAATGTAGCGTGGCAGATACACATACTTACCTAATGTCAAAAGTACACTTACTATCTGTTGCATGTAAAACGAGACAAGAAATGATACAGGCATCAAATACATTAACCCTATGAAGGTACAAATATTTAATTTGATCGATTGGACAAACGCATCATCCCATATTCAGCGAACGAAGAAATGTACACGTATTATTCCATGCAAGTCCATAACCCTCTCTAAATAACAGAATAGACAATCATAAAATATGAAAAAAGTCCAGTGCGCATGGTCAGGTCGGAATTGCTCATCCAACTCACATAATCTATAACCATTTGATCTTCAGTTAAGATTCAGCTGCGAAACAACAATGGTGGGAATAGAATCGTGCAAAAGGATTTTAAGCACAGAAGATAAAGTACAGACGGAACAAAATAAGAATTACAAGAGCGACATAGAGTATGCCTTAAAATTGAATCGCTGGCTGCTAAACCCAATTTCAATATGGCCACTATCGTCACATGTATCAACACTCACGAAAATCCAATTTAAATTTATACGAACATGTTGCTGGGTCTTTCTGGCGTTTTTAATAATCCCAACCAGACTACACACGATCTTTGCGAAAACGGATCGCGCCGTGAAATTAAAAATGATCGGACCTCTCGGTTTCTGCGTAATGGTTATCGTGAAATATTTCGTCTTCGTCGTTCGTGCTAAAAATATAAAAATATGCGTCGATCATGTTGTCGTAGACTGGCGCAACGTTAATACGACTGAGGATCGTGAGATCATGATTGATAGTGCAAGGATTGCTCGGTTATTCACTGCTGCTTCTGCACTCTTCATGTACGGCGGTGGTGTTTTTTATACGTCCGTTCTGCCACTAACAGCATCCAAATCTTTATCAAATGATAATGTTACGATAAGAGTGCTGCACCCCTTCTATTTCTTTACCTACGATCCGCAGACCACTCCTATGTACGAACTTGTATTTCTTGTTCATACCTTGAGTGACGTTGTCATGTATTCCACGACTTCCGGAGTCTGCAGCTTGGCTGTCGTATTTGCAATGCATGTTGATGGTCAGTGTCAAGTTTTGATGAGACTTTTGAATGACTTCGTTGACGGCAACAGAGAGAAATCATCAACCTTACACCAGAGATTGGCCAATGTTGTTGTGCGTCACTTGCGGATTCTCAGGTGAAAATTTTCACAATAATAGCAATTTTATATGTACAATTAGTGCGGCTTCTTTTCAGTGAATGTTTTCGGATTTCATTTGCAGGCTGATATCTACAATGGAAAATATTTTTAATGAGATTTTTCTTGTAGAGGTGGTTGGTTGTACATTCATTTTGTGCTTTCTTGGATACTATTGCATGACGGTAGGGCAATCGCAGGATCTATTTGCTACAATGAAACTCAATAAATTTTGCTTGCATATTTTGTATCACAGGATCTGACAGAGAGCGAAACATTTGGCCTAATTGCGTATTTTCTTTTATTAATATCACTGACGTTCAATGTCTTCGCGTTTTGTTACATCGGAGAGCTTATAACGAGTCAGGTACACAGAGATTCCTTTATTAGGTAACATTAATCAGGGAATAATATGCAAAAATTTATGTTTTATGCGACAGTGCATGCGAATCGGACAAGCGGCATATTTGACAGAATGGTACAGATTAGGGGGGAAAAATGCCAGTAATTTAATTATATTAATTATCATCTCAAATCGTCCAGTACTGCTGACAGCTGGAAGCATGATGATTCTGTCTTACAACAGTTTTATTCAAGTGAGCATGAAAAACAATGTAATAATATTCTGGCTATTCCCTGATACGTTTCAATCAGAAATTTAACTAATAACATTTGCGATTTGTTATTCCAGGTGATAAAAGCATCTTTAGCGTACCTGAATATTCTTCGTCAAGTAACGATGTAAGGTATTACGAATTTTCAAAGGAAGAGCATGTAGTTCATATTTCTCAATCTACACTAGTCAACTAAATAATCCAATACGGACACGTGAAATGGTGTTATTTTTATTTTAAAAGACAAAAAAACAATTCACGAAGTACAGAGATCAAATATTTATCTGGTAAAAAATTGTCAACTCTGCAATATGTATCTTTCTCATAACGCAGCAATTTGAATGCAACATGCATAAAATCGATGACATATAACCCTTTATGCCTACAACCCGTCGCCACGAACCTATGCATTATGAAGGAGAATTATGAAGAAGAAGATCAAACGGGTGAGGAGTCTATACCTCTAGGAATTAAAATTGCGCTTAGTCGTAAGTCAGCAATCGATAACCAAGCTGTAAAGATGAGACGTAGCTCATTGAATAGAATCACACAAACTGTCAGAAATAAGAATTACGAGTCCGACGTGGAGTACGCCATTAAATTAAACCGCTTGTTGTTAACGCAATAGGGATATGGCCAGTTAATTCGTCGTCATCGGAATTCGACAAATTAGTATCAATAATATCCCCGATCATCTGCTGCATTTTATTTATTATTCGAGTAATTCCGTCCATCATTGAATTGTTCGTCGATTTAAACACAGTAGAGGCAAAACTCAATTTTTTGGGGCCAAACAGTTTTTGCGTTATGGTCATCATTAAATACTACCTTCTTTGGGTTCGTGGCAAGACAATCAAAATGTGCATCGACACTGTTATTAACGATTGGTGCGAAGTCAATGTGAAAAAGGAACGCGAGATTATGATTCGGAATGCAAGAATTGCTCGAGGATTGACGATTACCTGTGTACTTTTCATGTTTGGTTCTGGTATTTTTCACGGCATGTTTGTCCCATTATTGGCGACTGCTGCTCTGTTACGTGATAACGTGACTTATAGAATTTTACCATATAATGGAAATTTCTTCTTCTTCGATGCTCACGTACCACCGTATTACTATGTAGTATTTTTCCTGCAAATCATGTTTGGAGGGATTATGTACGCTGTGTCGTCTGGAACATGCAGTTTGGCTGCAAAGTTTATTATGCACATATGTGGACAGTGTCAAATTATTACGTATCTTCTGGAAAATCTTGTCGATGGTGGAGACGATTTTTCTCCCACTCTTGAGAACAGAGTGGCAGCTGTCATCATCCGACATTTACATGTGCTCAAGTAAGAAAGCTTTTTCAATAAATTAACCCTATGACACCTATCAGTTTATATCGCATTTCAGAATCCCATGAGAGGTTATATTCCACCCCAACTTTCTTATAATTTTCATTTTAATTAATATCACAAACGCCAAACTCTCAGAACGATGAATACAATTCTTTCAAATTAATGTATACATTATTTCAAGTTTATATAGATATATGTATGTGTGTGTGTCAACACTGTATTGTTCTATTCATATGGCCGTTTAAGGGGAGCATACTATTTAGACGGCCGAAAATGAGGCATTATTCATGAATTTTTTTGAAGATGATAAAATAATCGCATCATTTTGAAATTGTGGTATCATTTTATTTCACCTTTAAAGCATACAAAAATATTTTTTTTTTTGTTACGAAAGAAAATAACGGCTCTGTGTGTTATTTGGCCAGGCGTGTTTAGCGTGACACCGAAAAGTGCTGCAGTCGTCACGTTTTTTGTAGTGATCTGAAACCAAGAAAAAACAATTATTTTTTGATTAATGACATGTAAAGGGGAAGGACTAACCTAAAAAACAATGAAAAAGTATAAAATTAAAAATTTGGTAGGCTGTTGGAAAAAATGTTCGAATTTTCGACCATTTTTTCGACAGTTTTTACCCCGAAAAAATATTTTATTTACGCGATATCTTTAAAACTTTAGGTTTGTCCTTCCGATAATATTATAGAGAATCACCTCCCAAAAATTCAGCCAGATCGACCAATAACTTTTTGAGTTACAACATGAGCAGTTTTTTAAAATGTAGTTTCGAGATAATCGCGTTTAAAGTTTCAGTACGATAAAACTATTAGTCTTAGTGACTTACCGATCAATCAGCGATTCCAGACGCATATAATAATACTTCAGCCTCTTCGAAAAGCTGATTCTCTTCCATTTGTTGTTGTTTTCTGACTATACGAGCTGCTTTAGTTTCAGAAAGACTCATCTTGTTCTGCCTCGCTACTCGGGCCTCATCGATGTTTTCGGCGAAAACTTTCAAATAGGTGCCACCAATTATATCTAAATTGTTCATAATTCTAAGAATGGAGGTGTAGCCTTCATTAAATATCCCAGCAGCAATATAGGCTGAGATTTCAATGATGTTTAATCCAGAATGTAAGTGCTTTGGGGATAATCGCCAAACTGTCGCGTTGAAACTTTTATTGGCATTATGGGTATGGCCACCCAAGCATCTTTCCAGTAAAGCATCCCTAGATAAATCTTCATAAATTGATAGGAGATGGTATTTAATCTCGTCGGCAAGTAATGGAATAAAATCTTCAAAGAATTATACAAAGATATTGTGAAAGAAACGTTGCTCCACCCCAAGCGCTCCGGCTACCAGACTCGCTAGTTTACGGTATGCGGACCCCGGCGCTCTCGACTATGTGCAATAACTCCATAAATATTTAATATTTCGATTTGTCCTTTTTCCAGTACATTCTTAATATATTATACTTTCGAAATATGAAAAAAAAAAATAGATTTTTTGAAAATTCTAAATAGTATGCTCTCCTTAAAGATGGTCAGGGAATATCTTGCACCTTAGGTGGGGCCCAACGAGTTAAAGAAATAATATTATTTTTTTTTATTAAACCAAGTATCTTATTAAAATGCGGTGGACAGAAAGTTTTGTTGTAATCGATAAAACTTGCAATATATCTATCCAGATTTATTTCAAGAGTGGAGGAATTGTTAAATGAAATGTGTCTCGTGGAATTTTTGAGTTGTACATTGAATATGTGCCTTCTTGGATATTACTGTATAACGGTAAAAAATAAAATTACTGAATATAAATAAGATTTTTTCTTCGGATAAAATTACCTTATATTGTAGGGATGGGAAAGTGCCGATGCTTTAAAGCTTTTTACTTTTTTTCTTCTATTGATATCTATCACCTTCAACATATTTATATTTTGCTATATTGGCGAATTATTAACGAATCACGTACGTTTCTCAAAATAAAAATAAAAATATTAATTAACGGATCCTAATCAATTATTGTATGTATCATGCAGTGTCAGGAAATTGGAGAAGCGTCTTACATGATCGATTGGTATCACCTCCCAAGAATCCAAGCACGTTTACTAGTACTGCTCATTGCAATCGGTAATCGACCGGTAAAACTAACAGCTGGAAAAATTGTCGATCTGTCAATCGTCACCTTTTCAAATGTAAGTTCCAACGTTAGAATTAATAACAATTTATGAGCACATATACCATCCCGCATTACAATATTTTAGGTTGTGAAAACTTCAGTAGCATACTTAAATATGCTTCGAAAGATGACTTCCTCTGGAATGGAAAAAATTGATTATTAAAAAAAAAATAAAATTACCATAAGTATAATCGATCCACGATTTGAATATATGCCTTTTCGAAATTTCGTAGACAATGCAATTCTTAGCAAATCACACATGGCTTTCCTTGAAATTACTAAAATGATTGTGCCGGTTCAGTGAAATCGTGCTGGATCGGGATAAGGGTAGCACGGTATGCACGGCACAAAAAAAGTCGCGTGGATGCAAAATCTTTGAGTTTTGTTTCAACGTTTAAGATACGCTGGCATGGATGACACGAAAGCGCGGTAACAATACGGAAAGTAATGATTTGATTTTATCGAGCGAAAATGCCGAGCGACGTGTGATCGATAAAGCCGAGCGACTAGTCGATTACTGTAGCGTTACTTCTCGAGCTTTTTCCAAAAGAGACTGATTTGGAGGCGCCTAGTCGCGCGTATTTCCGAAATCTTTCGGGGGGGATGGACACGAGCAGGAAACTACTTGCACGTCCAGAACGAGCAGTTTTTCAGAGACGATGACGTTCTAACTGTAGACTCGCTTGTTTATATTTGTCATCGAGAACGAAATGCGAACGATCAGAACTCCGAAAATTGAACTCGGCGTAAGACATTACGCGCGGTATTAAATTATATTTATAATTCTGAACAGATTGTGATTTAAGAAAATAAAATATATGTATATGAGTGCAAACCCATGCACGTGCATATTTTGTAACGAAAATTGTATGCAGAATCACGTGTATCTTTATTGTTTTCGATCTATCAAACAAACACATTGAACTCATCCACTGCTTATGGTAACAATAGTTAAGGTCACCATTCAATAAGGACCAGTGATGGGAAATGATCAAATATTGATAATGCTCGTTCAACGATTAAATGGTTCGAATGAAATCTACACAATCTTATAGTAATTCGTGAAGGAATAAAGTTTAACACATATTTTCTGTCCCCTTACTGCTCTCTGTTAATAATACATTCGGTGTAATGTTCATCTTGGGTCACAGCAAATGTCTAGTTTTTCATTTAAAGGTATTGTCCATCGTGCACCCTGCACTCTCTCACGATATTAGCATTTATAAGAAAAACATGAAATCGATGACGCGCAACCCTTTACTGGTACAGCAAGGTAAAGCCTATGAACGTATCCTATGCATTATGCAGGACTCTATATCCAAATTGGTTAGACTGCCTGTCTCTGTGTAAAAATAAATCTGTAAGCACAGTCAGTCAAGAGTTGCTTACGAAGATGTAAAGATGGAACGTAAAACTTTGTATAAGATCGCGCCAAATGAATACAATAAGGATTACCAGTCAAACGTGGAATACGCTATTAAATTGAATCGCTGGTTATTAAAACCGATTGGAATTTGGCCCATTAGGTCATCATCGAAATTGTCCAATATCATATCATTTATTTACTCAGGTTTATGTTGCTTTATAATGATTTTTATGGTGGTTCCGACGTGCATCGAGATATTCACTGGTGAACAGAGTCTTAAATCAAAGCTAGAAATTTTTGGACCTACTAATTTTTGTGCCATGGCTATTATAAAGTATTGTGTCTTTGCGTTTCGGAGCAGAAAACTTAAAGTTTGTATAGATTTCATTATTGCCGATTGGCGTGAAGTTAGTAACAAAGAGGAACGCGTCATTATGTTCAGAAATGTATATATAGCTAGATCTTTGACAGGAGTTTGTGTTACTTTCATGTTTGCTGGTGGTATTTTTTATAATATACTCTTACCTCTGCTCACATCCAATTCTCTCTCAAGTGGTAACGTGACCATTAGAATGTTGCCATACCGTGGTAATTACATATTGTTTGATGCATATGTGGGACCGTTTTACCACATGGTATACCTCATGCATTGTTTGTGCGCCATAATCATGTACTCCGTCACAACTGTTGTGTGCAGTTTAGCTACAAAGTTTGTAATGCACACGTGTGGACAGTGCCAAATTGTGATATCACTCTTGAAAAATCTTATTGACGGCAATCAAAATTGTTCAAGAACCTTGGATGACAGATTGGCTGTTGTTGTTGTACGACATCTCCGTGTACTCAGGTTAACTGATTAATCAAGCACAGAGAGAAAAGCAAAATTTACTTTTATTTTTGTGTAATGCACCAAATTTCTCATATTTCATTAGATTTGCATCACACGTGGAAAACATTTTAAATGAACTATGCCTTCTGGAATTTGTGGGTTGTACTATAAATTTGTGTCTCCTTGGATATTATTTTATTACAGTACGTAAGGATATAGTACATAGAATATCGGATTTAATATTGATTTGTAATGATATTAATGATAATAATGATTTGTAAAATTAAGTTTTTCACAGGAATTTGAGAATGCCAATACACTCGGACTCATTACTTTCTTTCTCTTACTCGTCTCCTTCACTTTTAATATTTTTATATTTTGTTATGTCGGCGAACTGTTAACGGATCACGTACGTTCTTGTAGAGAAAAGTGCAGAACAATTGATGAACAATGATACAATATTATATCTATGATACAGTGTCATCAAATAGGAGAAGCATCTTACATGATCGATTGGTATCGTCTATCAGGGAGGCAAGGACGATTTTTGATAATGATAATTGCAATTGCCAATCGACCCATAAATCTCACAGCTGGTAAAATGATACAATGGTCTCTGATGTGCTTCACCAACGTAAGTATCTATAAAAATGTATTAAATTAATACAATAATTTATTATTTCAAACAGGATCGAATAATATTTTAGGTAATAAAAGTGGCAGTAGCATACCTGAATATTATCCGTAAAATAACTTCGTGATTGACGTCCATGTAATTACTTGAAAAGATATCCAAGATATCCACAGTTACTTCTTCAACGTAGGGCAAATCCAATTGTTCTCTCTTGCACCCTTCAGGTACGGTCGACGCGCTGAGCACGTTACGACACGGGATATTAATAGCACCATATCTAAAAAAAAATTTTCAATATTATCAAAATCTAAAAAATTGTACTTAAAGTATGATATCAACACTTTTATTTTTATCATAGACTATATTATCATCATTAGCATATTAGAAGTTATGATATTCGAAAATTTATATTTGCATGCAGTTTCATTATTAAACGTTGCGTATTCACCGATTCACGTAGTCATTCGCGGTGTGAAACCGCCGCGAGGGATTGCGTGAGGTTAATTTACGTAATTTCTCTTTATAAAGTATTACCCATGTTACAATATGCTACTTTCTCACAATGCTATAAATTAAGAAGAGACACAATAAAAAAATCGACAAAACGTAACCCCTCATCACTGTACTATAAAGCCTTGCCTTGCAAGCATGTCATGCATTATTTATAAGAGGGTCTAAATTCAAACTCCATGTTAACAAAAAATTGCACATTGATACAATCAGTCAGGAATGAATTTCGTAAGAGTAAGGATAAAACGCAGAGTATGGAAAACAACCAAGATATGAAAACTAAATGAAAGCCAAGCATGAAGGATGAGAATTTAAATTCAGACGTGAAATAAGAGATTAAATTAAATCGTTGGTTATTAAAACCTTTTGGGATTTGGGCGTTGTATTCATCGCCTACAGAATTCAAGTGAATAACGCCATTGACATCTCCACGAACTTGTTGCTTTACGTGATGAATTCAGTGTTTGTCGAAAAAATCGTCAGTAGGAAAAATTTGATATCAAGACTCGAAATTTTTGGACCCACAAGTTCTTTTTTTGAAAGTATAATTAACACTAAACGTACCGTCGACAGGTCATTTGACCCTTTTAAAGCAAAAAATACGTTACAAAAAAATGTCAGTGTGTTTAGCATTAAGTAGTTTGCCTTTATCACACGTTGCAAAAAGGTTTAACCACATATCGATACTATCGTTAATATTTGGCGTAATGTTCCTGTAACAAAAGAACGTGAACAATAAATGATGGTGTTATCTATAGTACCTTATTACGCATGATAATTGTCAAATTGTTGACGCGTGATGACAATTTGACAATCAGAACTCTATCGTTTCGTTGCAACTTCACATTCTTCGATCCATATACGTCAGACTAGTTTTTCACATTGTGAATATTGTGCAATGCTTGTGTGGCATCATTTTGTATTCTATCGTAACGAGTGCACGCAGAACTACAAAGTTCGTGATACATGCCCGTGAACAATGCGAGATCGTAATATTACTTTTGAGAAATTTTATTGATGGTGATAGAGATTGTTCGAGTATTGTGAAAAAAAAACTGGATCTTGTTATTGTACAACTTTTGGATGTGATAAGGTAAAACAATTTCATCCGCAAGATAAACTATTTTTGAATGTGTAGAATTATAGAATATATGTGTAGAATGTGTAGAATAATAATGTGTAAAATTTGTATACACGTTTAAGGCGCGAATAGTACAGGCTATGTGTGCGGGTGGGTTGTCACACGGACGAAGCTGGAATCGAGGGAACTTCCCACCCACAAAACTCCAAATAGACTTTACGGGAACAATACCCATTGATACGGTGAAAAGTTGATAGAATTAGAACTTTGTCTGACAAGGAAACCGTATCAGGTGTCCCCCTCTGACTTTGTTCGTTTCTTCATCGAGATCTAAGTGACACGTGTTTTCTTTTATTAGCGGAAAAACTGTTTTAAGGGACTAAATCAACTCCCAAAATTGGATGCCCCCAGCGTTTGTTCAGCAGTTTTTTATATTTCCTGTTGAGGTATCTGAATGAAGCCAATTGGAAAATAATGCTCATGGCCATTAATGAAGAATACATTTTGTTCGATTCTGATTTTGTGAAATAATAAAATTTACAGGGGCTGCAAAATTACACATTTTTATAACATAACCTTGCTTAAGGGGTGAACTATCCCTACCGTGCAACAAAATTTCAGTTAAAACCGCATCATCCTGCTTCAATAGCGTTCGGTTGCATTTTTGTCCAAAAATCGTCACCGCGTTGTATTCTGCCCCCGTCTGGTGGCATTTCTTGGATGCTCGTGAACTCTTGTATTCGAAGGGAGGTCGTTGAAATCGATTCAGGACTTCAGAGCGGATCAAAAGACCCTAGATCCGGATCATCAGACTGATAAAGACCTATTTATCGAACGACCAGATCTAGATTAACGTTTGGAAAAGGAAACCAGACCTACGAGGACTGAAGTAGTACCTATTTTTTGAGTCGATCGACCCGAATCGCCATGACAGATCCGTAGGCTGTCACTTTCGGAATTCAGTTATATGTTTCAGTCATATATTATCTAAAAGAAAGAATTTAAAAATTTGACTCCGCAGGAAATGACATTTGATAGAAAGGATTCAATTTCGTGTAATAAATTAAACGACAGTGCTTTCCGTGGAGATATCTTTGGCTACAAAGTTTCCTCGCTTCCAGCCCCGACATGGTGAAAACTCACTTGTGAAAAAAAAAACTATAACTATTCGATTCCAAACACTTGAAAGTTCCACATAACGCCACAAATGTTAGTTGAATCCTGATCACCCGGTACATAAGTGAATCGTGCATGACAAACTCATAATTGTATTATGATTAGAGTAACATTAAAGTATGTGTACAATTAACATTATAGGTGCTAAAAGCATCACTGGCCTACCTAAATATTCTCACAGCAGTTACCGTATGAATACAAGATGAAATAAAATGTAATTACGAGCACAGAATCCAGTAGTCGATTGTTACATCAAACATACTCCATCTTGGAGACATTATAGTGAAGTGAAAGTAAAAAAAATCCACTGACATAATCGATAACTCCTATCTTTGAAATAGAATTGTACTCTGCACTCGTGCACGTGTCTCTTCCCACGATATGGTAACTTCCTTTGCACTCCACTAATAAATCAATTTAAGCGCAACCCTTTATCCCCACAAAGCTTCACGATGCGAACGCATTATGAATAATATATATGTCTATAGTCGTAGAGACAAAGCTTCGTCTCTCTGAATAACATTTAAAAAATGCAGTAAAATCGTCAGTAGAGAATCAACCGTCGGACATCAAGGATGGACCACGAAATAGAGGAATTTAAAATCAAGACTGCCGTTCAGAATAAAAACTTCGACTTCGACGTGGAATACGCGATTAAATTAAATCGCTGGTTATTGAAGCCATTCGGGATTTGGCCGTTAAATTCGTCATCCACAAAATTTGACAGAGGAATATCAGTAATTTCTTCATTCATCTGTTGCCTCCTGCTGTTTTTCGTGATGATTCCGTCCTTCGTCGTAATGTTCGTCAGTGAAAAAGATTTTAAAGGAAGACTTGAGATTGTGGGACCCACGAGTTTTATTATTATGGTTGTTCTAAAATATTTTTTCCTTATCACTCGTGGCGACACTCTTAAAATGTGTATCGATACTATCATTAGTGACTGGAGTAATGTTCAAGCAAAGGAAGAACGTAAAATAATGTTCAGAAATGCAAAGATTGCTCGATTATTTACAATAATCTGCGTCTCCTTCATGTATTGCGGTGGAATTTTTTACAGTATCTTTTTACCTCTGATAACGGCCAAATCGTTGACAAATGGCAATAACTTGACTATTAGAATTCTACCATATCGATGCAATTTTATAATCTTTGATCCATATAGGCGACCAATTTTTGACATCGTGTATGTTGTGCATTGCTTCTGTAGTGTCATTATGTATTCTATCACAACGGGCATCTGCAGCCTAGCTGCAAAGTTTGTGATGCATGCCTGTGGACAGTGCGAAATCGTTATGTCACTTTTGGAAAATCTTATTGACGACGACAAACAATGTTCCGATATTGTGGAAAGCAAGTTGGCTACTATTATTGTGCAACATTTGCACGTGATCAGGTAAACTAATTAATTACGTAAAAGAAACTGTTTCATGTGTATCATGAATTTACTTTGGATAACTGACGTGCATGAATATTTTCTAATTGGTCAAGATTCAAATGTTTGCTTAGATTTGTGACGCGCGTGGAGGATCTTTTAAACGAAGTGTGTCTTGTGGAATTTTTGGGCTGCACTATGAACATGTGTCTTGTCGGATATTACATTATAACGGTATGGCTAAATTTTAATGAATACAAATTTAAATGCTGCTTTCAATTGTTATATCATTTACAGGGATTCGAATCAGCTGACACCGTCAGATTCATTACTTTCACCCTACTATTTATATCTTTCACGTTTAATATTTTCGTATTTTGTTATATTGGTCAAATATTGACAAATCATGTAAGTCAGCACACAGTTAATTGTGATGTTCAAATTATTGAATCATAATAATATAGCATATGTGATACAGTGCCATCAAATTGGAGAAGCATCATACATGATCGATTGGTATCGCTTCCCAGGAACACAAGCACGATTTCTAATATTGCTAATTGGCGTCGCAAATCGACCAATAAGACTCACAGCTGGTAAAATGGTCCAATTCTCTTTTCCTTGTTTCTGCAACGTATGTATTCAAATCTTCAATTGATGGAAATGTTTAAATACGTAACAACCAAGATCGATATTATACTATATTCTTTATAATAATATTCACTGAACTTCATTGTACCATTGAACTTCTCAGGCCCGTATTCTTGAACCATTCTCATGAATCGCGCTTAAGACCGGCCAGCCCGCTATAGTAAGAAAATAAGCACTGCTTCGATCCTAATGGGTCTGATTTCGTTCTCCTTACACTTATCTAGGTCTGGTCGATTGATAATTAAAACCTGATGAGTCTCATCTCATTCTTTTGACCTGGATCTAAGCCTATTTGTTGCGTGTTACGGACTGAAACAAATTATAAACCTTGATTTCGTGCTGCCGAATAGAACGAAAAAGTATAGAAATAAGACTTATTTTTTGGACTCGGACAGTCCGTCTTCCACATAAATACATAAAACAAAGAAATAACATTGATTCTATAGTTCAGTTAAGCCAAAATTTTAACCCAAGATTTATTCTAATATCTTTATTTGTTCCGTAGTTATTTGAAAAAAAAGAATGTTTGTACAAAAATTTCAAAGGTTAATTTTGCCACTCAATCCCAAATTACGACAAAAAATGGTTACTTCCATATTTCAGTGTGCCTCTTCTACGTTTCCGAAAAGTTTTCAATCTCAACTATTATACGACGGATTTTGACAGCTATCAAAATTTCGTAACCGTAAAATATATCGGACGACAATTCATGCCTCCCTAGCCAAATTTTCCATTGGTAACAATAACGAAGGGTTTTCTATTGATTTTCATTGATTTACCACACATCACCTTTGGCAAATGGCATTGCCAATGAATAATTTTGCTACGGGCCGTTTACGATTAACTCTTTGCGATCGAAATCTGGCATATTCTCGGCAAAGTATATTTCTTTTCAACTGTTACAAACACAAAGAGTTAATACTAGCAATCAGTGGTTTTTACCGACAAATCGTAGCAGAAAATTAAAAAAAAATAACGTAAAAATATCTCAATCAATGATTCAATATTCAAATGCTTTAAAACTTCATTCCACACACTCATGTGCCTGAATACACAGCCCAAGCAACACAGAAGGCGCCACAAGAGACCACTGAGAACTATTCTACCTATAATTAAACCATGCATAATTAATTGATATTTTATCATAATGTAATTCACGAAAATTACATTGTAGGTGATAAAAGCAGCAATGGCATACCTAAATATTATCAGAACAGTCACCATATGAATATAATAAACCTGTAGCCTTGCAAAATAATATAAATTATAATTACGAGCACAGAATCCAGTAATCGATTGTTATGTATAATATACATTGTATATCGAACATATGCTCTCCTAAAGGTATTATAGTAAAGTGAAAATAAAAAAATCTGTGTCCACTGGCACAATCGATACTCCTATCTTTGAAACAGAATTGTACTTTGTATTACGCATGTACAAGTGTCTCTTCCCACGATATGGCAATTTACATTGAACTCCACGTAAAAAAACAATTGCAGCGCAACCCTTTATGCGTACAGAGTTTCACGACGTTTATGCACTACGAATAATATATAAGTCTATAGTCGTAGAGACAAAGCTCCGTCTCTCTGAATAACATTAAAAGAATTCAGTAAAATCGTCAGTAGAGAATCGACCGTCGGACATTAAGGATGGATCACGAAATAGAGCAGTGTAAAATCAAGACTACCGTTCAGAATAAAAACGTAGACTCGGACGTGGAATATGCGATTAAATTAAATCGCTGGTTATTGAAGCCATTCGGGATTTGGCCGTTAAATTCATCGTCGACTCAATTCGAAAGACTAGTATCAGTAATCTCACAATTCGTTTGCTGCTTCCTACTGCTCTTCATGATGATTCCGTCCATTATAGAAATGTTTGTCAGTGAAAAAAATTTTAAAGCAAGACTCGATATTTTGGCACCCACGAGTTTTTCTGTTACGGTTGCTATAAAATATATTGTATTTATGACTCGTGGTAGACAGCTTAAAACGTGTATCGATACTATCATTAATGATTGGGGTAACGTCCGTGAAAAGCAAGAACGTGAAATGATGATACGTAACGCAAGAATTGCTCGACTTTTCGCAATAATTTGTGTCTCGTTTATGTATTGCGGTGGAATTTTTTACAGTATCTTTTTACCTCTGATAACGGCAAAGTCATTGACAAGTGGCAATAACTTGACTATTAGAATTCTACCATATCGATCCAATTATATACTGTTTGATCCATACGTAAGACCAGTTTTTGACATTGTGTATATTGCGCACTGCTTCTGTAGTTTCGTTATGTGTTCCATCACAACGGGCATCTGTAGCCTAGCTGCAAAGTTTGTGATGCATGCCTGTGGACAGTGCGAAATCGTTATGTCACTTTTGGAAAATCTTATTGACGACGACAAACAATGTTCTGATATTGTGGAAAGCAAGTTGGCTACTGTTATTTTACAACATTTGCACGTGATCAGGTAAACAAATTAATTACGTAAAAGAAACTGTTTCATGTGTATCATGAATTTACTTTGGATAACTGACGTGCATGAATATTTTCTAATTGGTCAAGATTCAAATGTTTGCTTAGATTTGCGACGCGCGTGGAGGATCTTTTAAACGAAGTGTGTCTTGTGGAATTTTTGGGCTGCACTATGAACATGTGTCTTATTGGATATACCATTCTGACGGTATGGATAGATGTTAATGAATACAAATACAATTTGCTGCTTTCAATTTTTATATCATTCGCAGGGATTGGAATCAACTGACACTACTAAATTCATTACTTACTCAGTACTATTTCTATCCTTCACGTTTAATATTTTCATATTGTGCTATATCGGTCAAATTTTGACAAATCATGTACGTCAGGAAGCACATAGTTGTGAGATTTGAATTAATGAAATATAATGGTATACTATATGTGATACAGTGCCATCAAATTGGAGAAGCTTCATACATGATCGATTGGTATCGCATCCGAGGAATCCAAGCACGATTTTTGATATTACTAATTGGTATAGCAAATCGACCAATGAGACTCACAAGTGGTAGAATGATCCAATTGTCTTTCCCGTGTTTCTGCAACGTAAGTACTAAAATCTAAAATTGACAGAAATATTAAAACAGCACTTAAACCTGTACAAAAATGATATTTTAGGTGATAAAAGTAGCAATGACATACCTAAATGTTCTCAGAAAAGTCACAGCGTAAACATGATTAAACTGTAGCCTGGTAAGATAATATAAAATGTAATTATAAGCACAGAATTCAGTATTCGATTGTGATATCAAACAAATTGTCTCCTGAAGGTATTGTAGTGAAGCGAAGGTGAAAAGAAATCTGTATCCAATGTCACAATCGATAGCTCGTATCTTTGAACTAGAATTTACTCTGCACTTGTACACGTGTCTCTTCCCAAAATATAGAAATGTACTTTGAACTCCACGTGAAAATCAATGGCAATGCAATCCTTTATCCTCGCAGAGTTTCACGATGCGAGCACACGATCATTTATATACTCATGAAGTCTATACTCACAGAGACAAAGCTCCGTCTTTTTGAAAAATATTTTAAAAATTCAGTGTAATCGCCAGTACAGAATCGAGGATGGACCACGAAATAGAGCAATTTAAAATCAAGACTACCGTTCAGAATAAAAACTTCGACTTCGACATGGAATACGCGATTAAATTAAATCGCTGGTTATTGAAGCCATTCGGGATTTGGCCGTTAAATTCGTCATCCACAAAATTTGACAGGGGAATATCAGTAATTTCTCCATCCATCTGTTGCCTCCTGCTGTTCTTCGTGATGATTCCGTCCTTCGTCGCAATGTTCGTAAGTGAAAAAGATTTTAAAGGAAAACTTGAGATTGTGGGACCCACGAGTTTCATTATTATGGTTGTTTTAAAATATTTTTTCCTTATCACTCGTGGCGACACTCTTAAAATGTGTATCGATACTCTCATTAGTGACTGGCGTAATGTTCATGCAAAGCAGTAATCTGAAATAATGATCAGAAATGCAACAATTGCACGATTCATCACAACATGCATCTCTTTCATATTCTATGACGATGTTTTCTACAGTACCTTTTTACCTGTGTTAACAGCCAAATCGTTAGCCCGTGGCAATAAGTTGACTATTAGACTAGTACTATTTTTTTCGTGTAATTTTATACTTTTTGATCCATACGTAAGACCAATTTTTGAAATTGTCTACATTGCGCATTGCTTCTGTAGTGTCATTGTGTATTCTATCACAACCGAAATCTCCAGCCTAGCTGCAAAGTTTGTGATACATGCCTGTGGACAGTGCGAAATCGTAATACCACTGCAAAATATTATTGATAGCGATAAGCGCTGTTTGAATGTTGTGGAAAAAAATTTACTGTTGTTATTTTGCGATATTTACATGAGATCAGGTAAAATAATTATCTTACAAGTAAAAGGACTTTTGGAGAGGCCACCATTCTATGGATTTTTAACAATTCTGCGAATGAATATTCAATATATGTATATATATAATTCAATATGTAATCAAAATAGAAATCTTTCCTGAGATTTGTCACAAATGTGGAAGATCTTTTAAATCAAATATGTTTTGTGGAATTTTTGGTCGGTACTACTGTGTGTCTTTTTAGATATTAATTTATGACGATAAACAGTATTGTGCATCGGACAATACCTATGTGACATTTGTAAATAAATATTTTCATTAGAGATATGGGTAAACGAAAGTGCACTGAAGCTCATTACTCTCTTTTTCTCTGGACGTCTGTGACCTTTAATATTTTTATATTCTAGGATATTGGCGAATCATTAATGCATCGTGTCTGCTTATGACCAAAATTGCGGAAAGACTATTAAATTCAATATTACATTTATATATGAAAAAGTGCCATCAGATTGAAGAACCATCATACATGATCCATTGATATCGCCTCCCAGGCACCCAAGAACGATTTTTGATATTTATAATTGATATCGCCAATCGATCAGTAAGACTCAGCTGGTAAAGTGGTCCAACTGCCATTCCTATGCTTTGACAATGTAAATTGACATGAAAGCATCAATTAATCCGAATTAAATGTCCCAACTTTTTATTTCGATTAGTCCAATTCCAATTCAATGCAGGCTAACTCTTACTTAATCCGAAAATAGCCGCGTAGGTTGTTTAGACTGAGTAATGGGGTACCTGTGGTTTTACACAATGGCCAGAAACCCGAATGTACCGTAGCACTGAGATAAAAAACCCTGAGTGGTTATTCTCTTGAAATTCCGAAGTGTGGAAAATACAGTAAGTACTCTGTTGCAGTAAGTACATGTGCATTGAACATATCTTGAGATATGCACCAGTACAATAGCGGCTGTATTTTCAATACATCAGCATTTCAATAGAATTCAATTTTATTTCAGTGGTATAGTACATATGGTTTTTTTTTACTATTATGTGAAGTCATGGCTCCTACCCCTGTCAAAGGTCACACCAGCACTGATAATTTGTTTGGCGATCAATTGTCTTGGAATCAGTTAACCGATCTATTATAAATTGCAATCTTACAAATTTCATGTCAGAGAAATTGGAGCAGTTAGCGATGAGTCTCGCGGACTATATTTTATTCCTCGTAAAAAGTAAAATCAGAAACAATCGTGGAATCAAAGGGCCGACGAAATTATAATCCCCCATTTTTTCCATGTAGTGTTAAGCGTGCATGTACATAAAATTGTGGCTATGGAACTTGTAGCATTCTACTTGCTAATACACCCATGATCTTACTTTAATTAGAGCAGCACGATTATCATAAAAATATTTTAACTATTAAAAGCGGCAATGACATACCTAAATATTCTTCGAACGATGACCGCACAAGTATAAAAAAGTGTAGTTTCACAGGTTAATAAAGAATGTAATTAAAAAGCACAGAATCCAATCAACATCGTATCAGAGAAACTCTCGCTTGAAGATACCTTACTGATGTGCAACTCAAATAGAAATGAATATATCCAACTATGCAATCGATGTAACTTATATGTTGCAAATAGAATTGTACCTTACACTCGTACACGTGTACTTTCCCACGGTATAGCAATTTAGTTTGAAGTCTATGTAAAAGTCAATGGCGAGGCAACCCTTTATGCCTGTAGAGAATCACGAAGCAATTGCAGTATGAATTATATATAAGACTATACTCGTAATGACAAAGCTCCGTCTGTCTGAATAACAAAAAAAATTCGATGAAAACGTCAGTACAGAATCGACTGGGAAACAGTGAGGATGGAGCATAAAAGAGGGTGGGCCAAAATCAAAAGTGATATTCCAAATAAGAACTACGATACGGACGTGGAATACGCGATAAAATTAAATCGATGGTTATTAAAACCAATTGGCGTTTGGCCGTTGGAGTTATCGTCATCAAGAACCGAGAGAATTGTCACGATAACCAGCGCTGTTACGTGTTGCCTTTTAATGAGTTTCGTTTTAACCATTCCATGTTGCATCGAAATGTTTTCCTCCCAAAAGGATTTTAAATCTAGACTGGAAATGCTTGGACCTTCAAGTTTTTGTGTCATGGCTGTTATTAAATTTTTCTTTTTCGTAATTCGCGGTAAAGAAATTAGATTTTGTATCGATTCCGTCGTTACCGATTGGCGAAACGTCGACGTACCAGAGGAACGTAATATTATGTTACGGAAGGCAAAGTCTGCGCGATTTTTAACTACGGTCTGTGCACTCTTTATGTATTATGGGGGCATTTTTTACACTACTTATTTACCATTAACGACAGCCAAGGCATTATCTACTGAAAATGTTACCATTAGAATTCTACCTTATCGTTGTAATTTTATACTGTTTGATCCGTACGCGCCACTGTTTTTCGACATCATTTATTTTCTGCAATGTTTATCCGCTGCTTTTATGTTCACCTTGACGTCGGGAGTGTGCAGCTTGGCTGTGAATTTTATAATCCATGCATGTGGACAGTGCCAAATTATTGGATTACTTTTGGAAAATCTCGTTGACGGTAGAGGAAATACTTCAACCACCCTTGAAAAGAGAATAGCTGTTGTCATCGTGCGACACTTACATTTGCTAAGGTAATTCAATTTTTTAAGATTATGTACATTTTTATTTCGTAGGTTGAACTTCGATTTTTTTTTATTAGGTTTGTCACACGCGTGGAAGATGTATTGAATGAAGTGTGTCTCGTGGAATTTTTAGGTTGCACCCTGAATATATGCCTTCTTGGGTATTACTTTATAACGGTATGACAATAGGGTTAATTAATACATATTTAACTATGACGTTGTATTATTATGAAATTTTACAGGGATTGGAGACAGCTGACACTGCTAGATTCGTTACTTTTGCTCTACTGTTTATATCCTTCACGTTTAATATTTTTATATTTTGCTATATCGGCCAGTTATTGACAAATCACGTATGTTTATGTTTGAATAATTATAAATTATTAATTAATAATCATAATAAACACACATATAATAAATATCACATATAATACAGTGTCATCAAATTGGAGAAATATCCTATATGATCGATTGGTATCGCATCCCGGGAGCCCAAGCCCGATTTTTAATATTGCTAATTGCTATTGCTAATCGACCAGTAACAATCACAGCTGGTAAAATCGTCCAACTGTCTTTTCCGTGTTTTCGTGACGTAAGTTCATGTGCACTCTGAATTTTTTTCAATACTACACCAAAATTTCATGTACCTTAATACAATATTTCAGGTATTAAAAGCTGCATTAGCTTATCTGAATATGCTTCGAAAGATGACCACCTAAATCGAATTACGTATTTCAAATAACATTATAAACATAATTACTCTAAGAAAAAAAAAACAAAAACCTAGCAAACGCATTTATCACATGTAAATTTTCGATACCTGTTATTACTGTAAAATAACATGTAATTGTTAAGAAATGTGTTTATTGTCAAGTCGTCTTATGACCAATTTCTTCACCTTCGGTTAAAATTTATCCTGCGGATAAATTTCTAAAACTTGAAAATGATTGGTTAGCTGGGGATTTATCCGGAGGATAAATTTTATCCGAAGGTGAAGAAACTGGCCATTAGACGTTCCTAAATGTTCAAACTTTTTATTGTACAAATATGTATTTCATCGCCGCATCATAAACAGTCACAAATCGATTAAGATAACAATAATAGACTAATGGCTATAATATAAATATAGTTTTACCAGCTGAAACTTAAAATTACACTTTCTACCCTGTTCCGTGTACAGTAACATATACGAATTGAATAATGAACTTTTTAACCTCTTTAGTCAACTTCCATTTGTCTCTATGGATCACGTAATGATGTGTCCAAATTATTTGTCCTGTTCACAAGTTACCACAGGAAGTTCATTAGAGTGTGAGCTGCTAAACCGTAACAGCAATGAGAGACGCAAGAAATGACGTAGCCAAAATAATTTTAAATAAATCATACAAGAACGACATGGAATACGCAACAGGTTAGACACGTTATCAATTAAAATCAATTGGTATACTATATGCCCGTACACTTGTGAAGTATCGAACCATCAAAAAATGTCACGAATTATCTTAATAATAATCTGCTGTTTACTGATAAGCTCAGATATAGTATCAATTGGCCTTTGCATTGTTCTCGACGAAGAGAACTTCCAATGACGACTGTCTTTGATAAGAAGTGTCAGTTTCTGTATAGTATCATTGACTAAATATACAATTGTTTTTGTGGATGACAATAACATGAAATGTTGTCTAGATAAAATGACAACCGATTGTCGAGATATTGATCCGCAGGATCATATGATTATGAAGGAAAATGTAAATATAGGACGTTTTCTTACAATGATCTATTCTGCTACTACATTTGGCAACACCTTCTTTTATATTTTTATTATGCCAAATTTTACAGAAACTATTGTTGATGATCGCAACGTCACTCTAAGATCTTTGCCATATCCTAGTGATTATTACTTATTTGATGTACAATTTACTTCTGCTTTTGAAATCATTTACTTTATACAAAGTCTAGTTGCTTATATTACTTGTACTATCAGATCTGGAACTTGTAGCTTGGCTGCTAACTTTGTTACTCATGCTTGCGGACAATGTGAGATGATTGTGACTCACATTAATGATCTGGTTGATGGATACAGAGAAGAATTGAATACTCTTGATAACAGAATGAGAGATATTGTACAGCATCACTCGCGCCTGATAAGGTAGGTTAATTTTCTATGGATTTTTTGGTATTTGCAATTTTTCAATATGATTTTTTCCAATCTTTTGAAAATTATTTCTGTGTTCATTGTGATTTATAGATTTGTAGCGGATGTGGAATATATTTTTAACAAATATGTGTCATGGACCTATTAGGATGCACATTGAATATTTATATGTATTCTTGAATATGAGTTTATTATGGTATATGAAACAATATAAAATTTGTGTTTTTAATGAGTTATGATCCTTTATTCTTCAATATATCAACAAATATAAATTTAGAATTGTGAAATTGAATTATTCATTTTGCCATATAATTATGAATACCAATTTTAGAAATGGCAAGATTATAATATACTAGAAACTATTTCCTATATTCTTTTAATGGCAACTGTTGTATATAATACTAGCAAATTGCCCTCGTTTCGCTCATGCAAAATTAAACGGAATTCTTTGAAATTTTCTAGAACTTCGTTGAATGTTCTGGAACATTATATGTATAAAATTCCTTCCAATTTTTTGAAATTTTCTAGAACTTTCTGGAACATCTTATGAAATTCTATCGAATTGTCTGCAACTTTCTATAACATTTTATGAATTTATATTGAATTTTCCACATCTTACTAAAAAATTTTGTTGAATCTTTCTAGAATTTTCTGGAACTTTGCAGGATTTTTTGGAGCATTCTATGAAATTCTATCGAATTTTCTGGAACTTTCTAGACAGCGAAGAAATTAATCAAATGAGAAGCGAGATGTACGTTTAGCTTCACAATGGGAAAGACGCTTTATGAAAAAACAGAATTTTCTCAATATCCTGAAACGATATCCGTTCCAAAACATAAACTTGTTCGATGGGGGATGGTGTACTATCACACCATATAACCCTCATGGGGCTCCAGGGGTTGGTCGTGGAGATGAAGCTACGCGCACAAACACACTGCACTTTCTTTTATTATATAACATTGATTTTTATATCCTGCTGCATCAGTGAATTTCTAGCGCAAAAGGTATCTTTCTTTCAGATATTTCAGTGACACAGTAATTTAAAATTATTACAACCATGGAACAGTGTCACGATATTGGAGAAGCTGCATATATGATTGACTGGCATCAACTTCCAGCAGAAAAAGCAATGAATTTGCAAATGATTATGAATATATCTGTACGTCTCGTGTATCTCACCGCTGGAAAATTCATGAAACTGTCCTAAAGAACTTTTAATGATGTAAGTATTCATTGTTAATACTTTCAAAGACATGAATTTAACTCCTCAAAGTTTATGTTTAAAAATCAAATCCCGTCATGGTGCTATGTATTTTCAAACATTTTTAAATCCACGATGAGTACAATTTTCAGACATTAAAAGCAGCAATGACATATTTAAATATTCCACAAGCATTGACAATTCGTTCATATTTGATGGTGCCATTTATTTATTGGTCTTAACCTTTTTGAAACAATTTACATACAATTGAAAATACTGGCTGTACAAAAAGAATGATAAAACAATAAAATTGAGCTAAAGCAAATTCATGGTATACTTTGTAACGTATTTTTTTCTTAACTCGACACCGACAGCGAAAAATCCGAGAACTAACCTAGGTTACCTTCGGCCGTCCACCCTTCGCTCATGCATCCGCAAGCCAGGAGGGCGCAAGCCAATTCTTTTTTCACCGGGAAATGACGAGCCGGTATGAGCTGGGAGTTGGTGTGGAACAGGCCCAAACAGGCCCAACTCCACCAAAACGAGAGCTCTGATGGAACCTATCAGAAAAGACGATAACTTAACGGATCCTATCGATTTTTGGGGACGCATAAAATCGATAAATGCAACCGTAGTTGCTGATCTTTGTGTTTGCGTAAAATCAGCAAATGCAACTGGATGCACGAACGAGAGCTTACGGTTACGGAAATGCACGGCCGCTCAGGCTGCTAGGTTGAGGTAGAGGGTCGGAGTAAAAGTCAGGCAAATAGTGCGAGAGACATAGAGCAACGAATCGAGAACGTCACAGAATGAATCTGAACTATCAATTCAAAATCCCATCACAAATTAATAAATTGGGAGTCCTCACCGGAGCTGGTGCAGCTAATCCGTGAAAGCCGATAACTCTTCCATTTCCCTCGAGTTGTCCCTTTAAACCCCAAATTGAGAGCGTTCCTTAGCAGATCGGTACGTAACACTATTGGAGATCCTCCACGACCGCTTCCCCAGGGCATCCGGGGACAGCTGGGCACCAAATCCTTAACTCGGGTCAGGGGGTTCCTCCCCTGCCCTTAACCGTATCAAAACTATAACTCCGCCCGCTCTACAGCCCTTTGCCCATCTCCAGTAGGGCGCTGGTATCTCACCCGGGCTTCTGCCGGTATGTGGAGACGTCTCCGTCGGGTACTCTCCTCTGCCGGGCAACTCGGTACGTCGAGACTATCTCCCCACGACAGATTCGAGCACCTCGATCTCAACTAAACCATAACGAAATCTTTCGAGAGCATTGGCGTAACTATACGAATCAACCCGAGTGCGTAGCTTCTGAGCAAGGTGGCGACCCAAAGGGAACCAGAAATCGAGAACATTATGTGTATCGGTAGCCGGAGTCGCCTTGTGACCGTGGATCGAAAAATCACGTCACAACTTTTACCTGACACTAATAATTTTGCATTTATTGGACATTATAATCAATGTAATAAAATAGTCATTATAAAGAGAAATATTGTCATTATATTTAGCAAAGATTATTAAAAAATATTATACATCTGTGATAACATTATTTATAATATACATATATAATTATAAATATTGCAAAATTCGTGACTACAGTAAAAGTCGATAAGACGACAATACTATTCTTAATTGTTTGCAAATATGACGCGCAGGTACAAAAGACATAATCTCTTAAATAAACTATGGTGTGTTGTATCCTTTCCTCCACACATCATCCTTCAAGTATGAGTTAATCGAGGAATTTGCCAGCATACTTTCAATAATAGGTTTAAAACCAAGCTGACTGGCCAACATATATTTACACTCAATATCGGATAATTGTGAAATCAATACTTGCATATTTTCAGCCATTTGTTTTGTAATAGATTTTTCTAATTGATATCTATCAATAAAATAAGTAATTAAGATACTGTATACGAAGTTTTGATTGGAATATATTTTCGTTTGCCAATAACTTGAACATACTAGGTCTGTTCTCGTTACCCTACATTTTCTGCACTTTTCAACTAAAATATGGAAATATCGGTACTCACCTTTTTGCGCAATCTCGAACAGCAACAGTTAAAGCAGCCACATTGGACATCATAAATTCCTTTAAATATTTCGTCTCTCCATTCACAATGCAATGAGTATAAATGGCTCCGGCCCAATCCGCATGATGATTGTAAGCCCTCTCAAGTATAAGGGCTTGCGAGAAACTCAAACTTTGACATATCACTTTATCAATTTCATCCGTATTTAAATTGAGAATGCACACCACATGCTGATTCGGCAATGCTGTGACGAATAATGAAAGCTGAAGAGCAACTAGTTGCGCTTGATGTGAACATCGAATTGCGAGATTCGATTTATTGTCCTGTTAAAAGAATAAATTTAATGTGAGCACTATATTATTGTTAAACGACAAATTTATCCAGAGAAATTATTCGCACAACCACTCGCTTTCAAAGACGTAGTACGATTGCACCAGGATTGCACAGGCATATCGATCATGAATAAGTTTTGTCATACAGTTGCTATAGCGACATTTACACATCACAAAAAAGGCGATTGGCTGGCATAAAAAGGTCTAGTTTAAATCGCTTGATTTTTATTAAAAATATTGTTAGCATTATAATTTGGAAATACCTGCAAATAGTACTGAGTTGCATGTGTCAGATTGGCCATTGTCAACTGTAATTTTTTTTCAACTATTTCAGACTTCATGAATGATCGAATGTTATTTTGAAATGAAGTGGTACCGCGACTATAATTTTTAGTTATAGCTACCAATTCATTTATAGTTTCCTTCGCTTCACGTTCCCACATTAGTGCTATTTCATGATACAGTCGAAAATGTAACGCGACTAGATTGAAGAGATCTTTGTTCTCTGGACACTGACGTTTTACAAATTCTAATAGAGCCATTTTCAAGCCTGGTACCTATATAATAATTAAAAGGAAGATAATAATCTGTAATTATCATATTATCATTAAAATGCATACCTTATCAAGACCTTTTCCTAACAAAAATTCAAATTGATCGTTCTCTTTCAAAATCTGAAAAATATAATTCATTTCCATAAACCGACCAACGCCTGTTACTAGACGCACCTGTAAAACAGATATTGTCAAAATTTCGAATGAACTTTAATTATTAATTTTTTAAATAGAAATAAACTTACTAATAGGCTCCATTGCTTAAGATTTTGCAATGAAACAGCAAGGTGTTGGCACTTTCGAAGGATAGATGCTATTCCTTCCATATTACATGAAGCCGTAAAGCAATCATGAGACCGTATTAAAAGTTCAACTATTATCTTCAATGTTGAACCTGTGATAACAGAGAATACAATGTTAATGATTAAACACAAATAAAGTTTGATAATATGAAATACCATGAAAAAATACCGTCTCGTTTATTTCCATGAGAACGTCCTAATAACATAGTTGCCTTTTCCAGCAATTTCATACCAAGCAGAGTAGGTTCACTACACAATTCAATGATTAAATGAAAATTGTTATCCAATGGATATCCCCAAATCGCCATTAATTCATCAGCTTCCCCTGTATCACAATTAAATGGTTAAACACACTTAGTTGCCATATTAAAATAACAAAACTTCAATCTGACGTACCTTTTACCAGCATCGTAATATTTGCAAAAATTTTCTCAGCTAGAAAACAAGCAACATCTTGATTGTTTATCTGATAGGCAGCAATAATATCAGCAATAACTTCCATTTTGTGTTCGCAATTCTTATCAATAATTTCTTGCAAAATCTTTCTTGGATTATCTAATGTTAATAGACTTTCATAACTTCTCCCAGAATAAATAGCTAATCTGTGGCACAATATTATTCTACTACCAGTTGCTACTCCATGTTTAAGAGTCTCTACGAGTCTTTCAAGTAATCTTGTACAATCAAGATGCATTTGACGTTCGCTAATGGTGCTGGAAGCACTCATTACTTCAGAGGATTCACTATGAAATGAACTTGATGAAGAAACTCTCATCAATGCTGCATTCGATGAAGGTAATTTTTGCAAACCACGAGTACGAAAAACACTGTGTTTCTGTTGTCTAATTTTATTAGATTTTGACAGCAACATTCTTTGTTGTGCTGTTAATTTATAAGGTGATACTTCACCCTCTGCCAAACTCAAACACAGCATTAAGACTTGCAAGTCCTGCACGAAAATTTAATAATCATTAACAATAAATTATATTCCACTTATATGTAACAATATTAACTTACACTGTGTTTGCAATTAAAAATAGAATTTATTCTTAAGGCTGTATCCAATCTGCCAACGTCCAGGAAACGATCGATCAAAGCCTCAACAGCACATTTTTCAGCAGGATCGTTTAACTTGCAGCTCACTTGTAGTGTAGATAGTCCTGATAGTAATTCGGTTTTTAAACTAGAAAAAATATTATCTTCGTATTCAAGTTCAATGTTGCTGGGACCAGCGAGAATGCATGATTTCCACATAGCCATTTCAACAGTATCAATAGTTTGCCTGTTTGTGGCACTGTGTCTCAATGTTTCAAATGCCAATTTCAGGATCTCGTATCTGTCGTCAAATGAAATAGTATTATTGCAATAGAATTTAGAATTGTAGAAATATTACACCACAGTTGTATAATTACCGTTCCTTATACGATGTGACTCTCTCAGCATATTCTATAAAAAATTCAGCTGCACTTTCATGACAGACGTTGTACTCTTTAAAATCTGTTGCACATCGTTTCCAAAAACTTGTATCAATCGTATCACCTTTTTTCATAGTCCGCTTTAATTCACTCCGATGCTGCAAATATAAATACGGCACTTTGATACAATATATCCTGCCATTGAAACTGTTTAAAGCGAACAATTGAGATATGAACCTGGGCGAGAATTATTTTTGAACAATCCGCGTTTGCAGCTTTGGATAAAAGTAAGGCACTTTTATAATTTTCAATTTTTAAAAGATCATTTATACATCGTTCAATCTCCTTGTCAAACCTGCTGTTATTTTCTTTGATATCAAACGCTGAGAAATCCAAAGTTATATCAGTATTGAAGAGGATAGTGACTAGTTCCAATAGACACTCAAAATTGGGACAAGACACTGGAAAAAAAAGGGCGCTATACAATTTATAAATGTGAGTACGATATATTTGCATACTAAAATTGGTTATTGAATAATTAACCTGGCAAATCCGTGCTGAAGTCGCATTTAATTAGCAGATCTAAAAATTCAATACAACAGCGACTACTACGAAAACAATTGTTCAAAACGGCTAAAATGCATTTGACAGCCACTGTCGCAATCCAATAAGCATTTTCTAAGTATGTCACGTCCGGAGAATCCCAGTTTATCATTTTCTAAATGAAATATATTATTAGTACCAAGTATAATCAGGAATAAATAACTTTTAAACTCAATAATTATGCTTACATTGCACTTGAGATTTGAACAACCAGCTTTAAAGTTTACCAAATCGTCCTTGCAGGATTTGAAATCTCCCAAGTGCACGCATTGCCTCAAGAACTTGATAAAAGGACACAGCGGATTCTCCTACAATATTAAATTTAATATTCTATTCAGATCAATGTATTAATAAAAACAAAAATCAATTAATCACTGTATCCTACCGGCATAAATATTTCCAGACTTCTGTTTAGTGAGTCAATATAGCCACGTGCTAGCACACTCTGAATGAGATGCAAGACTTTAGCAGCTGACCATATTTGATGCTGCAAACAGTCTTCGTACTCGGAAAGAAACTCTTCATTCTCCACTGACATTACCAGCCAAAAGCACCAATAAGCAGCAGAGGAGGATGGCTGAAGAAACACACATAATTAAAAATTGTAACAAAAATGTTGATACTAAAAAAATTCTTATTGCTTCGTACAATCAGTATTATAAGTATGATTTTTCTCATTTTTTCGTCGAGAAAAAAACAACGTACCTCGTAGCATGTAGCGAGGACAGTGAGTATTGGAGAATAATTTAATCGTGCAGCATTGAGTAATGAACCAGGTGGATCCTGGCTCTGATGACATTTAAGGATTATCAACCACAGATCATTAGGAAAAATGAAATTATCGTAATTTGAAATAAAATTTTCAAAATTTCCTGTGTACGATTCCAGTGAGCTGCTTGTATCCGTTGAGACTGATGATGTACTTGATCCTGGTGAGTCCTATTTAATATAGAACATTGAGATAGCTTTATAATAGAAACATAAAACTATTGTACATAATGTTTTAAAGTACTTACATGTTGTTTGAGTCCAATTTTTGAATAGAGTAATTGCCTCGAATCTCTTAATTTTAATTTTTGCGTGTTACGATTTGGTGCATTTGGTTTTAGAAGTTGAGAATTATTTAAGCATGTTAGCAAGTGTTCCCACAGATTTGCATTTTCGAATTGCTTAACATTTTCTAGAACCTAAGATTTTTTTAAATTGAAAAAGTTTATTGTTTTGTGAAATATCAAATCTGTAGATTATTAAAAGTTTAGTCATGTACCTGATCCTCAGGATATGCAAAGATGTGTCCAACAAGAATGTATTCAAACCAAAAATTATTTTTAGCAAGAAATTGTAATAAGGTAACAGGCAACGATGTATCATGTAATTTTGCAAATCGCACAATGACATCCCATATTTTTAATGACTCAACAAATTTTGTTGCATCATTCATAATGTTCATATTGAGACATGAATGATAACTAAGTTCTAAATATGACAATATCGAATTTAATTCTTTTTGATTGTTGTATAATGCAGCTTCTAAAAAACTCCCTGAAGATAAAAAAATTATTACCAAATTTATCAAACATATAATTATATTATATAAATTAATCTCATGCCGTTCATACCAATAGAAATGTTCAGTTTTTCCTGGACATAATTTGCTACTGCTATGTGAAGTCTCAAACTTTCAGAATTCATTCCCAAAATTTCCATAAAAGAAATACAGCTGCAAACGATATTAGTTTCTTTCAAATGCTTAAGGCCAAATATGTGTATGTCAAGGGACGACTGGGATCTCCTACAGAATAAATCATTGAGTACAACATAATTAAACATAAAATAATATTACAAAAGATATAAAAATATTGTTACGTTTTAGAAGACACGTAGCCATGAATCCGATCCTGTTGTTGTTTCACTATAGTTGCAGCCATATGCGGTCTTGCTTCCTTCAAATAATTCAAATAAGAGAATGTCTCATTGTGTCCATATTTTTTTGAAATATTTTCATTTGAGAAATTGGGCATGCATCCAACTTTTTGCCGCCATTTAAACGCTTGAGTAGCATGGAAATTTTTAAAACCATCTAAAAGTTGATAACTTGTCACTTCATTCTTATCACAACAATCATCACGCATTGCTTGTTTTAAATGGGGTAAACGTGATAACGCCTCTTGTATCATTTCTTTTGGAATAATTTCATCAGCAATGTTTAAGTCATTTTCATCCATGAAGATTTGTAAACATTTCTTCTTTACATCAATGCCTCCCTCATTGTGTATTAATGTTCCAAGCTTTTTTCCATATTGCAGGAATACGACGACGAATGTTATGAGATAATTATCCTTGAAAAATTGATTTGGATTATTTGAAATATATTTAATGGTGGCTATTATCCCATTCTGCAAAGCGTCGCTGAGTGAGTCTTCTATAACGCACATGCTGTTTAAAGTTTTTGATAATTTTTCATTTTTTATATCAGATTCTTCTTTCTTATTATCTTTCATATAATTTCTTGAGTACAATCTAATATCCAGTTTTCCCATAAAATCATTTTCATTTATGTTACAAGACGTAAACGATAATATTTTATGGAATTGCTCTGGTATTGTTCCATTGTTAAAGAATCTTGCTAACAGTTGACTTATATTCTCCTGTTCCTTTTCCATAAATACTCCGTACCTAAAATCATACACGTATGTTCAAAGATTATTTGATAGCACAATACTAAATTCATATAAGTATTACTGTAATTAATAATTATCCAGTTTAAAGCAAATCAAAATTTATTATACCTTGATAGATAATTCAGGACGAATTCACTTGTAATAACAGGAATATTTGTTTTGTCTAACAATTGAACCATGTCTTTGGTAATTTTTAAATTGGATAAAATATTTTTTACATTGTTATTAATATTTTCATTAATTCTCTCATTATCTGTTAGGCTCGATGAATAATTCATGTCAATACAAAAACAAATCATATCATATCTATTGGTCATTAGTAGATAATTCCAAACCACAGAATTCTGTAATTGTTCATTTATTGTGGGGTCATATATATGAAAATATATTTCTGTACACAATGCAAGTTTTATCTCCATTGCTAATTGCATTATTTCTTCTATTGATTTGTGTGTTGTCGATCCAATATCTGGAGACCTGCAACATTTAGGTATTTTTAATAATGATATTGTAAGTAACTCACATAATCTCAAATATTATTTTCTGTACCAAAAGTTCAAAGTATATATTGACTTACAGACATTTTTTTTTATACTTGTTGATAAAATTAATAATGTTCCATGCTTCCACCTGTGTTTCATGAAACCCATTAACTTTTATCAAATGCTGAACTAAATATTCTTGAAGTTTTGGATTTTTACTCCTTACACAGATTGCAGCGATATATTCCTTAGCGCATTTACCCTAAAGCATATATTTAAATTTAACAAATAATTGATAGAATACACATTGGTCTATTATGTATAATAAATTTTAGCGTAAATAATAAATGATCTTACAACATTATGCAGGATATGAGAAGCTCTGTGCACTTGTAATTTTCCAAGTAACTCTTGAACCCAAACATCAACTTCCTTGTCAAAGTATATCTGTGCTTCATCTAGAGAACATTGCCTTCTATCAGCTAGAAATCTTTGAGCTAATTTTATATGAGTTCCCTTTGCAGATGCTTCTCTGACCACCTCACGATCACCTAAAGTACGCCAACCTGACCACACTCCGGCAAGTTCCCCAGTTAAACACTCCACAGGAATACCTCCAACAGTTTTAACTTCCATTCTCACAATTACTCATTTAATGCCAAATCTCAATCTGTCTTTAGAGAAATATAAAATTCTAGTTAATGATTCAGAATTACTATCTCACAGTAAAACACTCACATTATTCAAACTCTTAACATATTTTTTCATCAAATCATTCTATCAATAACAGTACTCATGCATGTTATAATTACACGTGTTTAAAAAATGTTAACAAAAATATACACATTATATAAATATCAATCAGAAAGAAAACACTTACTAAATGTTAATATGAAGCAATTTCTGAAAATACTTGCATCATATATTTGACAATAAACTAATTTATGATGTTGAGCAACTCGTTCAATTATTGTCTTGTCAATTATTTTTTCCATCTATATTAAAGTTTTGCTGAAATAAAATATTATTCGTAATGATAATGACACTAGTTAAACAATGTGTTTTAAAGATTCTTATGTCAGATAATCATTAATAAAATAATGATGTACCGCGCAACGGCTGACAATTCTCCATTGTCATATACGGAGCTACTTAATCATATCACCAATGAGTGTTTTTCTTTTGTCGACACACTTCGACACAATCGTGTTTCATTTACGGCTTCACAGGATGTGTTGAGTCTAATACATGACGTCTCAGCTCGATGCCCTTTGTTCATTGGTCGCAGCTACCTCCTACCTTTGGTGCACGAGGTCCAATCCCAAATATTCCTTACAATTTACAATTTCTTACAATAATTACAAACGACGTTTCAACGCGATTTAGTTAATATTGATCTAAAGGAATAGAGAACTTGTAAGGAATATTTGGGGTTCTTCGATTCCGTCAATTCCTTTATATCGGTATTAACTAAACCGGTTTAAGACCGTCATGTAAACGTAGTCATTGAGCCACAATCAGTCCCGATTACCGACCGAGGATTCTAATGGAACTTACAGATTAACGTCAATGCACTCAAATCACCATTATGGTAGACGTAGTTGATGACGTTGGTTAAGTACTGTATGCAATCAATTTTACAATAAAAATTAAATAAATAATTTTCAATAATTGTTTGTATTACCTATACCTCCAGTATATAAAATAAACGCCCCCGGGTGGGCTCGAACCACCAACCTTTCGGTTAACAGCCGAACGCGCTAGCCGATTGCGCCACGGAGGCTTAGGCAAAATATTTAAAAGGACTTATTTCAGGGCTGCATTATACTTTATAAATTGTTTAATGTAATCTATTATTACCAAACTTTAAATTTTAAATAATAAATTTAATAATGCTCAAAATGTCCTAATTAACAATATTGGAAATTTGTGGATGAATTCACAAACTCCCAATTACATCCAATTATGTTTATATACGGTATTGTTTTACACGGTTTTGATATACCACGGTTTAGAAAAATAAATTCAATTTATTTTTTACACGATTTTATTCGATTTAGCACTGTTAAAAAAGTTGTTTGATTTAAATTTTAAGAACAATTATTCCGATTAACTGTAATTTTATATATACATATATTCAGAGCAGCACGTATGTGCATACAATGTTCTTGTTAACAAACATTAGAACGTCAATCAAAAAACTTTGTTCTTAGCTTTTTGCGAAATACATAGTTAATCAAGAAATATATCACACTTTCAAGAGTATAATGTAGTCATTGAGTTTGTATGTATATAAACATACATATAGAGCTAAGAAACGATAATGTTAAGAAACTAATGAGATACAGAGTCGAAAAGAGAGGAGATAAGCACTCTCTTAAAATAAAAACATAAACACTGGTTGGTGATTCCCCTTTGTCTGATGATAAAAGCGAATTTACTTCCAGAGCTTTAGAGATGGACAAAGCGGTTCATTTAAGGGGGAATAGAATTTACGTTTTTATGTGTTAGTATATCACACGGACATATTTTTTTATGTACATACGTACACGATGTCTTTTTCTACATGGTCTTTTCTACACAGTTTATTCTGGAGCGTATCTACTTCGTAAAAACAGAATTGGGTGTACCTTGTTTCAAAAACTGCTTCTTTTTGTGTCCCGAGCCATAGTAATGCCACGTTCCTATGACTCAGAACAAAAAGAATTTCTTGTTCCGGGGCCCAATCGAATAGCAAGAATCATCCTCATTATCACTATAAGAACAGATATCTACCATTGTACAAAATACAACACAGAATCAATAGATATTTCAAGATTAGATATACTATAACCACCTACTGTCGGATTACTCATGTAAAAAATGAAAAAGCAATCATACATATAGTATAATACATATAGTATATAGATTATAGATATTCCCTCTAAAATAAATCCAAAAAAAAGGCATACACGTTTGCAATATAATTTACGGATAACTGTCTTATAAGTGAAATGCTCTGAATATTACAAGAGAAAATGCATTTGTACGATAACAGCCTGCGATGTAGCGGATCGGCCATCTTCTTAAAGACCGGAAGCATATAATCAAACAAGACGTTACGTTATCCGCTGCGTTAGACCAGGTAATACAGATAGTATGACAAATCACTAACCTGTCAGTGTTATTTTATCGATAAAGAATGAAAAGCGATAAGCATTTAACCAGTGAGAAATACCAACCCGATTAGTTGTCAAGCGAGAAAACTTCTTGACATTGCAACAGCAAAACGTAGAAAAGTACGATTAATCGTGTGAATAATGGACCATTGAAACATTAACCGTACAAGTTATTATTAAAGTAAAAATGACGCAATTACACAGGACTCAGAGTATGCCTTATACACTGGTAAGCTTATTAACATAACCCTACAAATTTGTTTCTATCGCGCAACGTATATACTTACTACGACGTTAGGAATACTATTCAAATTCACCGTGCAATTATTAAAAATATTTTTCTTGCATTTTTCAGGGTGACCATGTTTGGGTTCAGACAGAAGGGAATAAAGAGTTTGATGTTCTTCGTGGTTGCAAAATTGTCAGTGTTGATAAAAAACGTGTACAAGTTTCCGATGATGATGGTAAGGTAGGTACCGATAATTAGATTGAAGGCAATAATAGGAATCAATTATTAAAGTAATTTTTAATCTTATTCAGGAGTGTTGTGCCAAGTGCAGTTAACTCCTTTTATTCGATATCCATGTAAAACTATCTTCAACTGATCGAATACTTCCGAATAACCCTATATATTTGAAAACTGTAGTAACGTACACAATACGTAGGTGTTCTTGATAGGAGGATAAATGTTTTATTATCCATTGATAACGATTATTTATAGTTACTAATTTCGTAGCTATAATTGTAGATAGCTGAATCTGACTACGTAAGACGTATACATATAAGTAGTAAAGTATATCGTTATGAGAAATCGCGAATGAAAATTATGACAGACAATTTTATGCTGCATACACAGATGTCATCTGAATTAGCAATGTTTTCAATGTTACGAAAAAGTCATCGGAATGGGTTACATATGTACGCTAGAAAGTTATCTGTAAACTAACCCATATCGAAAGTCAACTTTGAAGATGTCTTTTTGGCGGACATATGTAACACATTCAGATGACTTTTTCGTAACATCAAAAAAATTACTACCTGGGATGTAGAGTCACGTATAAAGACATGAAGCGGGATCCGCCATATTATGATTGAAACGAACGATTTCGAAAGTACAGTGAAAGGACTTTCTATTACTCTAATTTTCTTCGAATGTCACTTTTTTTTTGTAATGACATTTTATTTTAGCTACTATGGGTAACCGACGAGCAAATTGTCAAGCCGATGCACGCATCCTCCATTATCGGCGTAGAAGATATGATAAACCTTGGGGATCTACAGGAATATGCAATTTTGAAAAATCTTCATATGAGATACAACAAAAATCTTATTTATGTAAGTTATGTTTTTCTACTAGATGATTCAGGTACTTTTTATAACAAGATTTTGTTAATCTTTCTACTATTACTTCAGACTTATACAGGAACTATGTTAGTCGCTGTAAATCCCTATCAGGTACTGAATATTTATACGGCCAAAGAAGTTGCCATGTACAAACGTCAAAAATTGGGGGATAAGCCACCTCACATTTTTGCTATCGGTGACAACTGTTTTATGAAGATGAAACAATCTGGAGATGATCAGTGTATAGTTATTAGGTAATAATTTAGTATATATTATTATAAAAAGTTATGAATAGAGGTTACTTTTATAATGGGGTAACTTTTTAGCGGAGAAAGTGGTGCCGGTAAAACAGAGAGCACCAAACTAATTCTTCAGTATTTAGCAGCCATTAGTGGTGAACATTCTTGGATAGAACAACAGATTTTAGAAGCCAATCCGATCCTTGAAGGTAAACTAATAAATTATTTTCAAATGTATTTTTAGCCTAAGAACGGGCGCGTGGGGTGTTCCTGACATCCCAGTAATCCAAAATCGAAACTCACAGATCAGGAGCTTTTTTCTTACTTGCGGTTTTGTATACATTTCATCTTTGGACTCTAGAAAAGAATCTACGTACTAGATTAATATCGTGACGAAATAACTAGGGTTTACGTTACGAATTTCGCCAAAATTGATAGCTCACGATTTGTCAATAATTATTTTTTAAAATCTTTGAATAATTAAGGTAAAGTAATAATAATATCTATAAACCGTTTTAGTATTATTTTTTATGGAAGAGAATATATCATTTTCATAGACATTTAATAAAAATGCCTTTGTGTGGTTTTCAACCTTATAATTTACTATTCCGATTCAGACTAGACCGATTCAGGTATTTGTAAAATGTACGCCAATGAAAACTTTTAAAAAATCTTTTAACGAAAACTCTTTAGAAATCTTTAACTATCATATACAAAAAAAAAACATGATAAAAAGCTGTTTTTTATTGATATGAATATATTTCTGAAACACTGTCATCATAAACTAATTCAGCACTCTCATTTGAAACTTTTAATAAATTAACGTCATCATTTTTTTTTTTGTAAGAAAAATATCTATCCTGTATTTGCAAAAACCCACACGATGCTATCGAATAATAATTAACTACATTTTGCAAAGCCTTATTACGAACAACGATTTTCAATTGGGACGTCGCAGACACCCTAGCCGCCCGTTTATGTAAAAAAAAAACGAACTTGTTCTCCAATAAATCTTTTTTTCTTATAATTTTCACAGCTTTTGGAAACGCCAAAACAGTGCGCAACGACAATTCCTCACGATTTGGCAAATATATTGATATTAATTTCAATAAATATGGCGTAATTGAAGGCGCCAGAATTGAACAATACTTGCTAGAGAAATGTCGAATTGTCTCTCAATCGAAAGGCGAGAGAAATTATCATATATTTTATTCGATACTTGCGGGACTTACCAAAGAAGAGAAACAGAAGTTGGAACTGGGAAATGTATCGGATTACAGCTACTTATGTGGGGTATACGAAACCATGACTTATAATATACTTGTCGGAAAATTGCCGAATTTACTATGTAAAAACTTGTTCAGGTTCCAGACTGCAAGACTAGAAACGACGCCAAAGAATTCGCAGACGTTAGAGCAGCCATGAAAGTTTTGAATTTCAGCGAACAGGATTTCTGGAGTATCATGAAGTTACTAGCGGCCATATTGCATTTAGGGAATTTGAGTTACAAGCCAGTTGTTTTTGGTAAATAAAATAAAAATTTACCCTTTTCCTGCCAGCCCCAAATACATGGTATATGCGAAGAATGTCATTGCCCTTCTGATATGTACTTTTTCAAACCAAGCCGACATATCGACTGGTTACCAATAAAAGAGTTAATAGTTTTTTCAATCGGCCTGAAAGAGAATATAATTTATTATCAAAATTAATATATTTTTTCTTACCAGCAAATATGGATGCAACGGAAATACACGATACTACAAATTTGACAAGGGTCGCAAAGATTGTCGGTGTCAGTGAACAAGCATTAGTGGATGCTCTTACTAGAAAAACAATTTTTGCTCATGGTGAGCGAGTGGTACGTGAATTATTCTTTATTTTTTTCCGTTTTATTAACAAAATGTTAAAACTTTGATTTCATTCAGGTGAGCAATTTGTCGATTGACCAAGCAATCGAAGTCAGAGATGCTTTTGTAAAAGCAGTCTATGGCCGCCTCTTCATTATGATAGTCGACAAGATCAACGACACAATTTTCAAACCGAAAGCTTACACAAAAAACTCGATCGGTGTTCTGGACATTTTTGGTTTTGAAAATTTCGACAGCAACAGTTTTGAGCAGCTTTGCATAAACTACGCGAACGAACATCTTCAGCAGTTCTTCGTGCAATATATTTTCAAAATGGAGCAGGAAGACTACAACAAGGAAGGCATCTCCTGGAAACATATTGAATTTGTAGACAATCAGAGTATCTTAGATCTGATAGGCACGAAATCTGTTAACATAATGGCGCTAATCGACGAAGAAAGTAAATTCCCCAAGGTAAATATTATATAGAACAAAATAATTGAATTTTCAGTACGGAGTCTGACATCTTATTTCTTTCTTAATAAAGGGTACAGACGTAACTATGCTTGCCAAAGTTCATCAAATGCATGGAAAGAATCGTAACTACGTCAAACCAAAATCCGATCTAGTAAAATCCTTTGGTGTGAAACATTTTGCAGGAACCGTTCACTACGACGTACTAGGATTTTTAGATAAAAATCGAGACACCTTTTCAGCAGATCTTAAACAATTAGTCACCATATCATCGAATGAATTTCTTAGGTCGCTTTTTACCGATGAACTCTTATCGATTGGATTTGATGGTAAAAAAAGATCGCCAACACTCTCCCTGGAATTTCGAAGTTCGCTCGAACTCCTTATGACAACTCTTGGAAGCTGTAATCCATTTTTCGTCAGATGTATCAAGCCCAATGTGGAACAGATACCTTCAGTAATTAAACAAAATCTTAAAAATATTTAAAAAATGTATTTCGATAATTCATTTAAATTCTAATTACAGAGTTTCGATCGTGCTCTTTGTTGTCGCCAACTTCGCTACTCGGGAATGATGGAAACTGCTAGAATTCGCAGAGCTGGTTATCCAATTCGTTATAACCACGTGGAATTCGTGCACCGATTTCGTGTACTGGCACACGGAATTCCACCGACACATAATGCAGACATTAAAGCAGCTGCTGAGAAAATTTGTCTGGATGTACTTGGCAAACATAATTTACAGTATCAATTGGGGCACACAAAAGTTTTCCTGAAGGACGAGCAAAATTTCTTTCTAGAACAGGAACGCAGTCGAGTAATGTCAACGTATATTCTTATAATTCAAAAAAATGTAAGAAGATGGATAGCACGAAAAAGGTAAATTCAAACATTTTTATTAAACAATTGAAATACACTCATTATACTGTATATACATTGCGATAACAATTCCAATACTTGCTATATTAGACTACTTGCTTAGAATATAAAATAAAAAAGTTATTTACCGTGAGAATTGATGTTTTTCTTGATATAATATCAGCTAAATAGGTAATTTCTGTACCGAAGTCGTCGAATTTCAATAAGAAATCGAAATCACTTCCGATTCAAGATTTAAACGCAGAAGAGAATACCTTGATTCATAGAATAATGTATTTTGAATTATGTAGGTTTTTGAAATTGAAAGAAGCCGCCTTGCTCGTTCAAAAAACCTGGAGGGGACGTGGACCACGGATACGTTATTTAACAATGCGCCACGGTTACCACAGATTACAGGCTTGCATAAAATCACGAAACATTACGAATGAATTTAACAAGAAGAGACAAGCCATGATTTCTCTTCAGGTATGTTAGCTACGGTATCATTAAAAAATAATAATTACAAATTACAAATGATTCGCCAAAATATTCATATAATTTATTTTCACAAATACGATGATAATCATATGCATATGCATGTATATTGATAATTGACAATAACCACTAGTTTATTGATAAGTGACATCAATATCTGACATATGCATGGAAAATTATTTTCAGGCAATTTGCCGAGGTTACATAGTGCGAAAACTTTGCAGGGAGAAATCGCAAGTAAGTATCTGTATTTTTGTCAACAATTTCAGCAGCCTCATTTCAACTTTAATATTACTATAGTTCTTAGAGTGCTACGAAATCCTAATAATGAAGCAATGGTGAATCAATATAACAAGTGATTAATATTTAATTTGAAAAAAAAAGATAAAAAGAAATTCTCCCAAATTAAAGTTTTTTAATTGATTAGATTTTATATATGTATATATATATTCTATTTTGCTATTGCGACAAATAATCGTCATACATTTCAGCTGGGATTCACTTTTGTATTCAGGAGAACGTAAGCTTTTATTTTTCTCATAATTGTATTTGCTCTTAGTGGAAACAGAGAAGAATGCAAGAAATTCTCAGTCTTCGAAAGGAGGAGGAAAAGTCTTTGAAGAAGCAGGGAAGCAAGAGGTATAAGGAAATTGCCGAAACGAACTATAAATCCAAAATGATTGATCTTCAGAGTTATATTGTGGAATTTGAAAAAAAAGAGGTTGAAACTAATTTGAAAGATTTGGACAACGATTCTGAAAGTAATATCGACACTATTTTCAAATTTTTGGAGAACGAGCCGAAAATGCCTATTTCCAAGGATTTACCTGGCGATATGTATGCGGTGAGTTCAAATTTTTCTCAGATTTTCAATTCTAAAATATTTTAATGGAATCAATAATCATACAGTATGTTTTTGATCTAGGATCTTGCTGCAAAGGAGACAGTTAATGGCAATGCCTCTGACGTTATTGGGATACCGGAAGAAGAAGAAGAAGATAATGATAAATTGGAGGACCTTACACAATATCATTTCCGTAAATTTGCCGCCACTTATTTCATAACAAATATCCCTCCGCAATACACAAAAACACCATTGAAGCAATCACTCTTGGATCTTCCACTTTTAATTGATCAAGTGGTACGTATTATTAGTCAATTATTAAAATAATTAAAAGACCTCTGATTAACTTTTTATATAATCCTCTTTTCAGGCTGCTCGAGCTATTTGGATTACGATATTAAGATTCATGGGCGATCTTCCAGAACCCCGAATTCCAATTGATGTTCCAAATAATAAATCTATAATGACGATCGTGTCAGAACTGTTAACAAAGAATTTTACAAAATCAATCGAATTTGAAAGTTTTTATCGGGAAAGGAGTAAAGAATTTGCTAACATGACTTTCAAAAAACAAAATACACTCGACGAAGATCAACGACGAGGTGAACAAAATTTGATTTTACTATAGGTTGAATTATTTAATATAATCATTAATACAATTTATTTCTCTTCATCAGGCATAATCAAGAATGAATACATAAATCAGGCATATGAAACATGGCTTCTAACACGAAGAAGTAATTTAGAAAAACTTCATTTCATAATCGGTCACGGAATTCTACGACCCGAATTGCGTGATGAAATTTACTGTCAAATTGTTAAACAATTAATTAATAATCCAACTAAAGCTTCTCACGCCAGAGGGTGGATTCTATTATCTCTTTGTTTGGGGTGTTTTACGCCCTCTGAAAAATTCTTAAATTATTTGCGAGCATTTATACACGTAGGGCCACCAGGATATGCGCCGTACTGTGAGAAAAGACTGACTAGGACGTACAAAAATGATACAAGGACACAGCCCCCCAGTTGGCTTGAGCTACAAGCTACCAAGAACAAAAACTCCATTCCGTTGACAATTACCTTTATGGATGGCAGCTCAAAAACTATAGAAGGAGACTCGGCGAGCACTGCTGGAGAAATTGTCAATACTCTTGCAAAAAGTATTAACTTGCAGGATACTTTTGGGTTTTCGTTATTCATCACACTTTACGATAAAGTACTATCTCTTGGTGCTGGAAGGTCAGTATCTATTGTAGAATTATGAAATTAATTACCTTTCAATATATGCGCATATTGTGTAATAAAACGACTGAACTATTAAGAAATCCCTATGACAATGATGATACTAAATTGTATTAAAAATATCAAAATATATTAGATTGCGATAGTTTTTAATAACTTTATGGAAATTTCAAAATTTTTTTTACTGTTCTTAATTTACTAATTGTGAGAAAAATCGTAATTGTAGAGATCACGTTATGGATGCTATATGTCAATGCGAACAATTCGCAAGGGAAGAAGGTCAATCAGAACGATCTGCACCTTGGAGATTGTTCCTTAGAAAAGAAACTTTTGCACCTTGGCATAATCCTGCTCTAGATAAAGTCGCAACGAATCTTATATATCACCAAGTTGTCAGAGGCGTTAAATATGGCGAATACAGATGCTCAACCGTAAGTAAAACACTGATTAAGAAGATCGGTCTACACAATTTTAGAAACAAGGAAAAGATGTCCAATGCGAGTTATTGAAATTTTATTTGTTAAATTATATTATATTATGCGAGGACACTTCGAGTATTCTGAAATGAACTGAATCGTATCAAATTACTTTGGACTTTAGGAAGGCGACATCGCGATGTTGGCAGCACAACAATTGTACGTTGATTATCAGACAAAAATGACTGTTGAAAATTTAAGAAGTGCTTTGCCACTTTACATCCCCAATCATCTGCTGCATGGTGTAGCTGAAGAAGTTCTTCCAAAATGGGAGAAACTCACCTCGGAAGCATTCCGTAAGGTAATCCCGAAACTGTTGAGTCATATAAAAATGTTTAAACCTTTTTTTTTTACAATATTTAATAACGTTTTGTTGTTTCAAGATAATTAACGTTATCGGACAAGCGCCACCGATAAAGGCGAAAGAGGATGTTGTACAATTTGCAAAAATAACATGGCCAATACTTTTCTCAAGATTTTATGAAGCTACACAAGTCTCTGGACCAGCTTTACCTAAAAATAATATTATAATTGCCGTCAATTGGACAGGAATGTACTTCGTCGATGATCAGGAACAAATGTTGTTGGAAATGTCTTTTCCTGAAATTTCTGAAATTACATATCAAAAGTACGAGTCAGTCGATCGGATAAAACTTCGAAAAAATACAGTGAAAATAATACACGATATCTTTTAGGATCAAAAATGCTTTCATGCAGAATTTAATATTGGCAACAATTCGGCGAGAAGAATACGTCTTCCAGATTCCGGATGCTGAAGATCTATCTTGTTTAGTAAATTTTCTCATAGACGGGTTAAAAGAAAAATCTCAGTACGTTATCGCAACGCAGGACCACATACCGAACGGTAAGTTTGTACAACTGAAAAATAATAAAACAACAAAAATGTTGAAAAAAATGTTATGAAGAGAAATTTTTTTTTAATCGTCAAAGAGGACAACAAATCATCCCTGTCGTTAGCAAAAGGAGATCTAATAAAACTCACTGGTGGATCTACAGGATATACCATAATGAATTCACCATGGGGTTATGGAGAATGTAATGGAGTCGAAGGAGACTTTCCATCCGAATTTGTTTACGTACTACCCACCATGACGAAACCACCAAATACAATAGTTGTAAGATTATCGCTTAAAAGAAAAGGTCGCAGCCAATCATCTACTTTTATTTTTTATTTTTGTCTTGTAAATAGAAACTGTTCAAGGCCGACTTCACGGGAGCGGCATATCCTGCCAGGCAACAACATCACCAGACACTTTCACGTTCGACTCAACACACCCTCATGAAATTTGCTCAAGAGCATTTCAGAAAGAGCTATAATATCACAGTATTACAAAGTACCAATATTTCTTCAGCGAAGCGCAATGTACCTGAAGAACTCTGGCGACATACCAGAGATCCAATTAAAGCGCCGTTGCTTGCCAAATTGGGTGAAAATAATGAATTATCGCATCAGGCTGTAACTGCTTTTATGAATATACTGAAATATATGGGAGATCTTCCTAGTCATAGACAAAGAATTGGCACGGAATATACAAATCAAATTTTCAGAGGACCTTTGGAATATGTTAGTAGATATTTGAGTTACGTCATTTGATTAATCACTTGTCTTTACTAATGATACGATCGTTTTCATTTTAGGAGGCTTTACGTGATGAAATTTATTGTCAGATTATGCGTCAGTTGACAGATAATAAAATTCAGTTGAGCGAAGAACGGGGATGGGAATTGATGTGGTTAGCAACAGGGGTCATGACCTGTAGCTCCAATGTGCATAAGGAATTACTCCAATTTTTCACATCCCGTAGGAATCCTATAGCCATAGACTGTTTAAACAGACTAAATCGTACGATGAAAAATGGTAACAGAAAGTATCCACCATATATACTTGAAGTTGAAGCCATAAGATTTAAGAGTATGCAAATCTTCCATAAAGTTTACTTCCCCGACGACACTGATGAAGCATTCGAGGTAAGAGTTGAATATGTCAAAAAGAAAAGAAAAAAGATAATTTTTGTATCGTTATTAAAAATCATGTTTCCTTTACAGATACAATCTTCAACAAAAGCTGCAGATCTTTGTAGCGATATTGCAAGAAGACTGCAATTGAAGAGTAGCGATGGCTTCAGCCTATTTGTCAAACTTGCTGATAAAATTTTTTCTGTGCCACAAAATTATTTCTTTTTCGACTTTGTTCGCGAGCTAATCGAATGGATGAAGAAATCAAGACCTTCAAGGTCTTCCGACCCAATTCAGGCTCAGTATCAAATATTCTTCATGAAGAAATTATGGATAAATTGTATACCAGGACGCGACCGAAATGCTGATACGATTTTCTATTATCATCAAGAACTTCCAAAACTTTTAAGAGGCTATCACAAATGCAATAAGCAAGACGCCATTAAACTGGCTGCTCTTATTTACAGAAGTAAATACGGCGACAGTAAAGAGGAACTTTCTGAAATTCCGTAAGCAGGTTATCGTATTTCTTTATCTCTTAGTATTTTAAAACGAATGTTCTATATTAATATTTTTTGCAGTCATAAAATTCGAGAATACGTTCCAATGGATCTTGTTAATTTACTCAATACAGCTGACTGGAAGAAACAAATTGTTTCAACTTACAATCAAGAGCCAGGTAAATTATATTGACTTTTGTTTTATTTTATTGTTACGTGCATTACGAAAAGTAATGAATTGTTTCAGATACGAGCATTGACAATGCTAAACAACAATTTCTTCAATATATTTATCAATGGCCGACATTCGGTTCAGCTTTCTTCGATGTGAAGCAAGCGACTGATCCGAGTTTACCGGAATTCATTATAATCGCAATAAATAAAAATGGCGTTAACATCATTGATCCACAAACTAAGGATATTCTAGCTATATACGAATTCACCGAATTGTCTAATTGGTCTTCCGGCAACACTTACTTCCACATGACAATTGGCAATTTCATTCAAGGACAAAAAATGCTTTGCGAAACGCCTTTAGGTTACAAAATGGATGACTTGATATCCTCATACATTCATTACTTACGTGCTAGTGTAGAGAATCAAAAAGCTGCGATTCTAAATAATTAACAATCGCAACATTGTTTATAATATAATAAAATAATAATCCGGATTGTTAAATAATAATTCTAATAACTATAATAATAACATCGTTTAATATATAGAGCTAATGTAAGTTACAGAACATTTATTCAAGTGAATAAACATGCGAAACAATACCAAAGGAAAGCACGTTTTTTTTTAATCACTTAACCTGGCATTTGATTAGCGTTTGCACGGACTTGAAGTGTCTAGCGATAAATTATATTTAAACCAAAAGTCAACGGGTCGTGTATGTCTCCCAAACGTGTCAAATAATTATGAAATGCAGATAGTCAAACGTCTGGGACACATATCGATTGCTGGTTAAGTGATATTGACACTTATACATATCATTCATATATAAATCACATATAAATTTTACAAACGAACAATCGACTTCTCGAGGTTGACCCGATTAAACGCTACAAGAAGATTCACCTTTTTTTGTTAAACATTATGTAATTCATAAGTCTTTGGCAGTTTTTCTTTGTGAGTGTTATCCAGGTGACCACAGAGACCTGTTATCTGTCCCTGTAGCACATTTGGCAACAACAAAGACACACTATTTACAGCATAATCAACAGTCATATCTTGTAAGCTCTTAATAATAAGACGATTGTTCTCCCAGTTGATTCTGTAAAACAACAGAACATTATACGAACGAACAAAAAGAATGAAAAATCCATATACAAAAGAAAAACAACAATTTACCTCATGGCGTACGAAGTTGGTGCATCTGCAGGTACAAGAATTCCATCCTCGTAATTCTCAACAATATTTCCATCAACTTGAACGACCATCTTTGGGCTACCAGGATGAATTTCGAGCTCGTGATCAGCAACGATCATCTTAAGCGCCAATTTTTTACCTTCAACAGCCTTCACAAAAATGGCGTAGGTCTTTAGCACGTAATTGCCCGAAACCAAGACCCACTCTTCAGGGACAAGGTAGGGGAAAGTGCCATTATCAGCGGTTATAAGAATTTCAGGATGCACGGAACAAAGTTCTGCAAGAAAAATGATAAAGGATCATTAATCTTTCTACAAATCTATCGGTAATGTTCGGACTGAATCATAATAACTTACTGATAACCCCCTTTACGTAATCAAGCAGTAAAATATTCGAAAATCGAGTATTGTCCATTCCAATAGTCCAAAGACGATCACCCCATCCTGACAGATTATTTTCGTAGCTATGAGTCGGAGTTATCACAGAAACGTCAACTTCGTTGCTGTGCATCGGAAAAACGGCAGTTATCTTCACGTTTCCTGATTCAATATGAGTCGAAGTATATCTCGTATTAGAGAGCCAGTAACTATTTAAGGCATGCTCAATCGTATTAGCCACTACATGCATGCTTTGCGGCACCTAAAACCCATAATATAATTAATGAATTAGCATTTAAATCCACGTATTTATATAATGTACCTAAACATTACTCAGTACAACGTACCTTCTTATATGTTATATTAATCGTGTACTTCCTCAAAGTCGTGTAAAGAATCGCCTCGTGAATACAATCAACAGTTGTTGGAACCAGATTTAATTTCTTCTGATAAGCTGATTTCTGTTTATCTTCCGTACATTTGCCATGTACAGTATCATGAAGAAATTGTTTCTTCTGTTCATCTGACAATTCACCTTTCATGGTAACGACTATCAAAGTATCATCGCGCACGCAAGTTCCATTCTCAGTGGTACCCATGGAGAACGTAAGCTTACCATTGGTTTCATCTTTGATAGTACCAAGTTTTAAAATATCAACGTTAATTGGTAAATAAATCTTGTGAGCGTCCAGGCAAATCTAAATAAAATTTATATTATACATAGTTATCAGTGACTAGGGTGAAATAGATATCAAATTGAAATTCTATTAATTACCACAAGATCCTTCTCTCCTGGTATTTTTTTAGTCAACTGTACTTTCATACTGTTATCCGTATGTCCTGGTGACATATCAATGTTAACATTCATATCCCACTTAATAACTGACGTGTTGGTAGCAGCCGCTTTGACGTCATAGGTACCATGAATGTTGATATGTTTGCCACTAAGAGTGCGCAAAGGTCTTTTAGTGAGATCATATTCTTCAACGTTAGCCCTTAGGCTTATACCAATCTGAAAATTCATTTATTGTTTTTTGTTTTCCCTCCAATTTCCGGTTTCTTATTAAAGACAAAATTCTCACGTGAGACGTTGGATGCACGATGCTCGGTTCAGACTTTAATATAATACCACAAGTTCCCACTTCCGGTGAAATAAGTTCTTTGTACAGCTGTCGACGAATCACCATAAATGCATTGATCAATCCGTTATTCCTAAAACGTAAGATCGCATTCGTTAATGTGGTAAATTGATTAATATGAAAAATTATCCCTGAGGAAACTTACCAACTATTAATTTCTTGATTAATTCGTCGCAACGCATTATGTATACGATCAGACAGCGGTACGCCAGTCTCACAATCGAAAACGGATGCAGTAAACTGGAGACCAAGTTCCTTGGTATCAGTATTGTACTGATAGTATCTCTTATGTGCAGTACCCCTAGTGACGATTTCATGATGATGACAAGTAGGACAGCTTGTCTTGAGAACGTCGTTCTCATCTTCAACGACAGACACGTAATTCTTAGCGTGTATGAGCATACCAGAAATCGAATATTTTGTCGCCGGAAGTCTTGGTAGCAGGACCTTTAGACTGTACGTTTCTAAATTTAATTCAATTTCCATATCAATTGGTATTGCAACATCATGAGAATAAACTCTTTGTACGGTGTGCCAAACGTCAACTATTGGATTGTAAATCGACATCGAGTGTACTCCATGTCGCCACGTTTGGATAATTCCTTCGATCTTAAAATTGACTTGCGTATCTACATGCCATCTGATTGACATCAAATTAGGAATCCGTGTTCCTAATACAGCTGGTAATCCAATATCAGTTGGAACCTGCATCTCGTACAGTGTATCATATACAATCTGCTGCATGTTTATATTCTCAGTAACTTGGAACCATTTAAAGAGTTCCTGAAGATTAGTGATACTTTCCACATTATTGATTGTATTTTCATCATAATAATTACAGGCGACTATTCGGTCGTAGGCCAGTACACACAGTTCTATGTGTATATTTTGTAACGGTGGCATATCTTGAGCAGCTTTTATTAGAAGCTGAAGTACATTTTCATTGGTTAGAATATGCTTTAAGGAGACATTTTCCATCATTAAAGTGCGAATTATATGATCTAATCCGTGCACATTCCAATATAGCTGTAATTAATACAAAAAAATACACGTATGCTTTATACGTATACATAACAAAACTGCTTAAAATTGCCATATGTGTTTTTTAATGATTACTTACACCAAGACGATTGACAGGCTTTCTCATCATGGACGTACGATACTCCATATATCCAATATGGGGTATTCCAGTAAGCTCATCCACCTTTGTCATCACATTGAGCGACTCCCCAAAACCGTATACAGAATCGTAGTAATCGATAAGGTAATTAGACGATAAGGATGTAGATACGTTTCTTTTTTTTGTAAATCGAAGGATTTTTCTTGCCATTTCACGAACTGGCAGTAGGCAAGGGTCCACCGAGTTTGCCATACTTATCATTGTTGTGTAATGATAATTGTATAAGTGTTCGTTCTTTTCATACACCATGAACCAATGGAGATTCAATAATCTGCCCATATGTGGTAATTGATGTACCAGTACGTTATATGCAGCAATACGAATTTCTAGAGGCAATTTTACGTTCGCCATTATTGGCCAATACAGGTCATGAGCGAATTCAATGTCATGACCTACGGATTTCCAGGCGGCCATCATTGCCAAGAGTCTAATGTGATTGGGTTTATCAGAGATAGAAATTTCTCCAGTTATTATGGGAGAGAGAACCTGGTGAATGTCACCGATCTGGATGTTCCCGATGGCCAATAAATAAACCATCTTCATCTCATAGCTTGGATTTCCTGATGATTAAAGAATTTTGTGACAATAATGGTATCAAATTGTAATAATTGATTAACTCATAGAAGATGATGGAATAACTAACCTTTGACATGACCAATGAAGTGTTGAAAATATCTGTTCAAAAGAAGGCTGACATTGGCTGGTACCTCATGATGTGGGTAATGATGATGATGATGTTGATGATGATAATGATGCTGGAACGTTTTGTAGATCAATGATGCAAAACACAAAATGCTCGCTTTTCGTACATGCAGAGAGACATCTTCTCCAAATTTAATAAGATCTTCCATTTCTATGAGGAGTTGCTCCGTAGGCACGCGTATATACATCGGCAATGTATGGAGCATTAAAATGGCATTCATGTCTGATATCTGGTGATCGCGGATTACGTTTCTTATAAAGTGACTGGATGCTGTGGTACCAACGTGTGGAATCATATTAAGAAAAATATTTCTGAAACAAATGCGATTAACAGAGCACAATAAAATAAATTCAATCGTTTTCCCTCCTCATTATTCATTAAATAAACTTGACGAACAAAATTGTCATGTCCCTCGATGTGGTACTGTCTTTAATGACATTGTAGACTTGTTCAAATGATCCAAGATCCATATAGCTCATTGTACTTAAAAGCCTGTTGATGGTTTGCCCATGTTTGAAATCAGGATCTTCCATCACTATATGATTTTCCTCGAGATAATCAGCAGCCTCGCCCAGCATCTTCTTTAATTTCGGCATCAAAACGTCAAGCTTCACTATGTGACGACCATGTGTGATATCTTCTGCAGCATGGAGAGCATAATTTTTTTGTGGCTTCACATAACTGATATTTGAAATCATTGTAATATTTTCGAAATTAACAACCGGAAGTTGAACCTGCGCGACGGGCAGGACATTTTCCAGAATCAAAGATTGACTAGAAATTAAAAAAAATTGTATTATACATCAAATCCACAAATTGATAATAAAATTTATTGTCGAAATTCGCTACATACTTAGTGAGTAAATAATGAGCTTCGGAATTCGCTTGCCAAGGGAAATAATCAATAACACTGTGTCCAATAAGTTTTCGAATGAGAATTTCATTTTCCAAATTTTCAATCTCAAAAACTCGTCTAGCAGCGGTTGTTAAAGGATTCTGTAACAATACAAAAAAAAATGTACAGGGAAACATTTCTAAACAAATTATTTTTCCAAAAATACCTCATGCTCCAAGTGACAAGGCTGAACATCCACGTGGTTAAATACTCGGTTAACAAAACTGGTACAATTTTCTAATTCGTACGTCTTGGTCAAGATAAATACGTTTACATCCGTTTCGGAAGTGACGTCATACTTCGGATGTACATCATAAGCAACATTGCAACTTCCATGTATTGTATCCTGGTGGTAACAACCAAAGAGAACATTAGACCGGAAATTAAGTGTTCCCGTCAGTCATTACCTACCTCTTGATTAATAAAGCCGTGAGCAACGGTAGGCTTCTTTTCAACCATCGAACGATGCAGATCAATTTGCATCATGGATGCCAATGCCTGCTTAAGATTCCTGGACCAGCCAGTTTCGGTCTCGCCAAGTTTAATTCCTTGAATCTGTCAGAAAAAATAATACTGGTAATATATTTTTTTTCTTTATTTTTAAGCAACGTAATCAATTGTCAATTTAGTTATACCTTGCCATGATCATCGAATGCGACTACGAAAGGGTCTTGAAGTATTCGTACGCTGTCGGATAGCGGATGAATTGGTTTGATTTTATCGTAATGGTTAGCTTCACCATTGTGAAGGCTATATTTCAAATCGGCAAGTGTAAAGTAATAAGCATTCTTCAGCGCCGGATCACTGACATCTTGCTTCACGTATAAATATCCATTTAATGCGAATTGTGACGCATATGGTACCGATTCGATAGTGCCTGCCTTCACGTCGACATCGTACTTATAAACCACTGTTTTTCCACGAGGAAAATGTGTCACTGTAAAATGGAAATGAAAGAATATATTTCTTCCAGTACATACGCGCTTGTGTCATCATTTATTAGTCTGCACTGATGACTCCGTTTTGTTTCCATGAAAAATTATAATTAGCTTACCAGGTACCGCGTTGATAACAACGAGAGACGCCAGAAATCCTAAAAAAAATAAAATGACTGTTAATGTTTTTGGTGTTTAGGCCAACAATTAACAAAACCATAATAAAAATAATGGAACTGTCAACCACACGATGAGTTATTGTACATCGAAAAAAAAGACACCGTGTTCAATTTATATTGTGATAATGAAGAATAAATAATTATTGTATATCACTTTGTCGTACATTTTTATTGATCAATATCTTACGTGTTTATGTAACTGTAACCGATTTTAACTAATTTTTAGAAACTTTGTTTTCGATCTTTTGTTAATGTAAATACGAAGGCGACATCTTCTTGCAGAGGGGGACTTACCGGCGACCACATCAATAAAAAGCCCCATGACAAATGACTGGTGAAGTACTTGGTGTCCCTGCTTTTTATAAGGAAACAAAATCTAAGAAAAAAAATTATTAAAATATAACAATTTCGTTATGATAACCTCGGTAGAGGGGTGACTATAGCCAATCAACATTAGATAACCCTGGAACAGTGCATCTTACTACTGTTGAACGCAGTTTACATTAAAAATACTTCAGTTTATTTGTCCGTTAATTAAAATTTAGCTTTAAACAAAAATTTTGGCATTTTCTATGACGTCGACAAATCACCATGTATGTATCAATTATATATAGGTACTTATATATTGTTACAACGTTGCGCAATATCTTGTACGAACTGCAGTTCCTAGTTAAACTATATATATTTCTACAAAGCGACATAGCGTAATTAATCAATATCTTTCCATATAGTGAAACTCGCGAAAACATCTGGCCTGTAATTAATATTAATCATATGAAAAAAAAATGATTTACTCAACTGCTTATGAAGGTTGGGTTGCAGTTCGGATCGGTTTATTTTTTTTTGTAATTTACTACAGATTACTTTGGCAGACCTGATGATAACCTTGGACATATATATGTATCAAGGGGTATTTGTCTAGTACTTGCCGGGAAACAATATTAAAACAAAAACAATTGCAGTATACGCAAATATTTTATTTGTCAATATAATTAAAAGTTAATATACAACCATACATTTTTTATTGTCACACGTCATGGTATCTTAAATCAAAATTGCATCACAAATCATTAGTAATGCATTAATCAATGCGTTATATTTATAAATAAGAACTCACGTCAATAAAACTTTATATTAATATTTGTATTCGATAATATTCTTTCAAGGATGATCCCATACAGTACAAATACAGTAAGGAATACAGAAACGTTACAATTTTGCAAGCTTATCGGCCCTAAAATGTTATACATTATGATAATGATTACTTTAGAACACGGTGGAGTCGGTTAGTGGAGTCACTCGTTACATAGGGTAGAATGCGCGTAGGGGCAGGTTTAACGATATTGAACTAGTATGTTTTATTTTAACATAACACACGTGGTTAAAATTTTATTTTTTTTTTTTAATCTTGAATGTTATCCATATAATTACCGGTAAAAACAATATGGATCCCTTATAATATTTTAATATGGAAATATCAATAACAAATTTCTGTTACAAATATTGCACTAAAATAATGTACCAATTTCAATGTTATATTCATTAAAAAAATACTTCGAGATTTCAGAAAAATTGCAGATTTATTAGGCAATATAAAAAAAAAATATTTCAACTCTTGTAGAGATATACTTGTACAATGTTTTGTGGCATGTAACTGTATTGTGTGGGATATAATATACAGGAATTACTTTTTACCATATCACTTAGGTTTTAAAGTTAAACCAAATTTGATGCATGTTAATCAATGTTTTTTTAGTTATTATACACTATATTAAGAGTGACATATAATCTTACATACTATGTATATAAATATCTTAATCTTTCCATTTGCACCAATCGCATATCAACAGTGATACATTATATTTAGTAAGTTGTTATTAACAAGTTAGCACCATTATATCTTGTTTTTCATGTGATACTTCACCTTCTACAGTTCATGTTGCTTCTTAATGATGAGATGGAGATCCTCAAATAACAGTCAAGAAATGAATGCCTTTGTTCATTATTATTTTATTCTTAATTAGTTTTTATAATAGCAACACAATATGTGTTTATTCATTTTAATTACAGTTGTACAGTTTAATATAAATAGCTATCAAATCTGGCTGGTATTATTTGTACTGAATTATTCTGTACAATTTAATAATTAGTTGAAACTTATAATCATCTAATAATCTATATAAGTAGATTAGTTAATTTTGAGTATTTTTACAAAAATAATTTTTTAATTTTTCTATTGCTCTAAATCGATGCGAAAGTTTATTTTTAACCTCCCTTGGCAGCTCTGCATATGTTTGAGATTTTCCTTCTGGCAGAAAACAAGGATCCCACCCAAAATCTCTTGGCCCCTTGGGACTTACAATGGTACCATTCGTGCATCCTTGAAATAAAATTATTGGGTCCTCCGGTCCACCATTGCAAAATGCAAAAGTACAGATTGCTTGAGCAGATTTGTCTTCCCATCCAGTTAGCATCGTATAAAGACCTTCTGGGCCTAGTTTGTCCAAAAACCATTTGATGTAGGGCCCTGGAAGTCCCTTCATCGCATTAAAACATAAACAAGTATCTTCTATGATAACTGGGCCTTTGACAATATCTGCTGCTGCTCGGCATTTATTTTTGCAGATGTCTTCGATGTCACCTTGGTATTCTGGAAGATCAACTTTCATACTCGTTACTTGTCTCGGGAAGTTTCTTCCCAATATCGCTACGAATTCCTCCAATTTTTTCGCATTTCCAGTCACGAACACGATGGGCTTGGACATACTGTAAATAATGAAATTCAATTACATACTGCCATTGGTGCAACAATTGATATCGTGTACTTTACAATAAATATTTTGTGATCGTTCTATTGGTGACACCGAAAAATATGGGAAATTTTATACTCTCCACATTTCACGTGTTTGAATGTATTACTGTGATTTTAAAATATATTAGAAATGAAGAAATGCGTGATCTCTCTTATCAGCATCATCGCAATAATTAACTTAATTGTCTCAAGAAAACAATTTCTACATGATTAGTCTACTGGAGTTCCGTTATCTGCCTTTGGCGAACGTAAATCTTATTCTTGGTTAAATGCAGTTAAATCAAAACGGACCTCAGTGACGTTAGCCGGACAACTTTGGGTGCGTTCCACTTAACGCTCGCAACGATCGCAACACCCTCTGTCTCGTTCCACTTAAGGCCGCAGTCGCTGTGAGCAGTCCCTGAAACGTCATCGATGACGTCATCATTGGCGACCGCAATGCGATCGCTTCACCCACATCAAATAGGTGGGTCTTTGTGGTCGTTCGATGTTTTTGTGCGCCATTTTCAGTTCAAATTTATGATGGAGACTGAAAAAATAACGCTGTACGATTCCGAGAGGGACAGATAGATATATTTCGTTCCTTTAATCGTTAATCACTGTTTTATTTTCAAATGTTTAGTTTATTTCTACAGATATGAATTACCTAGATATTATTAATAGAGATTAATATTATCAGAGGATAATCTCAACTATTAGGGTGTAGTCAGTTTAAGTTTGTTATTTTAATTCTTAAACAATATTTTTTAGTTCTTTCCTTTTGTATATAAATACAGAACATTCTAAAAATCGAGTTTTGGTTTTTTTTTCATGATTAATGATTCCTGTATAATGGGTCGTCATCTGAGCTTGATGAACTCTCAGAAATAGAATTCCCTTCACGCATTAGCCTTATACACATGTTCTCTACAACACCAGCCATCTTTGTATCGTTCACAAGTCCGATAAATCGTTCCACTTAAGTTTTCGACCACGACGTCCACAACAGTCCACAAGCTAGTGGAACACAAAATTTAAAGGTCGTGGACGCGAGCATTGCGAGCGTTAAGTGGAACCCACCTTTTAAAGGCCTTCACACACAAAACGACGTAACGACGTAAGACGTAACCGGAAGCCGTAATCAGTAAGCACCATCGCACACCACACGCGTAAGGAGTAAGCTACGGCCAATCACACTCACGAAAGAATTGCGCATTTTTATCAAAATGTCGTCATTGTACATACTTTAATTTTATTTTTGTACCTATTTTCTGTTGTAAAAAGTAAGTACACGATAACAATTATGTACTCATAATTAAAGATTTTATATTTTATAAATTGTAACTATATTGAGACGCATGATATGCAGATTAAATTATACTTTTACAGGAAAATCGTTTCAATACTTAGTTCCTAACTTTAAAATTGCACGTATCGCTTCTGTTTTATAATGCGTATTTTGGATATATTTACGTTTTTTCAATATCAAAGCACATCAAAGCCATTCGTCTCACGTATAAACAATGTTCTTTTAAGCGAGAACGAGAGAAGGTTTGTGACTGGTTGCCCGTAAGAAGAAAGCCGTAACGATTTCATCCTTACGATATACAGGGTGTTCGTTATGAAACGCACTGTAGTAACATCGTTGCATTCCTTGTCAAATTCCAAAGAATACGTGTATTTTCATTTTTTATTTCATATATCAAAATTTCGAGATAATCAAGATTGAAGTTGCAGTAATGCGACCAATCAGAACGCGTTTAAACGGAGCGTAGATGACGTCGCGAGCCAGCCCGCAAGGCCTGCTTACAGGAGGCCAATAACACTAAGATTATCGTCTCTTGTATCTTACTCAATTACATGCAGATAAACAGGGACATTACGACGATAGCTTAGTGTTATTGGTCTAGTGTAAGCAGGTTTGCGGGCTGACTCGCGACGTCATGTACGCTCTGTTTAAACGCGTTCTGATTGGTCGCATTACTGCAACTTCAATCTTGATTATCTCGAAATTTTGATATATGAAATAAAAAATGAAAATACACGTATTCATTAGAATTTGAAAAGGAATGTAACGGTGTTACTACAGTGCGTTTCATAACGAACACCCTGTATAAATAAAGTTCATCATGAAACATACATTTTACTGCGCGGGGTTCTCTTATTCCTGATTCCGCTCCTGCCCAAGAGAAGGATATTACGGTCCTTACGATTTGCTCTCTCTTTCTATTCTCGATTACACTTTCTGCAGTTACAGTGAGCAGTCCAGTACTATATGTCGATGTACCTAATCGATTGATGGTCGTTTGGTGGTCATGGGTGGCCTAATTAAAATATTTGGTGGTCTATCGTTTTCTTTTAATTAAATAATTAAAATTAGACCGTGAAATTAGTCGAAAAATAAATACAATTAGGGCTAAATAAATTCCCAATCGTTTGGTGATTACTACAGATGGTTAAGCGTTTCACACCCTTTACAAATATCACAGTGACTACGTTTACACGACGTTCTTAAACCGGTTTAATTAAAACCGATCTAAAGTAATAGACAATTCATAGACATTTCTACTTGTAAGGAATATTTGAGATTGTCTATTTTTTTTTAATCAGTTCTAATTAAACTAGTTTAGGACATTTGGTGGTCATTAGTTAACGCACGAGATACGAAAAATCGTACCTCACAGAATCACAGAATCGACTGTGTACGTCAAATGTAATGAAAATGTTAAAATCGAATAGCTATTAGCCAATCGCTGTGCTTATCTTCTTTTGACTCAACACGCGATTAGCTAACAACTATTCGCTTTTCGTATTTTCCACTGAACTCTAACCATACTGGAATCCGTATGGCAGTGGTGGGGGCCGCGGAACGAGAGATAGCTAGGATACAGATCAGTGTAGCAGCCTGTCTGCAGACTGTCTGTATCACACACCGTACAGTCCCTGAAAAAGTTTAAGCTGGGATAAAGCAGTGCGCACGGGGAAGACTAACCCAACATAACCTGAAATAGTGGCACATATTTTATTTCGAAGACTGCTAAATATTTTTTTGTCGTTTTTATAAGGCTCTATATTTATATGATGGAGCCTAGATAGGATTTATATGTACTTGTATTTCAGTGCTCTTTCCATCGCACCACGGCTGGCACTGATGTGTCGGCAGGACAACATTTTTGTAGGACTGGTACATCACATGCGCAGTCCAATTCGAAAAGGACAACTTCATCCATGAAGTGAGTGAGACAGCTGCGCGCTCGCCGGGTTACCTCCGAATACAGGCGTACGGATTCCAGTATGGTTAGAGTTCAGTGGTATTTTCACTACATTTATTTGAGATACACAATCGACACCCTGCAGCACTATAGGCATCGAAGGCTGGGATTGGCTGAGAAATGGATTCAGCTTCCTCTTATGCAGGGTTTCCTTTACGGGTACCAAAAGTTAAAAACTGTATACCATTGGTTTTATAAAATTACCAATTGGGTAACAACCAATAGTATACTAGCTTCTAACAACTGCAACAGTGACTACGTTTACACGACGGTCTTAAACCGGTTTAGTTAATACTGATTTCAAGGAATTGTCGACTCATAGACATTTCTACTTGTAATGAATATTTGGGATTGGTCAATTCCTTTAGATCAGTATTAACTAAACCGATTCAAGATCGCCGTGTAAACGTAGTCATTTTTACTGGTCTATGATTTGTATGAAGAGACCACATTCGGTGGCTCACACATTTGGATTTGATTCAGGGCACGTTCGTTCGGAGTGATTCTAGAGCATACGTTGTAGCGTTTAGCGCAGAAAGTGATCAAAAATGCCGAGTCAAGAAGTACTCACGACGAAAGTGGTGGTTCACCCTTTGGTGCTACTAAGTGTAGTGGATCATTTTAATCGTATGGGAAAAATTGGAAACCAAAAAAGAGTAGTTGGAGTGCTTTTAGGATGTTGGAGAGCGAAGGGGGTATTGGATGTGTCAAATAGTTTTGCAGGTTAGAATTCACGTAAATCATATAATATTTTGTATTAATTATTATGAATACTGCGACGGATATAATACCTTGTTTTATCATATATATCTTTTGTATGTGCAAAAAATGTACAGTATAGTATATGTAACTGCTAAATTGTTATTTTCAGTACCCTTTGATGAGGATGACAAGGATAAATCTGTATGGTTTCTTGACCACGATTATTTGGAAAATATGTATGGGATGTTTAAAAAAGTTAATGGTAAGAATAAAAAGAATGATTGATAAATGACAAATTTTTAATATGAAGTTAAATTTTTCTTTGAGTTATATTAGTCTAGTATATTATGTTATATGTTCTATGTTCTTTGTCTGATATCTTTTAATTGCATTACTCTTTTAGCTCGCGAAAAGGTAGTGGGATGGTATCATACTGGACCTAAACTTCATCAAAATGATGTGGCAATTAATGAATTGATTAGGAGATATTGTCCAAATTCAGTATTGGTTATAATTGATGCCAAACCTAAGGACTTGGGTCTTCCTACAGAAGCTTACCAAGCTGTTGAAGAAGTTCATGATGTCAGCATAATTTTTATAAACTGTGTCACTTCTTGATTACAAAATATTATTTTGTTCTTAATTGTAGGATGGTTCACCAACCTCTAAAACCTTTGAGCATATCCCAAGTGAAATTGGAGCAGAAGAAGCGGAGGAAGTTGGTGTAGAACATTTACTTAGGGATATAAAAGACACGACTGTTGGGACACTTAGCCAAAGAATTACAAATCAGCTTCTTGGCTTGAAAGGACTTCATGCTCAAATTCGAGAAATCAAAGATTACCTCCTTCAGGTTTGTATTTAGTTTCAATAAAACATTCTTCCCTTATGGACAATAAGTATATCACCTAAAGTACTTATTTCATGATAGGTGGGCAATGATAAATTACCCATCAATCATCAAATTGTCTATCAACTGCAAGATATCTTCAACTTGTTACCGGATATGACGCAAAACACTTTCGTTGATTCTCTTTATGTGAAAACGAATGATCAAATGCTGGTAGTTTACTTAGCAGCTCTGGTCAGATCCATCATAGCTTTGCATAATTTGATCAACAACAAGTTGACTAATCGCGACGCGGAGAAAAAGGAGACGGACAAGAAAGAAGCAAAAAAGGATGAAAAGAAAGAGGAGGATAAAAGGGACGAGAAGGAAAAAGCTAAAGTGAAGTGATGGATGATTGGAGAGTGATCTTAAAACCGGTCAAAGTGGCGATCGGTCAATTAAACTTAAGAACGATTTGAATTTTTTGTATAAATCTATCGTTAGTAAAGATCCCTTCAACCTGTACAAATCAACATCGCATTCTGAAGAAATGACGGTCGACGACTTAGCGAATACTTGAAGTAAACAAAGAGAATATTTACGAGCAATGAAACATGGTGGAGCATCGATACATTTTTAATTGCAAATGAAAATCATACAAGAGCATAATAAAGTTAGCTGGATACTCATACAAAGACAAGTCTTCAATAGCTGTGATGTTTGCAGAGCAACTGGTAAGATGACGCTCAATGTATGCATTTTTATATATCATTCTTTGAACAATTAACTAAGAAAAGAAGTAGTTTAACTAAAAGAATATAGCATCGTATGTTTGGCAAGAGATTTGTACTCTTGTCAATAATTCAATGAAAATTAAATTCTTTATTTAGCATGAAGAAAACTTCGCGATTTCTTAAACCATCAGAAAATTCGGACCCAACTTTTGGTGCACTTTACCGAACGTTACACTGTCCATTACTTTTGTTTTCTCCATTTTATTCATATAGCGTATGATTCTTCGATCGTGATACTGCCGATCTGTACTAAACAATGTATTTTATATAAAACCTAGCTTTCACGAGGCCGAACTGCATTATTAATAAAAGTCCATCATTCGTCTACGTTCTTTACGTGCTTTTGACTTTTTCTTTTTTATCTGAATATACCTAACTTTTGATATCTTAAAGTATCCATCATGGATTAATATAGTTAACCAAATCTCCTGGCTATACAAAAAACCTATAAATATTTATACAAACTTTTATGCTGCGAGTCATTACAGATTACATAGTAAGAAGTATATCTGAACCACAATTAATGTCCACGAACAAATAGTTGTTTTATCAACACTACAACTGTAAACTACTCCTACAAAAGATTCAAGATTGGTATCATTATAATGCTGAAAATACCAATTGAATGAACTGTCTTCGATCAGTTTCATATTCTCATCTGTATTGTCCGTTGATTCATTTACTCTTGTAGTTGAAACTTCCTGCTGTCGATATTCTTGGAAACCTTTATCAGCTGCATCGGCTTGCAGTTTATCTCGATCATTATTGTGATACTGTTCTGCAGTAGAGGCATAATTAGGAGAAGGAACTTTAGTAATAGTCGAGCGTCCCACAGGACGTGGCAGATTGGCTATAACTGGAATTTGTCCTCCAGGTACTAAAAAAGTTGACAATGCGGAAGCTTCCATGTTACGCATTGCTTGTGAGGTCAACTGTGGATTTTCCGTAGGACGAATTGTAGTAAGAGTTGTCATGGTTGATAAAAATTGTGTAGATAAAGTCTTATCAGTTGTCATGATATTGGGATTATCTACAATATAAAACTACAGATACTTACTGTACACAGTAATATTAGTTTTATGTCCATAATTATCAGAATCCAAACTCACCTGTCACTATATCTTGCATTATAGTTGTCATCGCTTCTGTTGTTGATTCTTTAGAATTAAAATGTTCTTCACGGTTCCAGTAACTACTTTTCTTTGCTTCAAATACTTCCATAGTGGCTGTTATAGTTTCCTTACTGCCACCTCTTATGGTTTCTTTGGCCTTTGACTTTGGCGTTGTCCATACTATCCTACTAGCTACTTCACCCTGAGAACCTGAAAAATGTTTAGTCTCATCCGCATCTTCGTCAAGCCTTTCTCCTTTATAAATCTCAGTAGCTGCAGTAATCTCATCAGTAGCCGCTGTTGTATAATCATCGGCCATTGTGGTTGATTCAGTAGTTTGACTTCCGTTGAAAGGAACCTTTGAAGAATTTTTAGAAACGGATGTGATCAAAGGCATGTTTCTCACCGTTGACAATTCTTCGCGTATCTTAATAACCGTCTGACGTCTCCCGCTAGACAATTGTGATTTCTCAGTAGAAGAATTGAAATTTTCCACTTTTTTGTGATCTTCCTGATATTTAATATCCATTTCGTTTGAATGTCGATTTTTTAATGTTTCATTTGATTTCTTTTCTCTATATGCAATCCAAGGGTCCACTATCGGTACAAAGCCACTCTGTCCTCTAGGTAGAGGAACAAAACCACCCCTGTGTATTTCCGGTTCAGTTGGCGGATATACTCTGTGACTTCCTTTTCCAGGTCTACCGGAAAAATCGTTTTTACGATCAGCTTTCCTTCCAGCAGTGCCCCAAAGGTTAAAGTTCAGACTCGGTATTGGTACACCGAAGAATGTGAATCCTGAGCTACTTGGTGATGGCGGAATCATATGCTTCCCAGGCAACGTCTTGTTCCTCTGTTTAGCAGTTCCTGCCGTTGTGTCCTCGCTAATAGTTACCGGTTGAGACTGCAGTTGTTCCGGAATTGCCTGCGATACTTCCGGCGACGGCGGCAACGTGGTCGGCAATGCAGTAGAATTCAAAAATGAAGAAAGGCTCGAATTCTCATAAGGATAATCTACATACTCGTCGTAAAAGTAATCTGATTCATTTGGCAATGGTGGCAAGGATGTCGGATTTTTCAAATTCATCCATGGTGCCACTCCTTCGGCGTTTCCAAATACTAATGAATAAAGAAAATTAAAAACCATATCGATGCAGCTGCAAATTACGTATAACATGTCTGATGGAAGTTCAACTTACGAGACGAAGATGCCGATGACGGAGAACCAGTACTAATAACTTCAGCTTCGCATCCAGGAAGAACATGCTCTACTTGTCTTTCTCGTTGACAGTCCTCGCGAGATAGTCTAATTTCCCTGAAGAGAGAACCGTCAGCACACCTAGGACCATCAGCGGATGCTTGCTGAAGCCACCCTCGTAGCCAGAGCATTCCACATGAGCAAGAGAGTGGATTTCCTGTTACATATTTAAATTATTCTCAAATATTATTATATTAATTTTCTTTTATCAGTAACCAAAATCAATTACCATCAATATCAAGGATTGCTATATTAGATCTAAGCCTCTTAAAAGCATTCTCTGAAACGGACGCCATTCTGTTATTTCTCAAACTTAAAACGCGTAATCTGGGCATGTCGTCAAAAGGTGAACCCTGAATGGTGCAAATTCGATTGTTGTCCATCTATAAAATAAATACGTACGCCGTAATTAGACATTTTGAATAACTATCTTCATCTAGCATAACTAACGAAGAAACCACTTTATAATTGTATGAAGTTTCACTCTCCACGTGAAAGTGACGCTAATACAATTATTACCTTCAGTTCGACTAACCACTCCATGGGCGCTAAACTCTCGCTCGCGATCCTGGACAAGCGATTGTTACTCAAGTCCAGGACTTCCAAAGACCTGAGACTTTCCAGACCAACGTGATCCAAACTAGGCAGCATATTGTAGCTGAGATTCAGGAATAGTAAATGTGGTACGTTTATAAAGGCACCACCTGCAATTTCCTGAAGATGATTTTCCTGCAATTCGGCACTCTGAAGAAGCGGCAATTCCGAGAAGGCACCATTGGGTATACTCTTAATGATAAAATGATATATTATTAATTAAATAATTTTCTCTTGTTTTAAGGATTTCTACAATGTTACCTGTAGACGATTCTTTCCAAGACGCAAGGCTTGCAATTCTGGCAAAGCCCTTATGGCGTTCCTCTCAATGACTCTCAAGTCATTATTTTCTAAATCTATCAAGGATAACCTTGGCAATCTATCAAATGCTCCCTCTTTTAATTCTCTTATCTTATTTCTGACAAGTTTCAATTCCAGCAATGATGTCAAGCTGCTAAGCGTCTCCGGGGACAGGATATTCAGGTTGTTGAAGCTCAAGTCGAGTACCTGAAGTCCTTTTAAGTCGTGCAACGATCCGGGTAACTCGGTCAGGGTATTGTGTGAAGCGTACAGCTCACGAAGGTCTCTGCAATTGTCATAAACATTTATCTTAATAGTTGGTTCCTGTTTTTCATAAGTTTCCTTAGCCAGTTACCAACTATGACGAGAATATTACGCCAATGACAATGCTAAAGTACTATCAGAAGATCAGGGACAAACAAAAATCTCTAAACATTATATCTAATAGTGCACGAGGTTTCTCATTCGTTAGATACAATACAGTTATTCCATTTATATATAATTTATATTATTATAATAAATAACTCGACATGCCAGGATGCCGATAGGACGAAAAGAAATTATTATAAGCAAAAGAACATGGGAACTTTCTAAGCACCAATTTGCCAGTGATGCAACCCAGAAGCAACAGTGAGTGAAACTAGTCTTCCACTAGTGCAAGTATATAAAACGGCAAGAAAAAAAAAAGAAATAAAGTGACAATGCTCGAGGCTTTACGCTTCGCATAATTTTGAAAACGGTCTAAAGGTGACAACTGAGAAAGTCGAGACAGTGATAATTGGTCGTGTGGTCGTTGTCTAGACATTGAAAAATAAAAGTATATGCATACACATATATGATTACCTAGTATTGATAAAAGTAGCATGTGGAATGTGTTTCAGATGATTCCTACTTAGGTCCAATATTTCCAATCTTGAATTCTCCTGAAATATCTCAGGTCTGATCATTTCTAGTCGGTTACCCATTAAATTTAGGTCCACGAGGATTCCCATGGACCTAAAACTTCGACCATGAATTGATACCAAATTATTGTTTCTTAGATCTAATTGTTCTAATCTTGACAGACCATCAAATGTTCCATCTTCAAGGAGTCGCAAAGAATTATATCCAAAGTTTAATTTTCGTAAATTGGACAGTCCGTTCAAAGATCCTGGTGATATTCTCTCAATTCCATTTGCGCTGATATCTAAGGATTTCAAGACTGGAAGTGCCAAATCTGGTGAGGTCGTCGGTGGAAGAACTAGTATTCTATTCATCGGCATGTGAAGATGTTCGATATTTCTTGGCAGACCTGGTACCACCTCAACTAAACGATTCCAGCCAATATCCAATTCATATAAATTAGATAAATGTCGAAATGTCATTGGATGAATGGCTGACAGCGCGTTTCGGGAAATATTAATATGCTCCAATGCCGGAACTCTCATGAATGATTGTGGTTCTATAAGTGTAATACTATTTCCACTGAGATCTAATCGTCGCAGGTTAGGTAGATTAGCCAATAGACGTGGTTCTATATGTCGAAAATAATTTTCTGACAAATCTAAACCCTGAGAAATACATATAATTAATTTATTTTATGTGATAATCAGGATATAATAAATTGACTTACAAGTATTCTATGTTAAGATTACCTTTAGGGCTGGTAAATTCCAAAACGGTACCTCAATCAGATTTGTCAAAGAATTGTTCCTGAGTCTAAGTTCACGAAGTGCTGGCATAGCAGTAAATGTTTCTCTCTGGAGGAAGTTCAGTCTATTATGATCCAAATGGAGTCTCTCCAACGTGCGATGACCTCTCAGGGCACCAAATGGTATTTCTTCAAGTTGATTATAACTCGCATCTAAGAATTTCAATCTTGGTAACGCTTCAAGAACTGATCTCAATTCCGCAACATGACTAAGATCATTATTAATCAGCCACATTTCTTCAAGACTATTGCCTGTTCTTTGCGGCAAAAATTCTGGATGTATTCTACTGATTGAATTATGATTAAGATCAATGATCCTTAGCATTGGCATCCTTTGAAAGGCTCCTGGAAAGATTTCAGAAATTCTGTTTCTTGACAGATACAATCTATTCAGCATAGGAAGATCCATAAAGGAAGCTTCTCCGAGTCTTGTTATCCTATTGCGGTCTAGTCGAATAACAGAGAGCATCGGCAGATCTGTAGCTGCCCTTCCTACCATAGTAGCATCTCCAATGGAATTTCCAACTAATGAAATTTCTTTCAGTTCCGGTAAAGAGATCATAGATCTTGGATGAATCCAACTGATACCACAGTCGCTGATATTAACGAGTTTTAATCTTGGCAAATCTCTCAATAATCCGGCTTCAAGCCTGATCAGTCTATCACTACCAAATATATGGAGTTGCTCTAGATTAGGTAAATCCCTGAAGTTCGTTGGTGTTAATTCCAAGAGAGCTGCCGAATTGATCTGTAGATATCTCAGTTTTGGTAATCCTGAGAATCTTGGTAATCTCATCATTGACTGACTTTGCAATGTGATTGCTTCCAGACCTTGAAGATTGTCAAGGCTATCAATTGGCAGCGATCGTAGATCAGGTTCCACCATGAACAATTCCAACAAAGAATCATGTAGGCCTTCCAGCCATCCTGAAGAGACTCTTTCGAGTCTGTTGTTCCTCAGCATTAATCTGAGTACACGAAGACTCGCGAATGTACGTCCTGGTAAGCTTGGCAAATTATTATTCTCTAAAATTAATTCATCCACAGGACGTGCAACATAATGGCTGACTGCTTCCAGACCTGCTAGAACTTTTGGCAACTCGCTGTGGCTACACCTAAAATTTCATTACGATTATAAGGACCTGTCTACATATATAATTTCCAATCGAGCTACCTTCCTACCATATTTGAAATTCCATGTCTCGCGTAGAACATCTACAGGGTAGAATCCTGTCCTGTGGAGGACATCCATATTCAGGACTGACTTGAGCACCTGAACCCAAGGAGTACAGTATCAGAAGTCCTGCTACGAGAAGACCTCCTCCTTCGGGCGGTTTACCCATGATGTATGTTGATCACATTTGTCTTTTTATACCCATGAATCCCAAGGCCACATCACCTTTAAATTCTCATTCCAATTTCATCCATTAACTTCCAGATGTATTCCTGGTCATAAGCAATATATAACATACATGAGACTTCTTCTTCGACGCTGAAAATTGCTTACGGTCTCACGACTTACAAGATCACGGAAAACGTAAACAGTCATATAGATATTTGATTCATTAACCCTTTCACTACTACGAGCCACTATAGTGGCCTTACATAAGATGCCACTGAGGTACTACGGGTCACTATAGTGGCCCTCCATAAGACGCACTGAGATATTACGACTAGCCGTTCTGCAAAAGTATCTCACTCTAGACATGCATTGGTAGTATTTTATTTTGCATCATTTGTTTCTGACAGCCGAAATAACTCAATGCTTAGCAATCTATATGCCTCGACAAACAGTCTCGAGGTACCGCGGCGGAGAACCCGCCCGTAGCGAAAGGGTAAAAAATGTAATAGATTTCATCTTCCTGACATAATGCATAAAATACACAAGTATAGTTTGTACCAATAAAACGTAAATGTACAACCCTTGAGCGTCACGCTATTCCCTTCTAAGTACAGACACGTTACGGTCACAAACGACAAAATTGATGCTCATACCGTAAGCAAACCTGAGGACCGCTAGACAATCATCCTCCGTAATAATTACCAACGTACGCGTGTGAATCAAAGTCATTTTAGTTAGAAAATAAAGAAATTCCGAAGCTAATTATCCCAGAGACTGGACTACTAATTAATTCTTAAATTACCGTACGTAATGTATATCTGCACAGTAATAAATCTATTTATTGCATAGATGTGAATGCTATTTATCTTTTAACGGTAGTACAGTTATCTATGATATTGCGCAATCTTGCATATAAATTCATAAAGCATCCATTGTATATGGGATAATAATTTTCGAGGATACTGTCAAGCTCCAACAAGTATGTTTCATAACAATCTTTACCAAGGAGTTTATAGACGAACGACGACCTGGAAAGCAGGTGAAACGTGAAGAATATCGAAGCTATACGTCTACCTTCTGTTGTGGTAAACGCTTTCAGTATACGAGACCAAGTAGGAAGCATCGTTTATACAAACAGATCGAAACTTTCCCGGAAATTAAATTTTGACTCGGATCAATGAAAATTTCGAGGTTGAAACTGTGGGCCAATGATTTTGACTTATCAGCATGATTTTTATTAAGTCTGTATAGGTATCGGAATTTTAAATGAAGATGTACAAGAATTTGAATTTTTTTTCTATTTCTTTTGTCGTTGCATTGACGGATATCGTAAATATACGAAAATATCGATTGTTGTACTTCGAGAATCGCATTGTAACAGTGGAATTTTTATTGGATGACAACAGAGAAGCGAATAAAGTGCACGAGTGAAAGTCATTCTTATTTCCGTGATATTTTCTACGGACACTCGTACGTCTAATCATACGTCGTTATGCAATTCTGAAATAATTATTTCTTGGTTTTACGACGAAGTCGCAAAAAGTATAAACAGTTATTGGAAACATAGTAAACATAATGTATAAGTTGCATATAGTAACTAAAAAAAAACGTTGTTAACTCACGAAGTATTTCATTAATAAAACGACAAACCTTATGGTGCTAAATATGAAATTTGATAATAAAACTTCTTAAAATCGTCTAACAAGTAAAACGAATTTTAATTGGAAATTTCTGTAATAAAATTGTCTACTTACATAGGCGCCAAAAGATGTATCCAAAAGAAAAAATATTACACCAGTTTCAATTACTTATTGCAAAATGATATTTGCTGCACTATTCTTTCAGATACCGCCAAAGCAAATGGAATCACAGCACATGAACCGTCAAAGTCATACAGAGAGTTGAAAACGAGTGCACATCAGTACATCTCCAGAGTACAAGTACCAAAAGTCCTGAAGAAGTTTCGTGCAAAGGTGTAGTCGTATGAAAAGAAGGAGGATGCCCAGAGCCTGGTGGCGGTAGAAAAAAAAAGGAAAATAAAAGAAGGAGAATTGCGAAGTGCGTATCCAGAGACCGTGAAGACATGCTTCCAGGAAATCTTTCCTTTCCCTCGAATCTCCATTCAAATCGCTGAGACGTTAACATTTTTCCAAATAATTCGCCAGCCTCATATACATATATGCATGGGTTTCCCAATTGGATTCGCTTTAGCGAGAAATGTCTTCCCTATTAGCACACCTGATACGAAGAAGTCTTGGTCTGTTTCTCACCATGTCTTTGAAACGTCTTCTTAAAGACGTACAACCTGACACATCTTCTAACATTTTTGTACACAAAATAAAAAAGTCATGATCGCTTTATCTCCTATTAGAGGTATAAAGATGGATGACGATCATGATCATGCTAATGTAGAATCAACTAATGGCAACTCAGATGAAACTGATACCACACGTTGCTATACACAGACAAATAATTTCCCTTCTTCAAAACATGCAACCCAACACGTGTTCTAACATCGTCGTACAAACAACAAACAAGTCATGATTGCTCAAACTCCTGTTATTGATATAAATATTCATGGCACTCACGATTGTGCTAATGTAGAATCAATCGTCAGAAGCACAGAAACAGCCGGGACCGTATGCGGCCATACACACATATTCTTTATCTGTCAATTGGAACAAACACACAATACACACGCCACGAGCACGCATGCACACAACATATATATATATATTGAACAGCGAAGGCTCTGCCGTTTCTGTGTTACAATTGGCTGATTCTATCGTCAGGTTTATAATCTTGAGTGTTCATTTTGCAAATAATAAATTCTAACTGACCCTGAAAAACCATAATCACATATACTTCGAAATCTGGTATTAATATTTATCTATGTACTTGATGAAATGAACGCTTAGAGCGACAAACAAGTACTAGGTGTGAATATTCTTTTATTAATTAAAAAAAAACAAAAAAGCTAAACATTCAGATTATTCTCTGCGGAACAACGTGTGATATTAATTTCGAGCAGTTGTAAAGTTCTAATGCAACATATCCGATTGAAAAAGTTATTTAATAGTATTTCATATATGATGAATCGTAGATTTTTCAATAAAAATCCGGTTCATTCTGAGTATTCGAAAGGTAAACGCAAAGTTTTAATTGATCAAACACGTTCGCCTATATGTAGAAATTAATTATGTATATCTGTAACTAAAACATAATTATGGAGAATTTTTGGTACAAATTACCAAGTCGACAAAGACATCTTCAGAAGGTATTACGTATTGTTCTTGGACGTCTCATGTCTAAATAACGTTCTTTTGATGTCTTCGGAATTTCTGCTGCCTGGATATTATCGGTCCAATCATGCGTACGTTCATCAAGAAGAAAACAGGCTGTGGTTTATAAGAGAACGTGGATATTATTACGTAAACGGTTACACACACACGCGCCTTAACTGGTTTTCAAAATGAACCATAATATATTATGAATAATTATACGAGAGCTCACTGCTTATTTGCCAGTTGCGAATGGCTAACAGGCAAGGATTGACCTCTTATAAAAATTCTTACATATGCTGTTTTTACTTCATATACCATGTTATTTAAATCTTTCTAGAAAATTCTGAAAATTTCTGAAGTAGTGATTTGCTTGTTTTAATTCCAAATAAAAATATAATTTAAAAATATGTTAACAAGAATTCTCTCGAAGCATCGTGACCTGAGAAACATCCTGAAACATTTAAATACCGGAAACAGGGAAATTAAGTACTCGACGAAGACGAACAGTAAATGTAAAACGAGTAATCCACCTAGAATACTCATCACAGGTAAGTTTAGTGATTTCAATTGATTGTAACCTGTTCCATATCGAAGAATTTAGACTGAGAATCAATATCAGATCCTTTCATCACCAGGTGGTCTTGGACAACTTGGCACCGAGTGCGCGAAATTACTTCGTAAGAATTACGGAAGTGATAACGTCATCCTTACAGACATCATCAAACCAACTGATGAACATTTGGAAAATGGTCCATTTATCTTCGCGGATATTTTAGACTTTAAAGGGCTGCAGAAGATCGTAGTGAATTATAGGATTGATTGGCTCATCCACTTTAGTGCTCTTCTCAGCGCAGTTGGAGAACAAAATGTCCCGTTAGCTGTTAGAGTGAATATAGAAGGTAAAATGATTGATTATCAAACACTAAAAAAACAATTAGTTGTTGCATTTTATATATTTTGCAAAATGTATTTTCCTATTTGCCATAACATTTACTCAGGTATGCATAATGTCATCGAGCTGGCTAAACAGTACAATCTGCGAATATTCGTACCATCTACGATTGGTGCATTTGGTCCTGATTCACCACGTAATCCAACTCCAAATGTGACTATCCAACGTCCAAGAACAATTTATGGTGTCAGTAAGGTGCATGCTGAGCTTCTTGGTGAATATTATTACCATAGATTTGGATTAGATTTTCGTTGCCTACGATTCCCTGGTGTAATAAGTAGTGACCCACCAGGCGGTGGTACTACCGGTAATTATAGTCATACAATTATTTAAATATTATCAATAAAGTACGTTTGCTAGAATTCAACGTGATACTTTAGTAAAATGTCGGAGCCTGATGGCAAATTTCCCTTTTTAGAGAATTAGAGCGAGCTTAAACTCTTTTAAACTAATGATCCGGATAAAATTTTCATAATTCTAATTCTATCTTATTAAATCGAAACGACCTGGTTTCTTCTTGCGTTTTATGAAACTGACAATTCGGAAATGTTTGGATCAATATATTCGATATTTATTAATGCGTTATGCGAAGGCGGGTAAGAACGTAATTAATGATATTAATTTCTTTATTTTTTTTTAGATTATGCTGTAGCAGTTTTCCATGAGGGTCTTATAAATAAAAAATATGAATGCTACCTGGAGCCACACACTAGGCTTCCAATGATCTATATCGAGGACTGCTTATCAGCGCTCTTTCAATTTTTAAATGTACCGAATGAAAAATTACGTAGGCGAGTTTACAATGTTACTGCCATGAGTTTCACGCCCGAGGAATTATTCTCCAGGCTCACGAAGCATATTCCGGACTTACAAATTTCTTACAAACCTGATAGCCGACAGCTCATTGGTAAGTAATTAACAATTATTACATATTGATAATCATAAAATTAATGATAGTTTTTACTCGTCTTATTGTACACTCAAATGGAACTCATGTGATTTAATGTAATGTGATTACCTTTCGCGACGTATGGTAAATAATTAGATATTTATCATTAAGTAAACGACAACTCTATTAGTTTGGTAAAGCTTAATAATTATATGATCGTAAAAAATGACAAGAGTGATGATGTTTTATACTTTCTTCTTTATCTTTCAAAGCTGAATCTTGGCCTCAAGTATTCGATGACAGCGAAGCCCGTTGTGACTGGGGATGGGAGCACAAATATGATCTTGACAAACTTGTTACAAGTATGTTGCGTGACGTTAATCAAAATTGCATGCCTAAATTAAATGATTTAGCTGAAGTCAATAGTTACGTTTAAGGATGAGCTAGGAATTGTGGTTATCACGGATACCTAAGTTCTAAGAAAAATATTTATTTTCTTAAAGGACGCCGATACAGAGAAAAAACAAATCAATAAAGACTAATATAAACTTAGGTTAATCTGACTTTTTTTTTTAATCCACGAAATCTAAACCCGTCATATTAAAATAACATATCGTGATCCTCTTCCGCAATAGATTTGGTTTTCTGCCGCTTTATCGCAGGAAGTCTGTTTGAATTTTCCGCACTTGCAACATCTAGAATAAATACATTAAAAAACTAAAGTCTGTATATCTGAATTAAAAGATTTGTCATGCTTACCCGCTTTAGAATTTCCTCTATTTGTTAATATTTCTTGACTTTCTACAAAGTATCCATTGGGATGCATAAAAGTATGAGAAGGTGGAGATTTATGAACAAATTCAAAATATTTTGTACAAGCTAACAAATAATGACCACCCGTTGATAATGTTGTTATTTCTTGCACATCTATAAAATTACTATTGTCATATCATGTGCATCTCTTATTATACATTAAAATTTGTTGATAATATTGTATAATAAAAATACTGACCAGCTATTGACATGCCAATGTTCAACAATTTTTTCCGAAGTACATCAATATTCATATGTTTATATGGACAACCATGATACTCTCCAGATGCAACGGTTGTATTTATTATTTTATTACATCCGTAAGGAGTATAATTAGTATGTTTTCCTTCTTTACCATAAGCATGTCGAATTGTATAACTATATTGTTTTTCAAATTTATCAATATCCATTACTTTTGTGAATTCCTCTCTCCAAAATCTCTCGGCGTTCTTCAAACTGATACCGATGCCCTTAAGAAATAAACCATATTGAAGTCTTCCAGAATGCTTCAGATGATGATTAGTTCTCAGAGTTTCGTGAAGTGTCCTCATACATAGAGGATACGATGATTGTGATAACTAAAAAATAATATTAAAAGTATTTTTAAATTAAGAATTGGTATATCTTAAAAATCAAAATAATTACCTCGTCCAACTTTTCAATAGGTGTAGAAGTAGTGCTCCATACTACTCGGGTCATACCAGTAAAACAATTTGGAAGATTTTTTAAAAACGAACTTATTCTCATATCATTTGAAATATTCTCTAAACATTCAGATGCATACTGAAACATTAATTATATTTTAAGATTATTTCATTAACATACAAAATTTTGTAAACCTGAAAATATTACTTACATTGAACTGAGACTTTAAGTGTCGTTTAAAATAAGTAACAAAGATTGAGACCAGCTCCTTCTGTGGAATATAGGCCATCCCTTTGTTCAAATAAACTTTACGACTTCTAATTAAATCAATCACGTTTTGAAAAGGCAGTTTATAAAAGTCAGTAGTGTCAATATTATTAACTGACAATGTAGAGATATGAAGCAAGTCTCGAAGTTCATCCTTCTCACATTGTGATATCTAAATTAAAAAATAAATTAACCAATTTGAATTAGATTGAGATAATCCTGAAGGAACATTATATATACATACTGGAGTATAATTGAAATTGTTCAGTATTAACAATTTTATAATTCCCTCTTTGTTCAAACCAGAAAATCTCCATTTAAAAAACTCCACTTCATTAATAGAAAACCACTTCTGAAATTCCATATTCTGAGAGTATGCCAATGTTAATATAAAATGTGAAATGTGATCTCTCCTTCTTGCTTGAAGTTCAATATCACTATGAGAAGAACATCCTTGACCATTTAATAATTTAGCGTAGTAAGTGAAGCCATTCTTCTTTAAATCCTGATGCAGTGCGGTTCTGCGTGCCTCAGAATTTTTAAGATCTGTTCTTGCAATTATAGATTCCACTAGTTGAAGAACTGAAAAAACAATACTTGCATTCTAATGACCTTGTATGAATAAAATATAATATATCATCTTTACATGTAATATAAAATTTTACCTTTAACTCTTTCAACAGCCAATTCTTGAAACTCACTCAATTCAACTTCACCAGTTGGTGGTGTTTGATACAACTGAACGTCGTGAGGATATATTTCTTCAAGACTATTTATATCACGCTTAATCGTATGTCGTCTCCTTGTGTATTCCATATTCTTTCTTTAGTAATACAAATAAAATCCAAAATCAACTACTTGTACATTTAAAACAACTTGTTAGAGAACTTTTCCAAGACGAGCGGATAGTCCAACTTGGTCCAACTGAGTCCAACGAAGTCGTGAAGGCGCCAAAAATCTTAACATTTCTTTTCTGTCGATAACCACAACGTCAAGTACGTTATCTACCGAGTCAATTTGTTGAGCACAATTTATTGAGCACGACGAGAAATTCGTTTTTAAAGTCGAGCTCAGTCGGGCTTCAGGTGGAATTGTGAATATGTCTGTATGCAGTCTTCTCCTGCTCCGAAAAGGTTTTTCAGTGAGCGGTGAGCAAATTTCCTTCTCTCGTACAAATACAAAAAGATTCCCATTTGTAAAGGCACTTCTTGTTTTCTCATGGGTGTGTCATGTCGAATATTTGATTGTAATTATCGCGGGAATAAGGATTGCGTACTAAAAATCTTTATAACAATTCGAGAATCCCTCCGTATGGTCGAAATTTCTTCCACTAAACAAAAGAGAATGTTCGGCCGATAAAGGAGAATTAATTTTATTTTCGTTTATTTGGGAAAAATTCAATTTTCGCAAGACGCGTACATTTGCGGTTGGAGTTCGTACGTTGCGAAAGCAATTAAAAGACATTTTACAAGAAAATATCCTGGATTCATTCCCTGATTTCCAAGCGATCTGTTGTGAAGGAAATCGATTTTTGCTGCATTATCTACTGCTTATGTGCAAATACTCAGAATTGATCAAATTTCATAAGATTACCCAAGTTTCTCAGCAAATAATATATACTGTATGTTGGAAGCCTATCAAAAATTAGTGAATATTATTCTCATTAAAGTTATATATAAACTTTGAATATATTTTTCAATATTGCGAATATATTAATCTTTGTAAAAGGAGAAGATCACGTGTGATATATAAAGTTGCTTAACCTTAGCAGCAATGTCAAAATCAAAGTGTGACAAACTCTTGGCAGAAAAGTTTATTCAAGAGCTTGAGATATTTCTCAAGAATAATGAGCCAGAAAAGGCTTTGGAACTTTTTATCAGTGAGAAATATGCAGCTGTCATTCCTGATTCTTCATGGGATGTCATTCCACTGGTCTCATCTTATCTTACAATGACAAATAAACTCAATGAGCAGCCCTTATTTAACTGCTGTATAAGGATATTGGATATTGTAGCTGAAAAATGTTGTCCGTCTGAGACAGTTCTAGAATTTTTGGAACAAGTAGAATGTGACGACTATGATGTAAAATTTTCTGTGCTTCTAAAACCTCTTGGAACAAGCTTAACCAGAATGGATGATAAAACAAAAGCTATCGAATGGTGTATCAGTACAATAAGAGCATATACAGATGGTCTTCCATTGCCATACACTGAGACAGAAAATAATATTCAGGACAAGCCTCACATTGATGCAGACGTGATGTCAAGAAGGATCATGAAAGTGTACAGGAATATTCTCAACTTTCTGGAGCCATTAGTCAATGAAGCATCACTTGAAAAAGGAATCACCAGCAAGAGTCGCAACTACCTCTTGAGTCTACTTCTTTCACTGTTGGGAAAACCGTTCTGTTATATATCAACAGAACTTGTGGACTTGGAATCGATACTTACAGGAGGAGGTCGTTCCATAGCAGAAATGATTGTCACTTATATTACATATCTTACGGGTGATTCGTTTCGCTTTCTTAAAATTCTTGATGACCGATGCAACCAGCGTAATAGAAAACTCATTGGGGATTCAGACAAGCATGAATCACATGGAAATTCCGAGGTCAATCTATTTGCATCAGAAGAAAACGTATCTGATCTCGCGTATGCGCAATTTTACTACCTCCTCATGGAACTAGAATCATTACAAAACAAATTACCCCGAGTATACCATCCACATTATCTTATACATACTTGTTTCTATCTTGCAAAGTGCCTTTTACAAAAGTCCAAAGACACACTTATCCGTAAGGGTTTGAGACTGATACAAATATTATTAAAACATGTAGACAAATTTTCAGTAGGTCCTGATGCTTTGGAATTATCGGTTCACTCTGAGCTCTTTGGTACAATAACAAAAATCATGGTATACTGTGAATCGGAGAAAGAACGACACACTGCTCTTCAGGTCTTTGAAGACTATTTAAAGATTTTTAATTTACAAGCAAGATACTTGGTGATTTTGCATTTGTACGAAACTAGCAATCATACTGGCTTAATAAGCATCATTACTAATGCATTTAAAAGCTCCATAGTAATGTGCCTCAATGAAAATCCGCACAATCCCTGTTTCCTAGGCAAGAAAATGAAAACTTTATTAAGCAGAGCTTGTAGATTATCTCATGGTAGTGCAACAGACTTGATAGAGATATCGGATGAAGTTATCACAGCTCTAAATCTCCTAAGGTTCCTAACTATTAGAGACAAAGAAAATGCCACTGGCATTTGGGATTACATAGAAAAATTGCAAACTGATTACTTAAATCCTTTGAGAAAGGGTATAGATTTAGCACATGCACACTGGAAATATAAAATAAAGGATCTGGAGCTTCAGAAAAAGAAGTCTTCGAAAAACTTAAATACAACTTTGCCACACAATGCAAAACAAACTAATGAGTTAGATGATTCAGTAACAATAACAGTTGGCGGAGAAAATTTACCAGTTATGCCGATCTCAGAAAAAATTAGATTTTGCGAACAGGCAATGAATGCGTTAGATGTAATGGAAAGTATCCTTATTAGAGTGAATGAGTGTATTGCTGAGAATTCTTCGACATACTAATTCAAATGGCGTCTACAGATTTTCTGAAAGATTCTTTTCTTCATGTTAACTAATCGAATGGTGAATAGGTACACATTTTCGTCTTTAAATGTCATTTGCGTATACTGATCTATTATTAGAATGTTTATACAGCAAAGTACCATTATACTAAAAATTAATTTTTTAAAGTTGCACATTATTGTTGATGCGTATTTTAAGTTGTACACGATAATGTTCTTTTTTGTTTGTTGAATAAAGTATTTTCTCTACTTTCACATTCATTTGTCCAATTACATCCTCATATACTTCTGTTTATAAAATAATGGACATTCACTGGAAACCACAAAGAGAAGCATCGATCAAGCAATCTAAGTAAAAAATTACAGAATTATAATTTTCTTAGGTTTTAGAGGTTTATGGACTTCCAGGGCTCAGCTTGCTGATCAATCTGAAAAGGTTGCCCATGAGGATGGGGGAACTGAAAGTTCTGCAAGTGATGCTGAAGAGGAATATGACAATAACATTAAATTTAAAATTCTGAATGCTGCTTTACCTTTCGTAAACGATCTGGGTTGGAGCCAGCAAGCAATCAGTGCCGGTAGTACATAATATATAAGTATACACATTTCACTAATTACTATATCTCTATATTATATTTCTATAATGTGTGTAACAGGTGCAGAAACTATTGGCTATCCAGGAATAGTCCACGGTCTATTTCCCAACGGTGGGGCAGAATTAGTCCAACATTTCTACTCGAGCTGCAATCAAAATCTTAATAAGATATTAGAATCTGAAGCTCGAGCCATTGAAGATGATCCCTCAAAGCCAAAGAAAACACCTGTGTTCTACGTACGGGATGCTGTAGAGACAAGACTTAGAATGTTAATACCATACAAGAAAACTTGGCCACAAGCTATGGGTCTTATGAGTTTACCACCTAATGTACCTATGGCATTAGCTAATTTACTTACTCTAGTCGATGATATTTGTTATTATGCTGGCGACAGATCCGTAGATGTAGGTGAACAGTAGAGAAAATAATACAATCATAGTTGTTACAGCCGCAAAAAATAAAATCACTGACAGCACAAATCATTTTACTTTTCTAGTTTAACTGGTATACAAGGAGAGTAGTACTGGCGGGTATATACAAATCTACTGAGCTATATATGCTTCAAGATAATAGTGAAGATCATAGGCAAACATGGAAATTCTTGGAAAGAAGAATCGAAGATGCTGCACAGCTTAACAGATTGCTCTCTGCTACACCTGATTTAATACCACCACCTGATCAAGCAATAAGTCGAGCTACCGAAGCCGCCAGTGCCGCATTCATAACGGTAAGTTAAACTAAGATTAGCATTTCCAATCTATGTATATTAGAACATGAATGGTACGAGTGTAGATCTCTGATTAATGTAATGCCTTCATTTTATGCCAGGCACGAAATATACTCGGACTTAACTGGAATAGATAAAGCGAAGTATTAGAGTTCCGGGTACTATTTGCGCATCACGTGAATTCATTAGAGTATTTATAGCTTACATAAAAAATGTTCTTTTTACTGAAATAAGAAATAAAGCAGTATATTACAATACGTCGTCATTAATCCATTTCTTTCACCAATCTTACATGACTGAATAAGTGCATACTATTTTACTATGCATATTTTTTAATTTTATTTTATGTTCAATAATGGCATAACAGAAGTTCACTTAAATACCTATAGTTTTACGCCACACTATAATAATAATTATAGGCATAGAGAGACATGAGAAATCAATACCTACAGTCGTATCAGCTGTGCTATATTTCTTTACTATAAAATTCATACAACTCCTATGTTAATAGTATTATAAGTATCGTGTATACTCAGACTAGTTAACTAAAATTCATGCTGAATGAATTTTTAATATTTTTAGAAAACGTAACTTCATGATATCCTTTCATGGCCAAAAGTATGACAATAGCAAAATGACAAAGTATGAGTTGACTGTATGCATATATTAAATTTTAAAATATATAATATATTATTAATTAACAAATTATTTATTTATCTTTTGTTACCCTCAGTCTTAATTTGAAAAATGCTGCTTTGTTCAATCAAACGACTCGTATTTACACGATATACTATATCATTCTTATAATCTCCATCTGGAATTGTTAGACTTTTTATTGCGCAATGGCTTAACAATCACTGATCTATACAATGTGTTACGAACACTGAATACGACTTATTTAAAAATAAATCCATATACCTCTATAACCCCTTATGAACTTGACACTGTAGTAAGTGTACGAATCGCAGATTATTTGCATGCAACAATAGATAGTTATTTACAAATACCATTCTGACAACGGAAAATATTTATATTCATCTTCATCTTTATGCATAGTATCAGTTAATTGGAAAACATTTTTCCATAGCAGTAAATACCTATATCAATACTTTTTTCAGTTAAAATTAAATTCAGTAATATACCAAATATGTAAGACAATACGAGTTATCAGCCTCTAGAGAAATTGTCATAGTAAAAATCTCTTAACTGACGGATGAATATATTTTATAAAAACATGATTAAACATCTCAAAGAATAATTTTTTTCTTCAATGATTACAAAGACTTTATATCATATCACATGGAAGCAAACATTAATCTATTATTTGGATAATGTTAATGTAGTCACAAGCGAAATAGGTTGTTCCTTACAGACCTACATATGTCTGTATGGTAGAACCTTATTCTCTTCTGTACAATGAGTTTTTAAAATTTTTGTGATACGTTTTTTGTATTAATAATGTGCCTCTTCAATATAGCCTCTAATCGTTTTAGGCAAAGGCAATTTGTGAATGTTATCTAACCTAGTATTCTGGCGAATAACAAAGCGACAAAGATATTGCAAGCTCCTAACTTGTGTAAAGCGACTTACCGGTTTAATTAATCGTACTGGGAATAAAGGATAACCTGGATACCTGGGCCTTGAGTAACAAAACACTGCAGAATGACTCATCATCATGGAGTAATTGATTAAAGCAGATACTGATGAAAATCTTCCAGGTTTTGTATCAGTACAAAGGGAAAACATACCATTACTATGTTCTATACGAGCATGAAACAATTTCCCAGCTGTTTTAAAGCTCACTGTTAGCAAGTACCTGAATAAAATATTTAAAAATGGTTAGATTACAAAATTTAAATTGCATTTTGTTGAAAACGAACCTATCATCCGATGAATCTCGAACTAAAAATGCTCCATCAGGTTCAGCTTCTAATTTGGCATTAGCTTCATCTCCTGATATAGGTCCCCAATACCATCCATATTTGCTTAATTTGAGCAATTCTTTTGTTAAGCTGACTTTGGCTTCATTATCACTTGTACTTGGTGTATTGACATTTGGAGATGTTATTAATTCATCATCATTCATACTTCTAGACTGTACGTCTACCAGATCACATTCTGTTTTATCAGTATTATTAAAATAAGCTTCTGAATTTAATGCTTCAGCACCAGTAATCCTTGTTGAAGTGTATTCACATACTTGTTTTTCATTATTAGAATATAAGTCTGGTATTGTAATACTGCTTAATAAAAGTTCTTGCGAATTTTTATTTGCAATGTCAGAATAAGATTCTGCTGTGTCTATTGTTCCTGGTACACAGCAATCATTCCATGCTCTATCTCCTTCATAGTCAGAGCTTTCTTCTTTAGTATCACAATTGACAGCTGGTTTTTGTTCATTATCACCAACTTTTTTATCAGGTTTATCAGAAATCGGAGTTACATCCTCATCAATTTCATCTGATGTACTAAATGTTTCCACAGCCTTTACCTGAATGACATTTAACATAATATGACAAAATCTAAACAATATATATTAAAATAAATTGCATGTTTACCTTCTGTTTCAATTTGCATGACATCAGATTCTTCAGACATATATGTTTCTTAATCGTCTGAAAAACTCCTATAGGCATTTCATTAGTAGATGTACAGTCACTATCGCAAGCGTCAGTCTTGCTTTCATTAGAACTTTCAACTGATAGAGTTTTTTCTCTGGAGCCGTGTTTCCAAGGAAAGATGAAATATCCTGGCTTCATTTTACGCAGTCCTAGACCGCGATTACGTTCGGTCGATCTACCCGGACTCGTAGCCATTACCGGCTAACTTGTCCGTGAAGGTTGACTACAATACAGTCAAATAAATTCACGTAAATTATTAATTATTCAACTAATCCTGATGAACATTGACATTTTCAGTCTTTCGGCATGTGATCCTTTGTCTGTGGTCACTACACGCGGAATAATACGCCATCTATTTTCCGAACTTTAATATGCAAGTACGGGTTATAAATTTTCTAATTTGTAATCCCGACATTTTTGGGAATCTCAAAATTCTGTGTCCCTTCCACATGAGAGAACTGACATATTTCTTTTAGGAGAAACTAAAAAGGATATCACATAATATTCATTTTTGTATATAAAAAATTTTACACAAATATTACATTTCTTAACAATTTCACAGCGGGGCCTTTTGGGCTATGCCGAATGAGATAAAACATACACAGTTAAAATTCTTCAACATTGCACGTTTTGCAAGTCCTTGGAAGCTTGGACTGCATTCACGTTAAAATTCAGTCACTTGATAAGTGTCACACTTGTCACAATATTATGTCAATACAAAGTTTATTTCGATAAACATTAGTTAATGTGATGATATCCCATATACAGGTGGAAATCATGCTGAAGTTTTTAGAAATCGAAAAGGGTATTTTTCGATAAATGTGCAAGCTGTTTGCAATGCAAATTTAGAATTTTCCGACATTGTAGCGCGCTGGCCAAGATCGGTTCATGATTGCAACATATTTAATAACTCTAGAATACGTGCCTTATTCGAAGCTAATACATTTGGAGATGGATTATTAGTTGGTGACAGCGGATACCAACTGCGATCATATATAATGACACCGTTGGGTAATCCAAGAACTCGCTCCGGACAACTATATAATGAATCGCTGATTAGAACTCGAAATACTATTGAACGAACATTTGGAGTGTGGAAGAAAAGGTTTCCAGTCTTAGCTCTTGGATGCAGATTTCAGAAAACGGATACATTACTAGCTATGATAGTAGCTACTGCAGTATTGCACAACATTGCCAGACGTGCTGGTGAACTTTTGCCACCAGACGATCCGGCACTTCAACTGTCCGCACCATGGGAACACATTTTGAAAGAAGGTATAATAAGACACGAATTAAACAGGCCACATCGAAATAGGGTACAAAACCATGTGCAAAATGCATTAATAAATGGTTACTTCCAAAGGTTAGTGCGAACTCGCTCGATTTTATTTTTATTTATTTTTAATCATTGCTAGCGTTGAAACCTTTTGTAATGTTCATGTGTTTCAGCTTGATAAGATAAAATCGAGTAAGGATTTGTTAATAACAAAACTTGAGACATCGCACAGAGAGAGAAAGAGAGAGAGATACTCCTTCAAGTTTCCCTGAAGTCACGTCCGTTGCAGCAGCATAGGAAATAGTAAACAAAGGAAAAATTGAAATGCAAGAAAATCGATCTTGTGTATGATTAAAGTTCATTGCAACATACTCACGAAATTTGTTTTTCGAACTCCAGAATTTGTAAATACGACGAACTAAAATATATTTATAATAAAAGTATGTAGAATTGAAAAGTTCACTAAAAATGATTCTGTTTCCTGGAGGTTTCTCTTCCTTCCCGAAATATAGTTATTGCAGTTAATAAAAATGCGTTCATTTGCAAAAATATCCGTATAAAATATATTTGAGTACCAAAACTTTCACACAAATACAACTTTTTCAACATTTCTTAAATTTAATAAGGAGGTTCAGTCATTGTCGCTGACGTAGAAACTTATTAAGATTCTTTAGTTTTAAGATACTTATACTTAATTTTACTACTATTTTATATTGATAATAAAAATAACAAGAGATATGCGTAATAACGTATCCCTTCCACTACTTCATTCCGGAAAGCCAATCATAGAAGACATTTGAAAAGAAGTAAGCACTCGGTTAGACTTATCTTCAATGGACTATAGGTTTCCGAAAACCCCGGTTAAAAGTCTACTGTGGAACGCAAGTACGATAAACCGTCCGTTAAAGCAGCGGTTAGATTTAACGCTTGGTTAGCAAATCTCGCATTTAATCTCGAGTTGTGGAACTGGGCCTAAACATAGCGTTAGTTTCCACCGTGCAGAGTTTAAACAGAGTTAACCAATCACGTATAGGGGTTGAATGGAATTGACCAATAGGGCTGCTTGACTCTGTTTAAACTCAGCACGGTGGAAACTAAGCCAATAATTCTGATTGGCTTCTAGTACAGAGACGTACGATAAACGTCTACGAACCGTTGAGTGTAGATGTACGAACCATGTTCTGTTGTAGACGAAGCCTTAGGCCTATTTTCTTCAGCGCGGTTCAATGTATAAACTGCGTTTATCTTCAAAATACCACTGTCTGCTGATTGGTTAACAGCACAGTTCAACCGATTTGTGCACTGAATCGCGTCGAAGAAAACGGCCATTATTCTTTTTTTTTCTCGCGGACTTCAAATGTGTCTACCAGAGATGAGTAGGGTGTCTACAATCAATATAGCATCTGTTAAAAGAAATTTTCAATCCTTAACGTCTGAAAATTAATCGTACGTACATTTTAGGTTAGCTGCGTGTAGAATTCTAGTGTGTGATGTTTATACAGGGTGTGTCTTAAGCCCCGGACAGGAGACATACCGTTAGATCCGGTGTGAAAAAATAAAAATATTGGCGTCAACAATATTCAAAATTATTAATTAGTTTATTAATTATTACGTATTAAAGTAAGCCAATCATAAGCGCGTGAGAACTAGTAACTCCTCCTCAGTCTCCTCCCATTGGGGACGCGCTGAAGAAAATGGGCCTAAGGCTTTGTCTACAACAGAACATGGTTCGTAGACGTTTGTCATATGTCTCTGTACTAGAAGCCAATCAGAATTATTGGCTTAGTTTCCACCGTGCAGAGTTTAAGCAGAGTCAAGCAGCCCTATTGGTCAATTCCATTCAACCCCTATACATGATTGGTTAACTCTGTTTAAACTCTGCACGGTGGAAACTAACGCTATGTTTAGACGACAGTCTTAAACCGATTAGTTAATACTAACCAAATACCACCAAACGACCACCAATCGATTGGTAAAAAGAAAAATGTCGAAAGTCAAAGAGGGGGGGGGGGGCTAACTTTGTGGAGCTCAACCCGCCGTACAGGGCTTAACACTACCCACAGTACACAATGCGAATCTCTCCCATATACGTATTCACACACACCATTCTTTTCCGGAAGAGCCCATAATATGGCGGAGCCAATCACTAACAAGCCTCACCGTTGGTCGTACTGTTACTAGAGGGACGCTAATGAAGACTGAGTTCAATGGGATGGATCTTTTTTATATTATATGTATGTTAGTATTTCTCGCTTTTTAATGTAATACCTGTAATATAATACAAATATGAGTGGCACATGTCCGCCATTGGGGATACAGGCATAAGGAAAGGAAGGAAGGATAATACAAATATGATAAAAAAGAAAGAACTAAATCGGCGGTCTGGGAGAATAGCGCCACACCTTTTTATATTCTCAATTTAAACAAAGTTCAATCGGTACAATGAGGGTCCCAAGTGCATTTTCATGCAATAAAAATAAAACTCTTTGATCTGAAATATTCCCTGTCCAGAATATCTTTCTCCCTTCTCATGAAAGAAAATGAAATTACCAAATTGCGCTCAGACCCGTGAAAGGGTCGGACTATATGCATATGTAGTAGAGTGTATTTTTGCAAAAAAAATCTAAGCTGCTTTATCACTCTGTTTATAATTTTTAGTTTTATGACTCTTAAAGAAAAAACGTTATGAAAGTATTTGGTTGAATTTTGAAGAAACAAAAAGTTGGCTATACACAGCGAGGTAGAATACTGAAATATAAGAATAATTGCTCTATTTAAAGTGTGCAAGATTTCCGAGTCAGTTAAGAGTCTGAGAGTCTTTGACCTATAGATCCTATTGTTCATTGTTCGAACCTGGGTTCAAGATTTTTTTTAATCGTACTTTCAAATACTTTTTCGAGTGATAAAATATTTGGGATAATAGTTAAGTCGTACTTTCAAATACTTTTTCAAATGTAAAACCATTCGATTAGTAATTTTCATTAGATGGTGTCCACCCCTGGATCGTGATCCCTAATAATGACATTCAATTAACGATGTTATCGGTAATTTCATCGTGTTAAATATATAGTTGTACTTCCGGGGGTTTAAACAGAGAATGACTTTTTTTTTTCTTTTACTAATCATTTTATGTCACTAGCATATCCACTTTGACATTGTGATACGACAAATTTATTAGGCGTTATGAAACTATTAAATACGGTGCTTTCTTTACGCATGCGATTTATTCGTATACATCTTTTTAATAGATTAATAAGAAAAAACAACTGTGCAAGTTGTAACAGACGAACTAGCTGACAACAAACAGGGGTATACACTACCCACCGACCCGCTGTTTATTTTACAAAGCACAAAATAGGTTAATATATTTTTGGGAGTTACGATAAAATGAAACGAATGAGACATGCTAATAATATATTTTTGGCGTTTAAAGATTGCCGCAGCCTGGCCTTGATGCAACAGTGGTGCGCTCAGGTGCTCGTTGTTGACACCAGCATCGGATATTCACGCCTGAGCGTTAGCGACAGTAGCGAGTGTTCTATCGGGTTTGTTACTCTTACTATACTACATCATTGTGATCATTGCCAAGGAAATGGTGGTATGTAAATTGTTATTTTCAAGCAACTAAATATATGTCTTCGACTAAATTTTCATACAGGCGCTAGCACTCGAACGCGGGAATTTGATTTGTGGATACCAGATGATGAGAAAAAAAATTGTCATTTTTCACCAACCAAAATCCTACGTCCGAGTATTGGCGCCTGTATGAGGATCCAGCTTTACATTTCACAAGATTGTCAATTTTTTTGTTTCAAAATATTTTAATCTGAATTAATTATAAGTCAGCAGTATTACCACTGATTAGTACTGTGCTCTGTTTTTAACGTGATTTCAATTTACACTTATTAAAGTTTCAACGCGTCTGTGTTGTTTTTCATTGAGTTATACTGAATGATACCATTTCACAGTTTCAACATAAAATTATTAATTACTGCAAATAGTATTCGCGTTTAACTTTATCTAACGAAAAGAGATGTTATTTTGAATAAACTGTAAAACAGTGTAGAATACGAAAAAAGAAGGATAAAAGAGTGCTTAAGAAATCAGAGTGAAACTTGTAGGTTAAAAGCGGAACGTACTATAGTAATGGAAAACAGTGGTGAAAGCGGTGACGACGGCGGTCCTTTAGGTCCAACATCCTTTCTTCACGGCGGTAGTGATGTTTCCGCGTCTTATATCGGCGTACAATCAGACGACTTGGAAGGTATGTTGTTAAGTTAATTTAATTAGAAAACTAGATGACAATTTGTATTTAATTTGGTTTCAAGAGTCGCGTTTGCGCAATTTGTTACTGACGTTATATTATTCAACGGCTATTATATATTATTAATTCATTTTTCTTTTCATTTTAAAATTTATTTTTAATATTACTTACTGATCATACCATGATAGAAAAGATGAATTTGTAACTTTATATCATTTACTTTTTTATCTACTTCTCCCCATGTTTAACATTTTTACTTTACAAATTGTACATATTTCATAACAAGTGTCATTCACTCTTCTTTAACATTCATTGGCAGATGATCCAGAAAATACAGATGACTCAAACCATGGCACTGGAGATCCTTTACAGGGTGGTGGAGGTGGAGGCGGTGGTGGCACTCTTCGAGAACAGGATCGTTTCTTGCCAATAGCAAATGTGGCCAAGATAATGAAGAGAGCTATCCCTGAAGCTGGAAAGATTGCAAAAGATGCAAGGGAGTGTGTCCAGGAATGTGTTTCAGAGTTTATCTCGTTTATCACATCCGAAGCTAGTGACAGATGCCACATGGAAAAGCGGAAAACCATAAATGGAGAAGATATCCTCTTTGCAATGACAACCCTTGGTTTTGATAACTACGTTGAGCCATTGAAAGTGTATCTTCAAAAATATCGCGAAGCTACAAAGGGTGATAATCCTGCCGGAACACCTGGTGCCTCAACAGGAAATGGGAAGACAGAGCCACAAGGAACCATCTACGAGGAACAACTATTTGCCATTGCTGCTGCTGTACCAAATGCAACTACTTCCGATGCCCCTGTTATATATAGTTACTCCTCTTCTGACCAGATGCAATTTCAATTGCATTGACGGACAAGATTGACCTTCACGTCATCATCATTCCACATTTGCACATAGGATGATAACTGCGGCTTAAATTGACTAAACCTTTTTAAACAAGGTTCGTGAATTTTCATATTTCGCGATTTTCTTGTTCGTAATTTACAAAGGCACACATGTGTGTCCCATCTCAAACCGTGGACATTATGGAGAGCTACGGTAACATGATCTATTGTATAAAAAGCTAATCAAGGTATTCATTCGAAAATAGTAAAAGACTTAATACTATGAAGAAATAAATGTTAAAATCGGCAAAAAAAATTGCACCTTGCTTTCTAGCTCTTCTCGCAGGTTGAAAAAGACGACGTGAACAATGAATAGAAAACAGCAGCCGATCCTTTATTATGTTCAAATTATCACTAAGCCACTTTAATCTAGGCTAGGCTGTGCTGAGTCAGATCAATTTTTAGACAGAACCGATCTAGACTAAACTACGTTATTTCGAACAGGACCGGCAGTAGAGATCGGCGTATAGAATTCCATAGAAAAAGTTCAATCGCGAGGAGCATTTTGAGTACTTCACTCGGGTAATTGGGCAGGAGAGAGCAGTAGCTCATGTCCTTTCGTCGCCGTTGATGGAACAGGGCAGGACGAAGGCATCGGCGGTTGTTGTAATTGTTTTTGCTGTTGTTGTATTGGCGGCAAAAGAGAGGCCGTTGGCAGCGGTCCCGTAGGAGCATTAGTATCCGCCTTTCGTCCTTTTTTCTTATTAGCAAAAACAACACAGGGTCTCCATCGACATTCTCCGCAATGGCATAAGCAGAGACAAAGGAGCACACGAAGTAAACAGCATAATAGGCCTGCGCAAAGTAAAGACGGTCCGACCAGTCTTAATTCAGGACTCTGAAATCCCTTCTCGCCAGTCCCCACGAAGGAGATAACTAGGCCTAGTGCGGTAGTACCAAGACCGGCATAGAGTACAGTGTTCACGGCAGCGCTGACTTCACCCCGTCGACGATCTGCAAAGCCGCTTCCTTCCTCATCTTCATCCTCGCCGCTGCTCCCGTAGTAGTTGCTGGCATCTCGTATCTAAAAGCAACATACCGCAGTGAGTCAAAAGTGAGCCTTTGCATAGCTCAAAAACGATAACAATAAATCTTATACCCTGTTTCGGTTCATCCATCGTCGATGTGCCTCACATTGTTTGGTCTTGTAGTTGGGTCCTTCTCCTCGTGATCCATGAGGTGATGCTGGCGATAAAGGAAGTGGGGATGGTCTATTACAACCCTGCCACGCAGCCTTGCCAGGACCCTGACCTCCGCACTGTAACGATATAACATTTGACACCAGTATGCTCTGCGGTCTCAGACAACGAGGACACATAAAGGTGCAAGATCCGTATTTCTGGGGCTGATTGATTACGTTCCAGCTGTGCTATATCTGATCGCACTCGTTTCACGTATCCGGTTATAGGCACAGTTACTTTTTGAGTACCTGATGGTTAAAAGTTTTCCCCCGAGGATGATAGGTGTTATCGACAGAACAAAATACTTACCCCGTATACATAGGATCGCGGGGGATATCGTGGAAGCGGCGGAATGAGTCTGGTGGCCAAGTTGGAGGGTAACTCTCGAAAGTTCACAGCCTTACCCCCCCGTAAACGTTGCTTCTCCCTTCTAATTAATAAAGCAGCCTGCATTCCGCTCATTCATTTGCCTGGTTCATTGATCGTTCAGTTCGACGGTCCTTCACTTCCGTTTAATCGCGGGCTTGCTCGAATAATCGGCTAACCGCACCGGTAAGGAACGCTGTCGTCACAATGACAGATGTGATTCGAGATTCTCTTTCTCTTTTCCTCTCTATCTCCCCTTTACGCGGGATCCTCCTGCTCCGGATCGAGACTAAATACGTAAAAGCATGTGACATTGCTAAAAGTCGATCTTTCGTCAGACCCAAGTTCGCCCTCGAAACAATGACACGCCAGCCTTTCACCGTTAACTGACTGGCAAACCCCTGGTCGGTGTCCATGATCCGAGGGTGAACCGTAGGAATTGATTCTGTCAGAGAGCAGGGCGGAAACGTGCCGCGAGGAAACGCCACCAGACAGCCGAATCGTTGAATTGGGTGCCGTTAAGAGTGCGGTGCATCGGGGAGTAAAAGATAGTATAGGAGTAGTAATAGTAATAGTACTAATATAGTAGTTAATAGAGAAAATAAAGGCGAGGACGACGCGAGCGAAGAGTCGCGAAGCGCGTTTACCCACCTGTAGTTCCGAAGTGGAGGGCGAGACTCGGAGATCGAGGATCGAGGGCGGTGGAAATGGAAAGCTGTTCGACTTGGTAGCGAATGTGAAGGAGTTGGGCGATTCGAGCGAGAGCGGCGGAGGAGATATAGGAAATGGAGCTGGTGAGAGAGGCACGAGCTGGTGTTGATAGTGATGGTGGTTGTGGTGGAAGTTGCGATGGTGGTGGTGCTGGGACTGCGGATGCTGCTGCTGTTCTTGCTGTTGCTGCTGGTGATGATGGTGGTGATGGTGCTTCTCGAGTCGTTTGTGACGCTCGTGACTTCCTACGTTAGCCGAGGATGGTAGAGGAACTGGAGCCGATGACGGTGGGAGAAAGTGCGAACGAGCAAATTTGCTCGAATGGGAAGTTGGGACGCTCCTGATCCTTGGAGCAAGTGCTGCTGGTGTTCCTACAGCATCGCCGCCTCGTCTGTTCAGCTGGAGGCGCTTCTGCTTCCTCCTGTTGGCAATGCTAGCTCCACCCGCTGCAGCGTACATCGCTCTCTCCTCCGGATCCTTTCCGTGGCTCTTCCCGGTTTAACGCATTCGGGCGAGGCGACTCCTCGTTAGGAGTAACGATCGTGCATGGTTCTGCATTCTGTAAAGGCAAGAAACGTGACGGTGCTCCAGGCATCGGTACGCCTCCCCCGTGTGTACTTTCTAAACTATACCTAGTGCTACGTATCCCTACTGCTATCTATATATATATATATATATATATATTACCTAAGCTTCTTTCTTATCATTACGTTTGCTATCAGCTACATACTACTTTTATTCATCCTCTACGTAATAGATATCAGACACACAGAGGTCGGCCTTGCCAAGATGGTCGATCTTTAGAATTACTTTGCCTTGGATACGCTTCCATAATAAAATTACGATCGAAACTCCTCGACCTGTCTTTTCATGGAAGGCCTTCCTCCCTCTCTCTGATTACCTCAAAAACCCGACGTACTCACCCAAGTCCCCCGATCTTCGCGTGGACTATCGTCGTCTGATCTCCACCCGATCAAGGTCCTTCAGCACTTATTTAGATATAGGGCTGAATAGAAATGAGCTTTTTCTTATCGAGCAACACATTCGTTGGAATGCATTCTTTCTTTCACTCATTCTATACTGGATGCATATATACATATATATATACAAGTCTCTTCTAACTAATTTCATTAATAATTATATCACTCTGGCTATTGAATACGACCAATGCTTTTATTATTACAGTAAGAACAAGGCAAGCAGGGGGCTTCAAGAATTATGGTACATGTATGACAGGATTTGTAAACTGCGTGATTAAAATATTTTATTGTATTCTGATCCGTTCAGACTTGTGATACCACGGAGAACGGAAGTGAGGGATCTTCATTCATTGGAGAGTGTCGATAAAAATCAGGGAGTCCTTCGGTTTCGAGAAGTATGTTATAATAAGTTGACGAGGCGATCAGGCAAGAGGCAGGCAAAGGCAGGCAAGCAGACAGAGAACAGGCAGCAGAGCAGGGTCGTTTGTTATCGAGCGAACAAACGGTGGGTGTTACGTGCGTGCACGAGGGAGCGAGAAGCGAACACGGAGTTTCGGACTACAGAGGCAGAACTCCATTCTCCATTTCGGCGAGGCCATCAGAGGTTTTTTTGTTATCTAATTTCTTTACGTCATCTAGTGGCGGTTCTCGCGTGGTCGCGCGATTACAAGGAAGGCTGACTGGTGGCACGAAATCATTTTTTTTTCGAAATAATCGTAGGGTTAACGAGACTGAGAAATTTAACGTGGTTCCTTCATGGTAAAAACCCAGGGGAATCCCCGAACTCCGAATGAACAAGTCATAATGTATATCGGCGAACCCAATGGCCACGATAACGAAGATGATGACGGCGTTATTAACAACGATGACGAGAGTAATGCTGAGTACGACGACGACGACGGCGGGCACGACGACGATGATGACAGCAGCATCAGTGACAGCGGCAGCAACAGCAACAGCAAAGCAACCATCAAGCTGGGGAACACTCAAGATGTAACGCGTACCAACGCTTTAACACCGACTACACCGCGTCCGTTCGTTCGTCCTGTCTGCTCGTCCACGTTCTCTCTTCACCCTCTGTCTTCTTTTCTGTTCACGACGACATCGCGAGATATGTCTCCGCCACGGCTACGTTACCCAGGTCCGAGCCACGATTACTCCCTTTTTTCCCTCACGTCACTTCATCACCGTTATACTCGCAGCCTCCGTCCTGCTACTCCTGGCTGATCGCCTGCGTCCTCACTGATGCACGGGCATCGAACGATCACTGAGCCTCGTTGCGGATACGATTACCAACGCGAATACACGCTATTGCAACTCATACCACCCTTTCTTTTTTTCCTCTGCACCCTGCCAGCCTCGTCGTCCCCGTGACACATGCACTCGCGCACATCGAGTCTCTCCTCCTTGTTGCACCCTTGCATATAAGACTTCACTGAAATATCCAACGCGGTTATAGAAAGAGAGAGAACCCCTGAACACCCTCGAAAGAAACACCGCCACACTCACCGTCCGCACTGTTGCGATTCTAGGCCAGTCTCCGCGCTACTTACCCTCCTACTCTCTGCTTCGCCGCGACTAGGCCAGCCCGACCCAGCCTCGACCCTAGTCGATATTCCGTCCTGGCAACTTTTGACCTTTCACCTTTCTCGCACCCCCGATTCCCGATGCCTGCTGCCACTGCTGCTGCGTTTGCTGCCTCTACTGCTGTTGTTGCTAATGTTCAATACTCACCCCTTGCCAGCCAATATTCACTGGTGGTATCTGCCTTATCGACGTTAGGACATCCTCATGGATTTTTATTCCTGTGACACAATCAACTGTTAACTAGGTTACGGGAATGGAAAATATAGATCAGTTACGTACTTGGATTATTGATTTTTTTTTTGGTTCTGTGACCTATCTTTAATTTATTCTGTTGTTGAGATTTAATTTTCTATTGTTTAACTGACCGGATTATCTTACTTGCTGCCTCGATCGATGTTTCACGGAGGAGAGTAAATAATAGGTGCTTGATTTAGGTGACTGATAGAACTTGCGTTTTATTTGTGTATTAAATAATTACAATCTTGATAGTTTTATTATCTACGTTTTCGTCCACCAACTTTCGACCGTAGATCTCTTTTGCCTTTACCTCCTTTTGGTTTTTTTGCTCCTTTACCCTCTTTCTTGCTGGATTTCTTTTTACCGCCGCTGTTTGAAGATTTGGCAGATCTGCGCATTACATTGTGTTACTTATGCTTCTATGATTGGGACGAAATTAATTATATTAAAGGTGTACTTACTTTGTGGATGGTACAGGCGCATCTACATGAAGGATAGTGGATTTGGAACGAAGAATACTTTCAGCCAACTTCTTGTTACGCTGCTTTTCTTGAACAACACTTAATGGAGCTTCTTTACGTTTCTTTTTTATGCCAGGCACATGTGATGCAATATCCTTTGCATCTTTTTCCTTTGGCAATCTACATACATTTTTTCAATTATTCAAATAGGAATCAACGAGCTTTTCTAGTGCATATAGACCTTACCTGCTTTGGAACTTTCCTACTGAAGCAGTGGAAGCTCGTGCTATGGTTGTAGCTGCAGCAAGTTGCCGTGCGTCTCGGAAATGTTCTGTACTAGGAATACCAACTCGTGGAAGTTTAACGTTTTTGGCCTTTGCCAAATTGCGCAACCTTTGCAATTCATTCTTTGCTTGTTTTTCACGTTTAGCTGTCTTTGAAGCAGTGAAAGGATCTTCACCATTGGTGAATTTTGTGGGATCATTAACTTCCACCAGCCATTCTTTTTGTTCATCTGCCTTTGCTTTTTTGTAGCCATATTTTGGGATCCATTTCTACAACATACTTATAATTAAACTGATGTCCATTGAATATAAATATTAAATATACAATATATCATAGTATCAATTACCTCCAATTCTTCATCCCATGTGACTTTTGATTTATTCTTCTTCTTTGAAGTGATTCCTTTTTCTTTTGCGAATTGTTGCCATTTTGTCAAAGGTTTAGGCTTAGGTACAGAACGTGCTCTTGGTAACACAAACACTGGTTTCGGAAGTATCCCAACAATTGCCTCATCTACACGTTCTGTTTGCAACATCCAGATTTTATTAATGAGCACCTGCACATTGTCCCTTGTTAAGTTTTTCAAATATGTATCTTGACTTGATCTGAAAACATTAACAATAACATCAATAAATATAAATAGTTGCTAGGCAGATCCAATTGAGGTTACCTTAGATTTTCTTTGTCAAAAACGTTGTAATCAGAAGCAAGAAGAGTTCCTTCGTCAATTTCCAATTCCAAATCCTTATGAACCGATATTGATTTATTCGAATTCACATTTTTTTCCAAAATTGCATTAACAACATCCATTTTTAATATGCAATATACAGTACTTGTTCGAAACCACGCGGTCAGCTTGAAGAACTAGCATAATCTAGAGAGCTGGTACAGTAAATTGTCATCTCATTGTAAACATAATGATTCATTTACTTAAAGAAATAATACAATTTGAAATAATAACAAACGCGTAGCTTCCTATATAATTTATTGTTAATGAGAATGAACTCTTTTTAACTAATGTTCAAAAATTTGTTCCACACTGGGACTCAAAGGAGAATCTGAGGTATGTTTAAATAAAACTAAAAACTTCCATTTGGCATTTAGATTTACTTTTGAACCAATGAGAGACCCGATCTTCCTTATTCCAGCTTCCTGATTGGTTTAAATATGAGAGCTTACAAAATGTCAGATGTTGAGAATTTCATAAACATACCTTCAGTTCATATGATCATTGGTCATCGTATATTGTGAGAATTTGGCAAACGAATTTGTCAATTAATAATTCGTTTCGACAGGATTCATAACGTTATTCTTTATATGAAAAGGAAACGCCTGTTACGATAGTAATGACTGAAGGAGCTGAAAAAACTTCTGCAGATTTCTTAAAGTATGTTTTTTATGTAATTTTAATATGATTACAACAATGAGTTACAAATTTTTAATTACAATTGATTGTATTTATTTTAAATAGTGCAGAGGGACTGTTAAAAAATAGAGGTATCAGACATGAAGCCTGGGGAGAATGGGAGAAGTCCTCCAGAGTCCTTCCGAAAACTGGTGAAAAGCAATTTGAACCAAATAACTCGTGGCTTCAGAATAAACAAATAGAGAAAGGCCTTACCAATCGCAAAAACTTGCTTAATATACAGAGGGTGGAACGTAACTCTCAATTAGCAACTGCTATATGGTTGGAACATGAGAAGAAAGCTCAGGTCATTAAAAAATCAAGACAGGACTGGAGTTGTTTTGGCACAGAAACAAAAAAAGGATTGCTTTTGACACCAGAAGAGACCTTGATACTCATAGAGCTGGTATAATAATATGTCAGAAATAAGTATAAGATTAATATAATTTCTATACATATATATATTTGCTTATAGAATTGCTTGGAGCTTACTTGGGATAATGTAGTTTTATCGGTACAACAAGCTTATGAAATTTTAATTGAAGAAGATGAGTCACAATGTACCATAGATGAATACAGAGCTTACAGCCATCTAGTCAAACAAGGCTACAGAGTGCAACGATATTGTCGAGATCTTTGCACATCATCTGTGAGTGGTTACGTGAAGTGGGTGAGGATGACAAGGAATGTGTATGAAAGGAAAAAATTTATTGTGAATCCCATAAATGGATTACGAATGAATGATGGTAATTCTGAAAAGGATATCAAGGAGAAGGAGCAAAAGGATTTATCAATAGCCAACTTGGTCAGTGATGTAAAGGGTTTAATAGATGACATGATTAATGAAATAGAACAGGAAAAGACTGAATCACCAAAAGTAGAAGAAACATTACAAACCAATGATTCTTTAACATTGAAACTAACTGAGGCAAATGCTGTATTAGATACACAGCAAAAAGACTGTTGTGTACAAGAACTCCCAGGTCCCAGCAATGTGCATCAAGCAAATTCTCTAAATAATAATGGAAGAAGGATAAAACCAAAAATTGGAATTATTTCAGAAGAAACTGTTTTGGAACCAGTTAGATTGATAAAATGTAGTCCAGGTGATAAAGCTGTTCTTGGAAATTCAGCTCAAAAATGGCCAGGCTCTCGTATACAAAGAAATGTAAAACTGTTGCCTAAAAGAAACGATAAGGTTAATGTTACAGCTCCTGATGAGCTCCCAGATATTACAATGGTACATGACTTAGAGTCCTTAAACAGTTCTCCATGTTCTCCAGAGAAGCGTAAGGAGTGTCCAGTGAGTTCGGTATTGTCGCAAAATAAAAGATCTAAACACGAGGTAAGACACTTTAGAAGTTAATAACCAATATAAAATTAATATTATAGTAACATTCCTCTATCACTCTGTATCCTCAGGTTATAGAACTATCGGATGACGAGGTTGAAGAAATTCCACACAGCATGTCCCGCATGGAGATGTTGAACTTCTTACCAAATATTGCATCGGAGTCTATTATCACAGAAAAGATATCAAGAAGATACTTGCCGCAGAATGTCAGGCCCCAAAATAATACCTATCAATATGTACGATGGAAGATGTACAATATTCAAGAAGCAGATAAAAGAATACGAATGGGTTTTAAAACAGGAAGGACAGAAATTGAAGCAACAAATAGTGTGGAAAATCAAAATAATAATATCACACTTGAAACTAGTGTACCTGGAATAGAAATGGTCACTTGTAATAATCAAAATCAAAATGAAGAGCAAGGTTTTACATGTCTATTATCCGCAGTGATGAATGTAGCAAGGTCTATATTGCCAGCATATATGCAGCAGACTAATACTCATCTACAAAGACATCGAATGCTACGATATATGAACAGAATGCCATCATATCAAACCCAGAGGTATTCTATACCAACAAGATATTTTCAAGGGAATATTTCTAATAATCCAGTCCACATGAGGCATTTCAGGTCACATCATAAGGGATTTCCAAATAATCCTTCATCTCTAGAACATCATAGACCTTCTTTTCCGATGGTCCATCGAAATTACAATCTGGGGATACCAACGGCTCAATCATCCTACTTTTATCCAACAGTGTGGCATAATAATTTCCAACAGTATCATCCATCTCCAACTGCTCCATTACTTTACCAAAATGGAATGTTTCTGAGCCAACAATCTTCTCAACATCAAGGAACTTTTTCTCTTCGGACGCCTCGCAATCCACAAAATAATCATGGACCCCAAGCTACGACGTCTGAAACAAGTCTTAAGAATAATCAAAATGGCCATCATCATTTTGGAGATGATAAGGATAATAATAACCAGCCATCGTTTATTAAACTGCCTGGTGCTTCCTCGTGGACGGAATTAAAGAAGAAATGGATCGACGAGAAGACTATTATTATAGATGATGAAGAACATAGTGAAACCCAGGATGATATGGATTGTAGTGAGGTACAAGTTATTAATGAAACTACTAAACCGTTAGTAACTCCGAAGAACGTTAACAGCATTCCTGAAGTTTATGAGAAACTTCAAATAATAAAATCAGCTTCTGAAAAAAGTATTAGACGAAGAAGATGTGACTATAAAATATCATATAATGTGTATTCGAGTACACAGCCATTCAAGAAGAGCTGCCCTGGTGTCCCTATTTTTAGGGTGGTAGTTACAAGGTATTATTCATTTAAATATTTCTTGAAGTATTACTTATTCTAAAAAGTATTGTACCATGTAATTTTTTTTAGTAAAAGAGATGACGCTATTATACAGCCAGCAGATCTGATTCAATTACAACTTGATGGAGAAGATGTACCTATTATTGTAGCATATGTGTCTGGCTCCTCCATCTCATTCACACAGTGTGGAGTTGTTTCGATACCCAATTTAATTAGTGATTAAGTTCAGCTTTTTAATGGAATACAATGATAGGATGAGAATCGTATCAAATATATTGCTAATGCAAATACCATTCGACTGGGCAGTCTTAAAACTTATATTAGTCTTTAAAAAAGAAAAAAGCTTTCATATTGATAAAGATAAAGATTCATTGTTACAAAACATGAAATTATGCAGTATTTAATAGTATAAGTATCTCGAGTTACTGTTCAGGAGGACTGTGTTAGATAATCATACTAAACGTGTTTTTGATACTCTACATTTTCTGTTTATTTTAAACTACCTTCCTTCCTTTCCTTATGGCTGTATCCCCAATGGGGGACATGTGCCAGTAACTGGTCCTAATAATAATCAAGGTTGGAAGTTCGACAACAGATGGCGATGTACCTCGCGAGACGCGCGTTATTCAACTCAGCGTGAGGGGACCTACAAAGTTTATACACCGAATCCGAACAGTGTTGGGGAAAGCCATATAAATAATCACTTAAGTTTTCATGTGAAAACCCATTGGTGAATGCCGCTGGAAGCTGGGCGCGAACCTCCAACCTTTCGGTCATGAATCCGCTACCCTATCCACTGGGCTATGGCCGCCCCCGATTATTTTAAACTAAATCTAAAGGCAGTAACAAAGGACTATGCTCATTAATCAAGAAAGAGAACTCAAACATCACTTAATATAAAAGGATAAAGAATCTTATTATTTGACTTCCTACCATCAACATAATGTATTTGATTTATGACGTATTTATTTTCGATAAAATACATATGCATTTGACGTCCTGAATTTATTGTAATTCGAATTAGTATCCCGCTCTGTTTCTTCTTCATTGGTACCACTGATTCGCAACAAAAGTATATCTATATCGGGTAAACCTGCAGTATACGACTCCGAACTGAAGTTGGCTGCTACTGACTTAGGTGTTTTGAGGTAACGCCATCTGCCGGATATAATGTGAATCGCATGGAATAGTCACGCCGCCTATTAGAAAAAAAATTAACCATAACCGACAGAAATAGTACCAGTCGACCGTCGTGTCCGGGGAACATTGAAATTCCCACTGAGCCTGAATCTGGGAGTACTTATGAATCCAAAAATATGTCAATTGTAAAATTTCGATTATTGATAACTTCGATTTGCCAAAAAACGAACCAGTTCTCACTGATCTTGTTGTTTTGCAACTACGACATTGCCAACGATATTTTTCCGAAAGAAATTCAGCATTGCATAGAATCATGTCCTTATCGCACACTGGACACTTGAAAGTTCGAGCCATAGTTCATAGGACTCATAAGTCCGTATCTTTGTGCAAAGGTGATTACCTCAATAGAAGGTTTCTCACCTAGTTAGAACAAATCTACGAACCGTATCACCATTGCAATCGATCACACACAATCCAATTTAAGCAAAAGAAATAATAGCACACTTGTGTTACACGCTTTGCGGACTACTAATGAAAATCATCCTTCTACATGTTTTACAAAAGCAGACGATACATTGTAGCAAAAAAATCTCGAAACAGTAGATCAAATTTAATGCTCAATGTACAATCACGAGCTTGCACTTATACATACTTATATTATTAAATAATATTATTTATAAATTAAATATACACATATTTAATATAAAAATATGTAATAATAACTTCATATCAAAATATATATATACATAATAGGTGCAAACCTGTGTGGCGTAGCACGAAAATTAAACGAAAAAAATCTCCAAACATGGAATATTGCGATTACTAGATCATATTTTGTGAAAATATATTTTTATAACAAGATATAAGATATGACAACAGTAAAAATATATTCACTTCAAATTTTTAAAGATAGTTGCGCTTTTTTCCGATCAGGAGGCGCCACTATTCTATGCAATTCGCATTGCATTTGATAAATGGTGCTACGTTAAAAATCTAAGTCACTAGCAGCCAACTTCAGTTCGGAGTCGTATACTGCAGCTTACCCCTATATCGCTTAAAGTTTTACTATCCGTGTTTAAACAAACTGAAACAAACATGTTGCATGTTCATTTACCTAAAAGCTCATGACTTTCTACTATTAACTATCAAACGTTTTTCCAAGCTTATCAAGAATTATCAAACAATTGAAAGTAGAAATACTGCAATATTTCTAATTCAATGGACACATCGATCGAGAAATCGATTGTATCGTGTCGATTGAAATTTTCGATTCTCATATGGTTTTTCTAATTTTTCTAGCAAACAATGGACTATCAAATGTTTTTATTTGTTAATTCATAACTATCAAATGATTCCGCATCGATTTAGCCCATGAAAAGCTAAATCCGATTAGCAACAAGAAAGTGACGGCCAACCGCACACCAGATTTTGATTTTAATTTTCTGAAAAAAAAAATGACTAAAACTTTTTAATCACGTTTTTACAAGACTGTCAAACACTGTTAAACGACTGTTAAACGATTTGGAATAAGAAAAAGTTTATAAATAAAAGTTGCCCAGCCAACTTCACACAGGTAGCTCATGATGCACGTGGTGTGAAAGACAGTTGTGTAAATTATAAAATGTCAATGATTAGGCTATGTGCGTAATTATAATTTTTGGACGAAAGAAACACAATTAGAAATCGAATGATTACCACTACCCGTCCATTCACCAGGAAAATACTTGGACACTTCGGGACAACCCGGAGCCTAAGACCATACTCCAAGGGTTTTCCTTGGCGCGATCCTGTACAACAAGTAGCAAATTCAAAAATGCCAAAAGATAAACAATTTATTTTGTCAATGCAACGACAGCGACAGAAAATTAAAGAGAGAAATTTCAAGGTCATTCCGGGTATTGTACAATTGCAGGTAAATATCTTGACATGTCGTCATAGTGTATTAAACATTAAATTATGTATTTTTTATGAATAGATACTTGGTAGTGGAGCTCGTGGATCAGCAAGATGCCTCTATGTATCAAGCGATCATACAAAGTACTTGTTTAATTGTGGTGAAGGAACCCAGAGACTGGCATTTGAGCATCGACGTAAGCTCACAAGAGTGGAGCATGTTTTTGTAACGACACCTACTTGGAACAATATGGGAGGGCTGCCAGGAGTAGCTCTGACAGTACAAGATAATGGTGTATCAGAATTTAAACTCCATGGACCTGAAGGATCTATCGATTTATTTAATGCTATTAAGAAATTTGTTATTCTAAAGGATTTAACTGTTCATCCAGCTACATGCAGTGAGCTAAATCCATTTCAGGATCAAACTATGACTGTGCACTATGTTCTTTTAACAAAACCAACAATTGAGAATGATCCTGATGACACTGTGAATGATTTAACAGTTGATAACACTGACTATTATTCTCATGAACTAGCTCCAAATGGCAAAAGGAAATCATATAATGGTGAAAGCAGTAGAAAGTTGCAAAAAACAGAGCCGCAGATTATAGGAGGCCGTGTAACAGGTTCTATGGCATATATTTGTAAACTACGTCCTCGACCTGGATCTTTGGATCTGAATAAATGTGTAGAAAAAGGCGTAACACCTGGTCCGGTTTTGGGTCAATTAAAAGCTGGAAATGATGTGACACTTCCAGATGGGACATTGATAAAAAGCGCAGATGTCTGCACACCACAATGTCCTGGTCCAGTATTCATTGGTAAGTACTGTAGGATAATTATAGACGTAATATTTTTATTGATTTTGTTTCACTTGGAAATATAATTCTTGCAGTCATTGAGTGTCCCACAGTAGATTATTTGGATTCGTTAACGAACAATGAAACATTCAAGAACTACCAGGCAACAGCTTCTGAAGAAGACAACATTGCATACTGTGTGGTTCATTTTACGCCAGAAGAAGTCCTTAAAAATCCACGTTATAAGGAATGGATAAATAAATTTTCCCAGAAAACACAACACATAATAATTAATGAAGAAAATGAGTGTATAGGCAGTGAAGCAGTTCACAGAATTCAACATAAGCTGCACCTTCTTCATCCTGAAATATTTCCATTCTTTGACAGCATTACATTTGAAAAGAGTGAAGAGGCAAATCCCCCAGAACGAATTTCACAAGATTCTGTAAGTCCCTTACGCTAGATGTGAGGCTATAGCTTTTAATAATAATACTCAATGATGGTTTCTGTGTTAATATACAACTATCAATTACAGGTAGAAACCGAAGAAATTAATCCTATAATTCATCGTGTCAAAACTCTTCATTCTATAAATCTGCGTCCATTGACTGGATTGGATAAAAGTTTAGAATTATCTATTAGTCCAAAGCAATATGTGGATGAAGCATTCGCTGTGGATGGTTTCCTGGATGCCTTAGCAGAACTCCAAACAAATATTGCAGCAACAAGTAAATCCCTAATCAATGCACCCGAATACCCAAAGGTTTTGATGCTAGGAACCGGTTCCTGTATACCAAACAAAGTTAGGAACACCAGTGGCATTCTTCTAAGACTTGATAAGGAATGCAGTATTTTACTAGATTGTGGAGAAGGAACAATGGGTCAGATAATTCGATTTTATGGAAAATCCAACGCTACCCGTATTCTTAAAACTATTAAGGTTTGCCACTTCTTATACATTGTTTTCCCCGTGCTGTTAAAGATTCACAATTTAAATCTTATTATACAGGCTGTTTACGTATCGCATTTACATGCTGATCATCATATCGGTTTGATTGGATTGCTAAAAGAGAGAGCACGAGTAACTGAGGAACCACTATTTTTAATTGCACCTGAACAAATTTCTGCATGGCTTCAACTTTACCATAAACGATTCGAGTCTATCTTGGATCTGTACATCCTGGTGCCTAATTCGTATATTCTTTTAAATGAACATGGATTATCCAACGCGAGAGAAAAAGAATTGTACAGTGCACTGAATGTGCGAGATATTAGCACTGTACGGGTGAAGCACTGTCCATTTGCATATGGTGTTGCTGTGACTGACAGTGCTGGTAATAAAATTGTTTACAGGTAAATAAATTCATAATGATACTAAATTAAATCAAAACTTCAGATTACTATAATTTCATATAAATATTTGTATTTCAGTGGAGACACTGTACCGTGTGATAACTTAATAAAATTAGGAGCTGATTGTGAATTATTAATACATGAAGCTACTATGGAGGATGACATGGAAGCTGAAGCAAGAATGAAACTTCATTCAACAATTTCCCAAGCGATAACGTCTGGCAATAATATGAGAGCAAAATTCATTTTGCTAACTCACTTCAGTCAACGCTACTCAAAGATGCCTCGCATCCCAGAAGATTCTCAGGGAAAGAATTTTGATAACGTTGGAATAGCTTATGACAATATGCTAGTAAGCTTAGCCCAACTTCCGATACTTCCTCTACTGTATCCCAGCTTGAGACTGATGTTCAGTGAATTTTGTGTATTGCTTGAAGAAAGAGCAACGAAGAGACAATTAAGATTGGAAAAACTGAATCAGGAATTTCTGTAGTTTATCGAATATCAAATGTAACAACTTAAATGATCTTAATCCATGTGTAAAAATAGCTTAATAGAAGTCTAGGATTTGTAAAAAAAAAGGGAAGAAAATAAAAATGAAATGGTGAAAGAGAACCGCAGAAACGAGTCTCTTCGATCGATAAAAAATTGTTTATTACGTTTCTCGTCGATTGTTGATAAGTTTTGTAAATCATAGGGAAACATCGTAGCTTCTGAGTCGATCCTCAGGTGTGCGTGGAGCGTAGAAATACAAGCTCTCAAAATAGCTCGTAACATGACCATCCTATACCTCGTAACTAATGATACTAAAGTAATAAAATATTCTACATACTAGTCTCCTATGTTTCGATATTATATATGTACGTGGGCAGCAATCAGCAATGTAAAAAACTCGATACGAAATATATCCTTAGCGATAATAGTTAGGAATAGACGAAGTAGGTATTATTATATTTACACAAAAAGAGATTCTCGTATAAAATCAATGCTGAAGCGATACGGCTGTCGGTCACCTATCATCCTGACAACAAATCGAGATGATCAACGAACAATCATTAATCATCCATTATTGAAAACCTGGCCAAACAGATTAAAAATAGTCATGTGCGTCTGAAAATTTTTAAAATAATATCCAGTGCCTTTACAGAATGCGCCCTACCGATTATCGGTAGCTAGCAAGCTTATTTTGCTAGCTTACCTCATACTTACTGGCTTTGCCACATAAACCGCGAAGCGTCAATCGTAGCTACAGTCATTGTAAATATGTAGGGGAGGAGGAGTTAGAGTGATAATGGGGGATTATAAAAGTAGATACGTATAAAATCCTCTCAAGATGGAATGAATCGGGTCGGTGTTCTTAAAAAGTGAAGACTCCGTCGGGTTAGGATGAATTCTAAGCATTTAAAGAAAGGACCCAGGATACGACGAGCAAGTTTTCATCCAAATTACATTTGTAGGATAAAACTGCTGTATAGGACGTATCAGTCGATTAATTACTAACCGAGTTCCGCTTGATTATTAAAAAATTTTTTTTTCTCATATCACTCTCTGGGCTGTCGCTCTTAGTATTCGTTTGTTTGATGATGCATTTAATTTAGCAAAGGGACCTTGTGAGGATAATCGCTCTTGATATGATACGTATTCCCGTTAAAATTCCCACTTCGTGGCCGTCTCGTAGTCGGTCTCACCAAGACGTAAGGCTCCATTTTTCCCAGCAGTTAAGTAACGACCGTCGGTGCATTTTATGCAAATACGGGAAGGTTCGCGTAGCTCCAAGTAAAATCCATCGGAGGCTGCATCAGCGTCGACAGTGACACCCTCGCTATCCGCGTGCCAGTACTTTCCATTTTGTCCTGGGAACAGAAGAAAGATTAACAATGTAGGAGGACGTTGCAGAGAGGAAGTTGTTGAAGAATTATTTATATTACCTTTGAACCTGACGACCCCACGTTCGCAACGTTCCACGCGAATCGTTTCGTAACCAGCTTTGTTGCACTCGAGCTTAGGACTAACTGCACTTTTGGGCCCGACGAAGCCTTGTTCACATCTTAGTACCAAAACAGGTCTGTTCATTAGGTAGAAGTAGTACTTTGATACGTCGGAGTCACCGGAAGAAGGTGAGTCTGCATTGGCATAAAGATGTCCTGACCGTTTAGTAGCCAGAAATTTGCCATTGTTAGCTCGAAGAGCTACGGTGCCGTCTTCCGGTTGCCAAACCAGATCAAAGAGAGCATTAGAGGAACGTTTGTGCTCGGATGCCTGAATTCCACCACCAGCTTCAAGACTCCAGTAACGGTCCTGCATGGTGCGGATGTACCATCTTTTAGTGACGCGATCGAATTCCAATTGGAATGTCTCGTGTCCGGATATTTCATCCTGATTAGCAGTTACGTCAACCCCTGGAAGTATATTTTTAAGACTATTAGTGTGAATGAGGTCATTAGGATAAATTAATCGGTTGATCACGACTGAAGAGAAATAAAAGAATTATTTGAAAGCCATTCACATTTAGATTCTTACAAGGTATAAGATCTAGTTACAAAGATAGCTCAAGCAATTAAATTAATTTGGTAAGTCGGTCGAATCGACGTTCCGCTCTGTGGCTTTCCCGTCCTTGAATCGTAGAATGACATGGGTGATTCATGATTCGGAGATGGCAGAACTTGTTCCTCTCGTAACAAGCTTTATCATTAGTATGCCTAACACACGATAGAGGGAAGGAGGCGCCCATGAATGTATAATTTCCTCGCTTCCGGCGAACGCGCCGGGTTTACGCGTTTTTATTCAATTCACTGTGTGTGAGCAGAGAGAGAGGGGGGAGAGGGAGGAGAGAGAGCAGCAGCAGGAGAGGAACCGGACCGGTCCAGGTGCAGAAGGACATAAAAAACTGTATAAATCTTTTCTTACCCTGCTTGACAGACACGTAACGCTGATTAAGAGCAGCAACAAAGGAGGCTTGAGGTAAGGACTCTTCCAGGGAGAAGAGTTCATCCCGTGTGACTGTGGTCGACCTGGACTTTAGGACTGCCTTACTACCTATAGGGGCTAAATAAGCTCCATGAACATCCCTAAGGACGGAACACAGTAATATGAGAGTCAATTGTAATGGATACAAGTAAAGAAAAGTGTGCCTAAATAATGATTAGTACCTGAGAGCGAGAAGACCCGCGTGGAATTCAGCAGCGTAAAGGCAATCGCGAGTACATGACTCCAAAAGTTTGCCATCGCGAGCAAGGTACTTGTTGTTGCAAGTGTGAAGGGCGTAATGTCCTCCTTCAGATTTAGCACGATTTCCAGCAGAGTTATCGTTGTCAGCAGTTGCTGCTGGACGAAATTCCAGAGTGAAGAGTGTATCCTCTCCCCAAGGTACAGGAGCATCTACATGAATCTCATCCTGAGCAGCGCTAAGATGAGCAAATCTTTTCCGTCCAGCTGAACGTAAATTCACCTGGATCAACAAAGCCAGAAATTACAATAAATTATCTTATTACGCTGAAAATTAACATAAACAATACAATATTGGATATTATCATTACCTGAGGCCTGGCTGCAAGATGTACAAGCCAATATTCAGCCTCTCCAGGAGCTTTAGCAGTACACTTGAGCTCATCCTGACTAGAACCCAGGAAGTATCCTCTCTGCACGTTCTTAAGAGCCCACCTTCCGCTTCCTGTGACCGTGAAGAATCATCATTAACATACATTGCGTTAAATTTAATCACGTATTCTAACTTACCATCGGAAGCAAGCTGGATTTGAAAAGCACAGCCAGGATCGGATGGATCCTCAGCTTCGCAGGTGACATTACCAAACTGATCGACAGCGAGGTAACGATCTAGATGAGATCTCAGAAAGACCTGGTGCTCGCTACCCTCCAGAGTCCAAAGTTGTTTCTTCTTAAGACTAGCCCCATTGGCATTGATCTTAAAACCGAATGTCTCAGCAGTGAGATATTTGAACTTGCCATTGATGAGTCCAACCTGTAAACAAGAATTTGAGAAGGACATAAGCATCGTCATCATCATTATAGCATCCAATAAACAATCTAATGATCCATTATAAATGTACCGTCCATCCAGTTCTGTCTACTCCATTTTCAGAGCTACCACTCTCGGAACCGTTGTTCTGCATGGTAACGATACCACGGTGAAAATCAGCGTTACAAAAATGTCCAAAGAAAGGACTGGTCCGCTTGCTCGTTTTATCCTCCCACTTATTCCTCCACTGCGAATGAATTTCTGTAGAAATAAAAGCAAAGAGCATCTATATCATTGACCGATGAAATTCAACAATATCAGAAAGTGTATGACTCTGTCATAAAGGTACAATTTTTCAAAAAAAAATTACACAAGATAAAAGCCTTAGCATCCATTAGAGTGACTTGAGGGCAGATACTTCTTTTTTCCCCGCAGTATATTTCCTCATTCTCATTCCTCCTATTCATACTCTTTATCTGAACAGAGGCGTGCGTTTGCATCCGCACTAGTATCGCGCGTGGTTAAGCCCTCAGGATTGGGTGAGGGGAGGTCTGAGAGGTTGTGAAGGGCGAGGGCGAGGGTGTGGGTGAGGGGTCGCGGAAGCCGAGGGGCATCCCAACTCACAGAGTACAACCGTATCGGAGCCAGGTATTGATCCCTCGTTTTAGGCTTGGGAGTCTGCGACTATACTGACCCAGGACTACTACCAAAACAGGCAAGAAGTTCCTAACGAATACTAATAGCAGCTCAATGAATAAATAAATATCAGACTGTGCATTATATGAAGAATCCTTAATTATAAGACATCTAAAAATATTAACGAGCTGATTTAGAGAAAACTATGAAAAATTAATTATTCCCAGTTTGGTACGATCGAACGATAATAACCGTTATTTAATCAGTTCACGTTGCTGGTCGTCTAATTTTCGCGGAACTTGAATGATCTGCACGACGAATGAATCTCAGAGGAAACCGTTATGAACGTTTGGACTGATGGCAAGGCGATTTCTATTGGTGAGAATGAAATAACGAGGCTCATCATCGTCGATCGTTAACAATTATAAAGCAATAGAAAGGGACGTGGTAGCAGCTGCTTCAGGAACTCTACACCGTATAAAGCAGGAAGTCCTGAGCAGCGAACTGCGAAACCAAGAAGCATTGCATGTAGACTTCTGTAATCACGCTTCTACATTAACTTGTACGTCCACAATCATTATTCGCGTGTTTATAGTACACTGATTTCAATGTTCGAAGGTCTATGGCATCGCTTTCTTATATATGTACATCTTCATACTGGCTGATGGCTTGAGTCTTGTCTGTCTCCTCGAAGGCCAAATATAGTACGTAGTACGTATATAGTCTATCCCATGGTCGATTGGGGATAGCTCCACGAGAGGATGGGAGATGAGGATCAGTTTGTTCCTGTGATGTAGAATGATACAGAGTAGAAAATGTGAGTATGGGTATATATGTACATTAGTTTTCTGTCTCTTGGAATAGTTGAGAATGGTAGTATAGAAAGCAGGTTTTCTAGTGGTTCTATGCACTATGTAAGATCGATCAAACCATCCCTCCATTGGCAGCGTCCATTGGTGCAGCGTTATCCGTGCTGGATAACTGACAAAATTGTCTACACCAGGGATGTATCAGTACGTGGTACTGTCAGCATGGTAACATTAAGCCTCCTGAGGAACAGGACATGCGTTGGTCAACGGGAAGCGATAAAGGCTTTGGAATGGTTGTGTGAGTTTATGTGACGAAGCTTGTAACTATTATTTAGTTCCATTCTTCCTGGATTATATTTTGAATACGAAGTGTAGGTAATGCAGGCGATTGAGGTGGGTGTCTGTCTTGCATTTCTGACAGGCGCTACGGACCCTTTTGCAGCGGCCTTGTGTCTCGGCCCCACCCAGGCCTCAGGAACGTGAGTCACCGAGTACGAGAAAACCCCGTCAAAATAAACCCACCCTCGTGCATCCCTCCTGCTTTGATAACACGAATAGCACAGGCATTACTAAAAATAAGAATATGGTAAAATAATAAAGAATAAGAAATAGTTATGACAGGATTAGAGGAAGGGCTGTAGGCCAGTGTAATGTCAGGGATCATCAGGAAAGCCGGTTATGACCCTGACCCTGCAGACTACAACTCTAACTTCTATATATCTCTCTCGACACACATATATATAAACTTGCCTAAGTGTACCGTCAGTAAGTATATATCCTATACAGTTTCACTGTTAGTTATTTTGAAAATTCTCTATTGAATTGAAATCTCAGCGGCCATCATTGTTCTCAATGACAAAATGTATTCCTGTCGATCTTCAAGAATTTTTCGACTGTAACGCTATAGTTCATACATTTCTACTGGAATAAAACCATTATACCCAACTAACTACTATGTACTCACCTCGGATCTTATGCGAACGATGATCGATTCACGTTTGCCAGTGAGGAACACACAAAGAGTAGAGTTTATTCTCGGCGAAGAGAAAAACAATCCCGAACCTCACAACTGGACGCTTTTCGCGCTACTGAGCCGGCGAGGAGGACTCGTCGCGAGTCCTCGGGGGGGAGCAGAACGTTCGGCATAGCAGAGAAAGAGAGATGAAGTAGTGTACGCGAGTGCAAGGAAGACAGTGCGAGGACGGCTATATACCCCAGTGAGGATGGAACATCGGCCAATAAGCCTGGAAGGTACAGGACAGACTATAGAGAGACTATAGAGCACTGGTGGGGAGAAAGTGAGAACAGAACGACGGTGGGAGAATGCATCGAACTGTTCCAACGAGGCTTCCTAGCCTTGTTGCCGGCCGGTGAACTCGAATGCGTCGGCTTGACGCATCTTTCTTTAAATTTTACAAATTTCTTTCATCCCCAATGAGGTATACTTTAACAAAGATGCAGACAATGTACTCTGTGGTGATGTAATTATCAATTCTCAACGTAAACAACATGGCAGAGGATCCTGTTTATATGGGTAATTCTTAACACGTTTTGTAAGAGGAGACGGAATTAAAGTTAATTTTTTATTTTGACAAGGTAAAAAATAGAGAATGAAAGAGAAACAGAGCGTCCTGTCTACCTGTAACGTAATACAAATGACACGTCTATATTTCTGTAAAGTATAACAAACCTAAAGAGTTGCAACAGTAGCAACCTGATTCCTTGTGTTATGTTAAAAGAATAAGCAACCTAATTAACCGATCGTTAATTAACATTATAACCAGAATTTCATTCGACTTGGCTCAGGCGTCACTACGTGGACCGTGTCTAATTGGAATCTTTATCTTTGTACATAAAATATAGGAATGCTGCTTAGTAACCGCCACGCACTGCGTTTTGGGAAGTGTATGATGTTCATACATAGGTGTACGTATGCGATTATGATTTTTCTGGAATTCCCACATGTATCCTACGTAGCATGAATCGCTGTGCTAGACGTGCACGCGATAAATAGCGACAATAGATTTCAGGTTAAACCATTGTCTTTTGTACAAGTAATCGTAGAAGCCGCCGGTCAGCACTTTCGCAATAGTCACAACAATTAATTAATCCACACACAAATAGTCTTTGTGACGATGTTTGTAATTAATATGTTTCTCTTGTCCTACTTACCATTGTTATTGCATAAATTCCTATTTAGATGACGCTTCTTCTTGGAACATTCATGGGACAAAGGATCAGAAGTATTTTGGAAAACAGCCAAACATCTTGAACACTCTGGGATCTGTTTGAAAATTATTAGCTTGTGCCAATGTTAACGGTACATACTTATGGACGCTATTCTATTAATTATATCTTACCGATGTCGGATATCTTGAAGGATCAATGATCTTGGATTCTCCTACTTTGCCTGCTGTCGTTCCTTCTTCTTTTAATGGCCGTTCACACTTCTCTGGAAGGAATATCTTCACTTTATGAAATTTCTAACTGTGACAACAGTTCCTTACGACATGAGAGAATGCAGTATGTTCCTGAACGAAGATGATCCTGAGAATATTGTTGAGCATTGGGTAACCTTGAATCCTTTTTATTATGAATTCTACAGCGTTTCTCTTTTGAGCTACTTCCTAGTATATCCTGATGTTTATTTAGTATTTCTGTGCAGAAGGAGCTTTGATTTTTACATTTACATTCTTTATTTTCATCAGGCAAGCAGAATGTTACTCTCCTCGTCCTGGATTTGCTTCTTCGGCTGTTATTCAGACTGCTATCATGACAGGGATTATGACAGTGATGACAATCATGAGAGGGACAACGATATTGAATACAGAGATGATCATCAGTCAGCGCTCTACTGGTTCTCCAATCTATGCAAGTTGCGCGTTTAACGTAATTGCACGCAGATATCGTGAGCAGAGGCTGAATCTTATTATGGGATCCGTTAGTTTTGCTGTGAGAGCAGGTCCTGCCGCATTCCATTGGATAACCACTCGCTTGAGGATCTTGATAAGTCTGAGGATTTTCTGGAACGGTTTGTGTGCCACTTCCGCCACCACTTCCTCTTATAGGTTCACTCATTACTCGAGAACCAGGCGCTGTGGTTTCAGAACAACATGCACTGAAGACGTCGAATAGCTCATTTTTTACTTGAGGATCACTCTTGGTTGCTGATATTTCTAAGCCGTTAATACCTGATGTACTATCACAGAAAACTTCCTGGGTACTCACTGTCGCATCGTTAATTGGAGATTTTTTGTCAATAGTAAAGTCAGTTGTGATATATGATTGATCCAAACTAAAACATTGACCACCGGACCTACAAGGACCACCTGGAAGACATTGCTCCTCTTGTAGGATAGTTGCATATTGCAAAGATCCGCTGGTTAATATTTTTTTAGAAGGAATATGTGGTACAGACATTGCTATTTCTGATATCATGTCTAATTCTTGAAACGATACATTTTTTGTTAACTGGCAATGATGATTGGAATCACTTTCCACTGAATTCAATGTCCCTTTTGCTATTTTATGTTTTTCTGAATTATATTCCCTGGTGTCAGGATTCATTTGTCCCTCAGCAACTACGGGATTCTTTTCCACCTCCTGCTTCACTAAATCTATATTGATATTCCTATCTTCCTCAAGTTCCTGATGGTCAATAGAAGTGGATGAACAGTCGCGCACGGTATTCTGTTCCATTAAAAGTTCTTCATTCTTCTGCCCTATCCAGTCTTTATCCAAAATTTTAATATAATCCACAGAAATGTCTTTAGGACATGTATACTTTGGTGATTTTATTCTGAACAACGGTGTAAGGGACTCGCTCCTTGGTCTGTTCTCTACCCTGATCAACATTGACGTCCTAACTAGGTTTTCACCTCTTGAAATAGACCTTCGTACGTCCTTGTCCTTCCTGGGTCGATTCAAAGACCCGCGACGAGGTGTTAACTCGAGCAAATCCACTCGTTGTTTACTCGTGCGTAATCGAGGAATGTTATCGTCACTGTCTAAACTCGAAGAATCCGGTGACATCTCATTAGAGCATTTATAATCCCAGTCATTTACTTTTGATGTCGACTGAACGTTGCTGATCTTCAATCCCGGTGACCTGACACGCTGTGCATTATTTAACCTACGACTGCGTATTCTTTCTTCAATCTTACTGCAAGGTCTACGCCGTCGCTCGGCTTCCTGTCGGCTTTCCGCAGCTTTGCGTAATGAAACTCGTCTCATATTTACGAAAATGCCTGCCCATCAAGAATCCACATTTAGCTTAAAATTTCCAGACGACTCATACATGCACGTCAAGGATATGATAAGAATGACTAGGACAAATAAACACTGAAGAAACGAATGACTGTCAAGAGCTTTCGATTTCTCTGACGATCATGAAATTAATGATTGCTGCGCGCGTCAATGGATTCACTCAAAAAAGCATAAATGAGATACAGTGCACAATAATTGACGAATAGACCGTCTTTTTCATAGTAAGAGTAATCTTAGAATTTAATCAATATACGCACAAGCTGAATACATATCAGGGACAGCAGTTGACTGTTCAAAGGGTGAATGTATTATCTGTCATATGTTTCCTTTTAAAAAATAAAGTCACAAGAAGGTGAAAGAAAAACTGATTGTACAAGACAATAATTAATTAAATATGTATATGTATATCATTGAAAATCTGTATGATTAAAACAAAATTATTATTGGCCTATTATTATTTTTTTTTTATGAAACGTCAACCCAATCTTAGAGTATCAGATTAGATACATTTCCGGTAATCTCTTTGTATAAATCATATCTCGAAGTGAACACGTCTACAGTCCCTTGTGGAAACAGTGCCGTGCTGTAATTACTCGTTTCCGCAAGGTAATGCGACCTTCTTGGAAACATTATATCCATGCAGGAAAAGGTGTAGGTCGCACGAAGAATAACATGCGATATCCTTATACGTCTGGCTAAACCATCAAAAACGATTACGGAGCGTAAAAATGAAGCGTAACGGGAAATACTTTATACAGTGAGCATTTCGCTATCAATCATACATAAAATAACCGCTATATGGAAATTTAAGTTCGTAAACGATTTTACCTAACGTATAGAATGATTTAGTTCGATTAGCATAACTAGGACATCTTGAATTTTCAATGATTGCTAGGCACTTGACCACATTATTTCACAGTTTTTAACACTTGTGCCTCTTCGCAGCTGTTAGAAGATATAACAGGCCATTTTAACAAAATGTTTCACGTGCCAACGGTCCGCTATGTAAGTTGCGTCATTACACAGAAATGAGCGTTCCTCGTGTCAATATAAAGGTGCATACCCACCGTGATACATTGATGCTACGTTAATCCATACCTTACAACAAACGCTCGTAAATGTATCATCACATCCTGACAATGTATCCAAAGTCATTCGTTTCAATAATTACTTGGGCAAAATGTTTTTTAATTTACGGTAACATGACTTCATTGGTGTGTCGTAAGTATATAAGCTTTTAAAGTGCAGATTGTTATCGAAGAAGAGTTCGCTGACCTGCGAGGTAGAGTCTCGGTATAGAAAGAGAACGAAGGGATACGAGAGAGGTAAGGAATGAGAATACGAAGTGGGAAGATATTAGAGGAGGGAACGAATGAACGAACAGACCGTGACCGTGACCGTGACCGTGACCGAGTTGCATTAGTACTGCGATGTGCACACAGTTCGACCCGAATACCCATTTTATGGGTAGCGACGTATGGTACACCTAGTGAACTTGTATTAAAAGTGGAAATTTTTAACAGACCTGGCATCCGTCACTGTATCCGTGATAATGATGAAATTATTCGGTGAAAGAGTGCGCCGGGACGCGGATCTTTCGAAATACCTATTAAGGGATCATCAGAGTGTAAAATTTTCAAAAAATCGATTTTTTTTTTCATTATCTGATAGTATACACGGTTATAAACATTCTGTCCAATTTTTATGTCGAAATTCGAATTATTTCGGTCGCTACAGCTTTTCTTAGAAGAAGGCATTGGACGGTCAGACCTGGCGCACTCCGAGCTTTAAACGCGTTTTTCTCGGAATGGTGTTTTCCAAAACGGTGGCCACTCTCAAAGGAAAAATTTTCAAGCAATCCATTTGAAATTTTAACAGAACATTTTTCACGTCATTTCTTATGTTGCTATGGAAGCTTTTTTCTTTTTTTTGAAATCTTCCTATTTTTTTTACGAAAAACTCGAAAAAAGGCTAAATTTTATACGTTTTGTTCAAACCGACGCCATTTTTTCAAATTTCACTAAAAACAAAAAAACCTCCATAGGAGCATAGCGGCTTTCCTACAGATTTATAAACCATTTGAAATTTTTGTTTGAGGTAAAATTTGCGCCCGCAGTCCTGGCCACCATGGGACACCATTTTTTTTCCATTCCATTTTCCACAAATAAAAACAACGTTAAACAATACATGAAGAAATTTTTAAAAAATCATTTTGTATATTTCATAGGTGCTTCAATTTGTAAAAAAAAAATTAGACCGATTACCTTATTCCATCCACCTAAAAAAAAATCGCGAAAATCGGCTATTTTTCGGGCGGTCACACTGTAATGATCCCTTAAGGAAGTAATAGTAGAAAATTGTATATTGAATAGAGTAACTGTATTCACGGTTACAATAGCGTGGCAGAATCACAAACGAGTATACATATACGTCAAGTACACTTCGGTCCAGTGTTTTCCTTACTTGCATAACGTATTATGCAAATCGAAGGTGCCTTCTACACATACACGTTAGCTTGTATGGAATTTTATAGATCTTTCTTTTTAACCATACTTAAAATCCTTCTATTCCTATTCGCGCATGCGCTCGTTAGTGCTTGTCATTAATGTACAGTGTTAATTTATATATCTTGTAATTATTAGATGGTAATATGAAGTCCTTGAAACATACGTTCTTTATGTTGTGTGTAAGTGAACTGCATTGAATTTGTGGATTAAGGAAACTCATTGGAAGCCTTGAACGGTACTATGTATGTGATTGATAATTAATGTGTGATGATGATTAATAATACTAGGCATCTTGTTAGCAGTAGCGATTGCATACGCAAAATGTCTCAATCTCGCGTCTCTTCTTTACTCTCGCCCCCCCCCCC